TTGTGTTACGTCAGCCTAATCCGCCTGTATCTTATCACGCACAAAAAGACGGCGCTGTTGTTAAAGGCTGAAAATAAAAGGGTCGTTGAAATCTCCCAGCGGCAGCTGCCGCTATTACGTAACTGCTTTCTACAATATTAAATAGTTGTACATTCTCTTAAAAGGTCGGAATCTGTTCCAGAGAAAAGGAACTTGTTATTAGTACAAACAAACTGTTATGTCTCTTCTTATCGAAGGCGTTAAAGGAGGTGGACGCTGTCTTTCATCAACTAAAACCGTCTGATCAATGTTTACGGAAACAAATAAAAATAGATAGCCTTTACAGCCAAGTCGATTCATTCCCCTAATGATATTGATTGGGAAAACCGCATTTGCTATATCCATTAAAGGATATTGTAGTGGGAAACATTTCTTTTGATACAGAAACGCCTTATTTTGACGCGATATTCTTGTAATTAGTTGAGAGTGTTGAATTAGAGACCATAAAAGTCAAATATAATAAAGCTAGTAAGATTCTTTTGGGGACTCTACTCAATACTGAATGCTTCTTTTCCACGAAAGTGCTTAATAGTGAGTAGCCTATCTTGCATTCTACAGGCGAATTAAGCTGCTTAGCAAACCATTTACGATTTTGTATATTCCTTTTATTAGCCTTAAACTTCCTTCTTTCTCATCTACCACTCCTCTGTCTCTCTTTGAGTAAAATTCCACCTAGACCATTTTATGCAACAATTAGACCGTCAAGCAATTAGAGGGCGATGAAAGACGAAAGGAAAACACCACTCGTCAGCCTTTCGAGCACAAAACGCCCAGGAAATTGCATCTTTAACTGACCGTCAGCTTGTTTAGACAGTTTATTTCGAATCTCTTTATTAGTCGAAACAGGAGCAAACTAGTACATATATTATTAATAAAACGTCTATTAAAAAAGAAAATCAAAGAATAGAGGCGTTAAAGGCGAAAATGAAAACTCTATGTCATCCGAAAAATAACTTGTATAAACAACCTTTCTAGTATATTGTATATACTTTTATATTGAAATATAAATGCTTACATGCAATTTCTAAGAGAAAATCCCCCTCGTTTGGGTATACTAAGTATTCATTTAAAACGGAATTTATCCCTCCCAGTGCATTACTAAGGTAATAATTGGCTTATAAGACCCCTTCTGGCAATTATTTATGTGTTTTATTAAATGCTAGAATGAACATCGAGAAAGGAAGTTTAGTAAAACAGTTTGCTAAAGCCTTAGTACTAAAAGGACAACCGGAAGGCATTAAAAAAATCCAAACTAACAACTTTTATGAAACACATTATATAACTGAAACAGGAAATAAGAAAGAAAGGAAATAAATAGTGAATATATTTTTTTATACAGTAAGCAACTGTATATATATATATATATTGTTAAGCCCATATATTTAATAATTTTTACTTTTTCCACACTTTTATGTTTTTGTAGTGAAAGATATACATTTTTGGGTGAACATATTCCATACATGAATGTCACGAATACGTGTTTATCTACCTGCGATTATTTAAAGAGTGTTTTTCTTTTCGTTGGGTAAAGAAAGATGGTTTTCGACATGTGAATAGTAAAACCTAACGGTTTAGTATGAGGATTATAAGAGAAAAACAGCTGTGTTACCAATAGGTCATTCTTTTTCGTATATTACTCTGCGAAGTAATAAAGCCTAAGCAGATGAAAATTTTCCTAATATAAATCTTTTTATCTGACATCTATTTCGTAGCCGTTAAGCTTTTAAATATTGTGAACGATGAATGAGAAATGAACAAATAATAGAATGTTTATAAAAATAAACCAAAAGACATATTTGTATATTTGAACCAACTGGTAGGGCTATAGGTCATTTTTTTAAACATTGAGAAAAAGCACGAATTCTTTGTTGATTATATATCAAATTTTTGTGATTTAATATTTTCTTCCTATCAAAAATTTTCTTCGAGAATATTCAAATATTCGACAATTGTGCAAATAATTCATATTAGAAATAATTTTTTCCATATTTTCTAAGTCAGAGGTTGAATAGCGCTATTTTTTTTATATCAAGCGTCCACCTAACTACTTTTATAGGGGCTTTATATGATATAGTACAGTTTAGCGGCGACTGAATATTCAGTAAATATTATGATAAGATTACAGGAAAAAACTTAAATCTACGAGTAATAATACAATCTCTATAAAAATTCGCGGGCCATCAAATATTGCGATAGGCCCCCTGATTATTTATGTATATATTAAACGCTAGAAGGAACAACAAAAAGGCCAGTTAAGAATAACAAACTCTACTAGAAAACTGAAACCCCTAGGTGTACGAGGCTATAGTTTGCCTCGTCTGCCACGCTCCGTTGCCGTCAATACAAATAAACGAAAAGTTCGGTAAAAGAACGTGTTTTCCGCCGAATTAACGAGCGCTTCTTGCGTTCCTTTACAGCTGCTCCGACCTCACCAGTATGCGCGTTATGCCCCCCTTCTATCCCTCTCTCCTCTTTTCTCTAAATCTTTCAAATGTTATGGGGAATTTTCTCTCCTAACTAGCTTTACCAAAGGCTATGTGAAAGGAAGCTTCCGTATCTGTTATTTTTTATTCTTATAAACAATGCTTATCGTTCGAGAAAAGCATAGAAAAATCGAAAGGTTTTTAAGTGGCCTAGAGGGTGACTGAACAATGGAAGATGAGTCTGTTTCAGGACCAATACAAATCTTTCCGCGCCGTTTAGTTTGGATGCTTTTATTTAGGGCCTGCTAGAAAGCTAAGGCTGACGAAAAAACATCCGTAGGATTAGGACGGTCCATTAGCTAGTTGGAAATCTTTAAGTATGGGATATGGCTGACCCTGTAGAGATGATGATTGATGAAGAACAACTCTGTAGTCATTTTAACCTAATTGGTTTTACGGTTAAATATATCCGATTTGATAGCAGATATTTCCATGCGCAAGTTCAACCTTTTATTCTTTTCCCTTTAGCATTTAGCCTTTTAACCTTATTTATCTCAACTTAAAATATCCTCTACAATCTGAAGAAATACGGGTATTATGCAAAATATACATATAGATACAGACAGAGACATTCACATATTCAAGCTTATCAGTGTTTCCCATAAAACTAGGACGACTTTCTTATTTTCCTGTTGACTCGTTTCGATCTAATTGGTTTTACAGTTAACCGTGATTGATCGCTCCCCCAATAGTTTAATTTCTTTTTGTAACCCCTTTTTTGGGATTATTTTATTCTCATAAACTTGATTTGTATATATTGCTTTATAAGGTGTCCAGCGTCTGTATTTTTACTTCTTAATTGAATTAATTCACAGGTTTTCTATCTTGTTTTTATAGAGTTACAAACAAATTTGCCAATCATTTCGTTTCTCCACTATTTCTATGAGGTTTATTGCTTCCTTTTCTTTATAAAAGCTAGCTTTAACTTTACCTAAATTGCTTTAATAACTTGTGAATTTTCCTTCCTTCTCTTCGTGTAGTTTAATACGTTTCATTCATTCGGATGTCCACAAAGCAACCAAATTATACCCTCTTTCGTTTCTTCTTTATTATTAATTAGTAGCTTTGCTATATGCGGACAATCAATTCTTATTTTCTTCCATATTTTATTACGTTGGTTATATTACACGCAATACGTATACCTAATAAATCTAATATATTATACACTTTTTACTCGCTACCAAGTTTATTTCGCCTTTTACCTAATTGCAAGCGCTGATGTTTAAAAGCAATCAGTGACGTAACAGATTCCTATTCGGATAAAATCATTAACATCATCATTGTACGGTGGGGAAATATATTTGAATATATAGTTCAAGCGGTCATCCGTTAAAAGCCCACCAAAGTAATTTTTTATTGTCAACTAGTATAAAAAACTACATATAATTGTTCACAGATCATTAAAATCTATATTGCTTTAATAATACTCTTTGTTATACTGTATAGTCTTTCACTTATGTATTAAAAAAACTCTCCTTAACCCCAAACCCTCCACACCCCTCCTTCATTTTTTATTCTACTTTTTAACTATTACATTTTAAGTACCTTGTTTGATAGATGTCTTAAATGGATATTTGACTAGTAAAAGGAAATCCCCTAGTGACTCCTTTACATAAGTCTAATAAACACCTATTTACCTGTAATGTCATACTTAAACCAGACAAGATTAGAGATATTAAAGAAGAACCTTTTTAATTGTCAACGTAAAAGTCGGCATTAGTCAATAAAGTATATATTAAGTACAATTTTGAAAATGACAAAGTACACAACCTTTATATTTCAATCAATATATGAGTAAAAATTTTTAAAATATCCGGTATGTTCTTTTGACAGCGGGTAAACAATGTGAGGAAGAAAATTGTTCCGGTTTTTTTTTATTTATTAGAACTGGGCACTTCCAATTGAATAATTCTTTAATTAAAATAATAATAATAGATAGATAAATAGATAGAAACTATAGATCGCTAATAGTTTCTTTTTAGTTTTCTTATTGAATAATTTAAATTGACAGAACGTGAATTCAGGCACGCAAACGATGTCCTTATTTTTTTTTCTTTAGAATTGGTAAGAAACAAAGCATGCTCGACTGATTCACGAAGATCCTAACCATACTTGTAGAAAATTCACAAACATTTGTTAAAAGTTCACATGCAATGCTATAAATTGACTGGCATCAACAGCTGAGATGGCAAACAAGGTCAGTGCCTCTTTTTTTTGCTTTTGAAAGAGAAGACCGGTTAGGCATTTCAAAAAGCACTGGCTAATTAGAGAGCAGCAATTTATATCAACCGAGAAATTGCATATCTCTAATTTTATAACACTCCTATTCGTTCGATAAATAAGACAAACAAACCTTTATAAAAGGGCGCGAGAATTAATCATTACGTAACAGAGAGAAATCGATTGGAAATACTTTCGACAAACAACAGGGGTTTAGAATGAATCATACATCCGCGTAATACTGGAACTTGTTCTATATTAACAGAGAGTAAAAATTTTACTTACGTCGGGATTCCAGACCTGTCTGCCGCCATAGTCTGTGCTTCTTTTCTCCTGTTGTTTTTCAACAGCCGAATTCCTCCTGTTCTCTGACGTTACCATGTTAACAGCACTGTGGTGGGCCGGTACGGGAATTCTTAATAGTTCATCATATTTATCCGTTAAAGGTTGGTGAGATTCGATCTTTGTTGGAATTCGTCTACTTCGTGCTCTCCTTCGGCTATCATGAATACGGATTGAGAAAATAGCCAGCAGCAATAAGACTATTAGACAAGAGGAGACGGCCGCTAAAGTTATAACGATCATCTTGTTAACGTTTTCTTCGCCAGTTTGTGAACTGAAGGTGAATGGAATACTCTTGTTAACGACAACGTACAAATTACCAGTGGCATTCCTCGGTGGGTCACCACTATCTTGTACAATAAGAGATAATTTGAACGTCTCAACGTCTTTGACTAATGAAAGGGATTTTTTTACGCGAACTTCTCCACTAGTTGGGTTTATTTTAAAGTATTCATTCTCCTCCCTCAGAAAGTAATACAATCTTGAATTCTCATTTGCGTCGTCGTCTTTTGCTTCTATTTTAGCTACGTGGTAATTAATCGGTAATTGATTTGAAACTTGAAGTGTATCATTCACATCGTCTGGATATGTTATTACTGGATCATTATCATTCATATCTAAGACAAAGATAGAGACGCTTGCTGACCCAGTAAATAAGGGTGTGTGATCATTAACGGCTACAACGACCAAGTAATAAGCATCCTGAACTTCCCGATCTAAAGCTATCTTCGACATGATCTTTCCTGTATCCCTATCAATTACGAACGATTCATGATCAGTGCCGAAATCAAGAGCAAATTCATAGTGGAATGAATCATATGGCTTGAGATCAGCGTCTCTTGCAATAACTCGATCAATTTCTCTGAACTTTCCATACTCCAATTTTCTGTCACTTTCTTCCACTTGAAAGACATAGGACTGTTTATCAAAATATGCCGCCTCATCATTCTGATCTTCAACTGTTATATCTATTTCAGTTGTTGAATATTTTTTCGGCTTTCCATTATCTGTTGCTGTCAATTTGAATCTATAAAAGTCTTTTAATTCTCTATCAAATGGTCTTGAGCTAAATATTTCACCGGTGTTGGAGTTAACCTCAAAATATTGAGATTCGTAACCACTAATGCTATAAGTCAGTTTGGAATTGTTACCCGCATCAGCATCCCATGCCTGTACTTTAATAATTAGTGTTCCGGAAAGAAGATTTTCTTTAATACTTCCCTTGTATATAGAATTTGGAAATGTCGGAGTATGATCATTCACGTCTTGAACTCTAACCTCAAGCGTTTCGGAGGAATTAAGGGGCGGTAAACCATGATCAAAGCATACAATCTTTAAAAAATAGCGACTTTTTTCTTCCCTGTTAACTGGTTTTCTAGTTTTTATCTTAAAACTATCCGACGGTATCGTTACCAATTCGAAAGTATCAGTATCATTAATGGAACAACTTACATGACCGCTTGAACCAATATCACCATCTTCAACAGTAAAATGAGCAAAGAAATTACTGGGACTATCTTGTGAAAGGTTTTCTTCTACAATAGCATAAGAGAAAGACGAAAGTGTAGCCACAAAAATTAATGGCGGCGAGTCATTAGCATCCTCAACGGTGATATACACTGTTGTAAAGGCTTCGTTTTGGCCGTCCTTGGCAATAACGACTAGATTGTAGGAATCTTTTGTCTCCCGGTCCAATTGCGATTTAAGAATAATCTCCCCGCTATCCCTTCCAATGTCGAAAAGACTACCATAGTATTTGAATGTCTTCTCGGTAAAGAAGTAAGATATCTTTGCATTATACAAAATATCTTCATCTGTTGCTTCAACTTTAACTATCGTTTCTCCCACTTTAAGGGTCTCATTTACTTTAACTCTATAAATATCTGACAAGAATTTTGGTGGCTTGTCATTAGCGTCCAGAACGGTGATGTTTAAGATTAGTTTGCCAGATTTTCTATTGACGCCTCCATCAAAGGCAAGCAAAATGAAGGTATACTTCTCCTGCTTTTCTCTGTCTAAACTTCCACGTAAAATTAACTTTAATCTTGTTGTACCGTGAGCAACAGCATTATTTTGGAGTTCAAACAAATCAGAAGTCGGTTGTAGCTCGTAGCCCGTTACCGATAACATTCCACTATCAGAATCCTCTGCCGTTGGCAAATTAAAAGATTTTCCCTGCTGTTCATCTTCACTGATTTTGATAGTTATGGAGTCTGAACTAAATTTTGGATAATTATCGTTTATATCCTTTACGTCAACTTTAACTGTGACTGTATAAAAAAGTTCATATGACGTCGACGTTAAATAAGCCGTTAGAACACATCGAGTGAGAAATTTGCATATCTCTTCGCGGTCAATAGGCCTATTAGTTCGTAAAACTCCAGTGCCTACTTCGTATCGAAAAAATTTGTTGTGATTACTTTTTGTAGGTTTATAAAGTTTAAATTCAACATTTTCAGAGTTGGTTAATCCTATCTTCTGTTTTATATTGCCAACGAAAGTATACTCAGGAACTTCTTCTTCGATCTGGAATTCTAAATCATAATGTTCGCAAACAACTATATTCAAAGTTATAAAGAAGAGAAGAACAGTCCAAGAACACATTATTAATAACTGGATTGTCTCCAAATAGTAGAGTAATCCAATGTTGAGTAGTTTGTTCCAAAGTATATATTATCACCTATAGAAAGAAATTGCGTAATCTAAAAAACGTTAATTCTTACAACTTTAGTGCTGACAGAATGCCAACTGGCGTGCGAACTGACTCGCTTCAACTACAGCACGTAGCTAGACCGTCAATAATTGTCACGTGACCAAAGAACAGGGCGCTTATTGGTTAGTTTGAAAGTAGGCGGGATTTAAGACTGCAATTAAAAGATAAAAGGTGGATGACAAAGTAAGAGGGAACAAAAAACTACATAGAACAATGTAGCTGGCACATTAATCAAAGTATTTATGAAATGAAGGGAAACTGGAGAAATATGTTCGATCAACAAATATTTGTCTAGGCTAAATAGTCTTTTTCACTCCGTGTTGAATTCGACAGGATTTCACCGAAGGTGGTCCGCTATTTGTAGATTAGTACATGCATGCTTCAAACGAATAGTATTTGCAGAGAGAAAAGAGTATTTTCCGAAAAAAAGTATACAGAAGAAAAAGACTCGACAAGGCGTGTAAACTGAATTTAATTTTGGGGATCAAGGAGAGCATCTGTCAAGATAGTACAAGACAAATGAGAGCCGGTTGTTGGGCGCATGCGCTAGATAAGGTTAATGAAATTGAATGATTAAGTTGAAGAATGCACGCTAAAAACGGATTAGAAGGGGCCAAGTGATTGATTAGTATGCGTAAACTTTGAACAAGTAAAAAGCGACGGCTCTAATCCGGTCGATTAAAGTTCTTGTTTGGAAAAGAAAATTTTTTCATATAGTTGGTCAATATTTAAGGAGTTTTTATACAAACAGCTGAGTCAATATTACGATACATGAACGTCCCTTTTTGTATATATTTGAAATCAATTACGACCAACCTCCTGCCGTAGACCTCATAATCGACCCAGCATGTTCAGATCCTTCTCACGCAAATTATTCAATTCAAGTCCAATTCAACTCTACTCTGAATATTCTGACAGACGACAATGTTCAGAAATATGGCATAAGAGCGTTCCTTTTTGCAAAACAACCTTCCCCGGGAGTTCGAATGGAATACGGCTTCAAACGGCTATTTCGACAGCTATATAGGGTAAAAGGAAAATTCCTTGTGGCATACTTGTTTTAAATGTAATGTTGCATCATATAGCCGGTAGCCCAGTAACGAAGGCTTCATTCTATAAACATTCAGTAGGGTCCGAGATAAACCTCTTATCTTTTGTCGTAAACAATTCAGTGCGTACTATTCTACTCGAGTGTTGGTCGTTGGACGAGAAAAAGATTTTCTACTTAGCCATTTGGATTAGGGTACTAAAAGCCCCCTTACTAATCCGATCTTATACAACTAACCAAAAGGGTTATATAAGAATCGCATTTAGACCTTAAATCCGTTTTATTGCGGCCTATTCACTTAAGTATCCAGATCAGGAAGGATAACTTTCTAAACAATGTTTATTATTTTCCCTTTTTATTTTGTTTTCTCTAACAAAAAATTGTCGTTAATATAAAGTTACCTTCTTACATACTTAATGTATTATGATATTAATACTGATATTTAATATGCCTTAAGCTTAATTCCTTTCAGTTAAAAGTCGATGAAACTTTGTCTTTTCTCATTACAAAAGTTGATTTACTCAGCAAAGAGAAATAAGCGTATTCAAGATATAAAAAACAGGTAATATAAATAATAATAGAAAAGAGATAATTCCCCTTTTTTTCCCTTTTTTTTAGTTTTCTATTCCTTCTATAGTTGTTATTTTTTCTCGCAATATATTAAGTTGTTTAATAATTTAGTTTGACAGGTTTTTTTTAAATATTTTATTGAGTTTTTTCATGAGGAAGAAAATACTTGAATGAATAGTTGAATAGATGGGGAATGATTGCAAACAAAGTTGTGAAAATGATTAGCAAATAGGCCATTAAATCATCGTTCTTGATAGAACTCGGAATGTTTTTTCTATTCTTGTAGTAAAACAAATAATGACACATATAGTCACTTTTGCACTTTAAAATTGACATGCTACATCCATTATTTGCTTAATTATTCATATTGATATAACAGCTGCGAATTCTAATTATGACTATAAGGAGTTAAAGAAAAAGATGTTTGAAACGACAAAAAAGAACAAATAAAATAAAATGGAAACTGGAGAGACATAAAAAAAAACAAGGAATAATAGTCAAAGTTGAAATTAACACCTAAAATCCATCTGCCTAGAACTATCAAGTTCCATATCGGCAAAGAAAGGAACGCTGGAAAGCAAAGAATCGCCTGCAGAGGACATCACCTGGTCTATGCAAATACAAGAGAGTGGGACGGGTAAATAAATTAATGGCGCCAATTTTTTTTATCCAAGTAGGCTTACGTAGAAAGGTAAATTAGAATTTAGGAAATTGCAATATGGGACTATTAGACAAACAAAGCACGGTCGTTTGCCACTTGACTATACGCAAACGCTAACTTTTATTATGGGCTGGGAAGAGCATACAATTGTTCGATTGATGTACGAATTGCCCCTTAAATCGATACTTTGTCTACAAAATCCGGCACTCTTTCAAAAAAAGGCGTTTTAAAGAACGCTAATAAAAAATAAGTTGTAAAAGAGGCGAAATTGCGCTTATCACCAAATTCCATCTAGCCTCTAAGATTTCTAACTTCACACGAGCCGATTCGGTCAGTAAAGATCGACGAGGGACGATAACAACTTCTAAAAAAAAAAACTATCGCCCCTTAGGTCGAATATACTTTCATGTCCCTCTTTCACCTCCTCCCTTCTCACCTTCCTTGTTTGTGATATATTTTCTTAAGTAATATACGATTCCTTTACCTATTCATTCGACAATTTTTCCTAAGAATGAATTGTTTATATACGGACTATTGGTTTTTTTCAAAAATGTAGTGAAAAATGAGAAAAGGTTTCCCCCTGAGGACTCAGCGTGACATCCCTAAGCAACAGAAGGATCGAGTCAACAGCCTTATTCAGGGCTTAGTGTCGAATGACTGCAAAGAGTCCATCAGTTTAATTACTGCCTGCATTGAAATCGCCAAAGTTGAGAATTCGAAGCCTGTGAGTGGTTCATGAATAAACAACACTCTTTGGACACTTTTACTGCTACTTTGGGCCCATCACGTTAATTTTCGATACCTGATACCATCCATTAAAATTGTGAAGTGGGAAAACGTTTTCTTACTCTTTTTCAAATTAATAAAAAAAGTAAACTCAAGTATACAAATACCTTTATAAACATATATAAAAACCATGTTGAACTTATTACTTAAATATTGACTGTTTTTGAATCGGTAATAAATTATTCATTCATTCATGAAGAGCTTGGGGGCGGGGTGGGGGTTCCTCGTTGGGATGGAATGTTTTGTCGATTAGATTCCTTCACAAAGACTCCGCATAATACATGGTTGCATACAGTTCCACATACACACACGCGCAGAATTCTGTATGTTTTCTTAAAAGGTTGACGCAGTCAGGCATCCGTGAAAGAAAACGTTACTTTTTTTCTCTAAGGGTTTAAGCGTTCTCAATGATGAAATCATGCAGTATTAAATTCAGACATTCCTTTCGAAAAAACGGTAATAATACCTTGGAGGAGGGGAAAAATCTCCTTGTTTTATCAATCTTTCCTAATAACGATAATATCTTTGAAGAGAATAGAAAATCCAAAGGCGTCCTTTCCGCTGACTGATGCTTAAAGGAAAGACCTTTCTTTTTGTTATGTAAAAAAAGTGGAGGGTGACAAAGGGGGCGAAGAATTTCCTATTCTCGGTCTGGGCCGGATATTGAAAATTTTAGGAAAGTCCAACTCTTATAAGAGTTTCTTATTTAAATTTATACTCAAAGAGTTTATAGAATCCGGCAATCTAATTGGCAGTTAATTTTACTTTACAAAGTAAATTAGCCTCTATTGATGAAGACTGAGAAGAAACTACTTATCAATCCTTTTCTCATTGGGCAAATATTATCTTTTGTAGACGTTGCAATGAAGAAAAAAACACCCGGCCTGTAATGGATAAGTATTATGCAAGTTTCTTTATCGTGTAAGAAATGTAACAAGTACTTTTCTTTATTCCTCTTTTTATTGATGGTGATTATCATAGAGCCGATTGTCGTCTGGGAACAACTGTCACAATTTGTCTGAAAACCTCAATGATCACAAAAGTAGGTGAGTCGATCAAAAGTAAATTAGATAGTGTATTGAAATCGCCAAAGTTTCAGAAATCTGAAGACCGTAAAACGTTTTAATTCCATATGATTCGATGAATAAACAACGCGTTCTGGACATTCGAAACTGACAGTCCGAAACGGTGGCAACACGCTGAGAAAAAGCTGCTTTTTCCCGATATCGGATTTTCACAAGATAATTTATCTGCTATCCTCCTAAAGGGTTACTCACATTTAGTTTCTTCTTTCTTTCTTTTTTACCGACACGATATAAATCAACTTTTATCAAGGTTAAGTCTTGCTTTCGGGCCGAATATAGTAATTGTGCACATGGATCATAGGCGGTAGAAATAATTATATTTATAAATATTTTTGCGCATAAAGATTGTATTTATAGGCTTAAAATCTTTGAAGACAGCTTTTTCTTTTGTATAAGAATTGTCGTGATTTTAAGGATGAACGAGCCTTTTTCATTGGGTTTTCCTTTTTTCTTAATACTTATTTGCTCTTCTTTTTAACTTCATTTTTAAAAATTTCTTATAGGTTTTGGCACGAGTCAAAATGAGATCTAGCTCCATCTACTTGCCATTATTAGCCGGGTGAGATAATCTTTGACAGATGGCGCTTTTCATGAAAGCGCACCCTAGGTTAAGAGTACTCCGTCAAAATTTCCCATTGTCTATAAACTATATCATTCAAAATCCAAAAATTGCTTAAGAGACTGAGTCAGACTAGTGAGCCGTAGAGCAAAGGATGAAACGGTGTAGAGATATGTGTAATAAATTATACCTTGGAGAATACAGTTTTGAATGAATAGTTCAAGCGGTCAGGCGTTAAAAGTTCATCAAAGTAATTTCTTTTCGTTGTCCGATAATATGAAAGAGTACGTTCTAAAAACATTTATCCAACCTCTTTTATGGTATTTATTTACTTATTTTTTTCCTAATATAAATTTTTAAAAGGCTATAATTATAAATATTTTCGTTCTTGAAAGATTGTCTTTCTATACTTTAAAATGCCGAAAGACAGTTTTTATTGTTATAACATGAAATTTCTAAACTTTTAAGTAGGAAGGAAAAATTTAATAAAAATTTTCTTTTTATTTTATTTTCTTTATTAATACTTTTATATATTTCAGCTTATTCAATGTTTAATGATTTTGTAATAAATACTGAAAGAATAGAAGCTCCCTCTGTGGTATATATTTCGGACAAACACACTTGTAGATGGCGCTTTAACATTTTTTCAAGGTTACAAACCAACCAACTGAAGAAAAGTTTCTTATAATACATAACTGACTTATTCACTGAAACGAGACGCCCTCTATATGCCCTATATCATTATAACTATCCCACTAACACATATATCTTTATTAGAATTATTACTAATTTTATACCCACAAGCTATCAAATTTTACTCGTCTTCACTTTTTGTATTATTGATATTGAAGAAGATAGAAAAAGCTTGGCAATAAAACTACTTTTCTTCTATTGTACTTAACGGGAAAGCTATTTTAGAACGACAGATAAATTGCGCCATCTTGTGATAAAATTTCTGAGAAACTTTGTTACGTAATTCCTATTTGTAAAAGAAAGTTTGAGATTGTAATTAATCTATTATGAAATCTTAAGATGAGATGATAGAGTGATATGAACAGGTGTAAGCAATCAAGCATTTACACTTGAATGATGACTAAAGTGGTCAATTCAAATATAGGTGAAAAAATTTTTTAAGTAACATATACTGCTTAAGGAAGAACCTTGCTATAGATTTCAGTGTACAGTTTTAAAAAATAACAATAGTCTGGCTTAAAATACCATATAGGTCTAATTATCAATTCAGCTATTCAGTTTCACTTGTAGCCTCCCTTTAGTTTTTGACAGCCCTTCTTTTCATAAGTACTAGATCTGTGATAGATGTAAAGAATAAATAAATTAAAAACTAAAGTTATAAAAATATTCCAGTACATTAGCCTCGGTTTACAACAACATTTTAGTCTATAAAGAAGAGTTATATATAGGATATGACTAACTGCTTATGTTTCTTTTCATTTAAGATAAAATGAAATAAACAAGTAAAGGGACGTTTCAACTTTGACCGAAACATTTCTTTCTTATTTTCCCTTTCAATATGAATTTCTTATCTATTAGCAGTTCGACAAAGCCACCTCTTACATGAAGATTACATAATCTTAACTTTCGCTTGCAGATAAAAAGGTGGTAGAGTAAACCTACAAAATCTGCACACACCAAAGATATGTAAAAAACGTTTTTTACTGTACATACACTTGCACCATGCTAGGTGATTTGACCTAGAAATAAATGGGGAGCTAGAGGTAGAGCTAGAGATTGAGAGGGCAGAGTTTAACCAACAGGACGTTATCGTTAACCTTCTGGGCTTCTGGCCCAGTTTGTCGGGAAGCTCGACCGCTAGACGTCGCTTTTAATCTGTTAGCGATATCGTCTCGAGTTTTCGACCAGACCAAGCCAACCTAGTGCGGCGTGCGGCGTACGTTTCATAGTGGGAAAGCAAGGAGATTAAGGTGGTGAACGGAGAAGGAAAACTAGGATAACAGAAGTGATACTGGTAAAATATAATTCGTAGATTAGAAGAGAACAATCGGATAAGAAGTATTTGACGACGTTAAATGAACGATTGCTGAGAATCCGTCATAGTTGTAGAAGAGCACATTTTGGGATATATATATATATATATATATATATTATATATATATCGGCAAAGTACCAGTTTGGATATTGAAGAGAAGAGGAGTTAAAGCAAGGGGAGAGAGTAAGAGAGAGAGTGAGCTGAAAAAAAAAATATGAATGCCCTTACGTTGGTGGTCTGCGCGATCCTTCTCCTATTTCAAACCGCAAACACACAGAGAAGGAGGTCAAGATGTATGGACGAGGAGAATAACCCTGTTTTCTGTCGTCCTGGTTTAACAAATATAGCAAGAGGTTTAATTCCTAATGTTACAAGTCAATGCGGTTACAGAGGATCAAGAGAAAGCTATTGCTTTATGACGACAACTACCTCTAGAGGTTCCACCCGAGTTCGATGCTTTGTTTGCGACGATCAAAGATATAGTGGAGATACTTTATATACTACCCTTCTACCTGAAAGAATGACAGATGCTTCGGATTCAACTTTCTGGGCCAGCGCTACCACCTATACTGATCGTACTATATCTAGAAGCCCAGTTAACGTTACGATATTGTTTGGTAGGTTAAATTGTTTGTATATATTGTACGACGCTAACCTTTTGACCTTATAGGTTTTTAAACGCACCACGCCTAGATATATTAGCATCTCTACATTTTTTGATTTTCCCATAGAAAATTTTCCATTGAATAAAAAAAAGCTTGAAGAGTAACCTACGTGAGAACAAAGCAGTTCGAGTTAGGGGCTTATGTTACTCCCAATAAAACAATGGACATAAAATATAGTTAACAGTATATGTATATTCTGTAGATACTATCAGAAACAAAAATTTTCTAATTGGTATAGTTACTAATCGATTACGTAACAATTTTTGAGAAATACTTATACATGTGTTTAACACTCCTAATGCTAGACTACGAATTATACGGCAATTACAAACGGTTTTATTGGTGTAATAGGTTTTGCTTGACCTAGATATGCCTTCTAAGGCTCTAAAAGCGTATTTGAAGTGAAGCAAACTTTTTATCTTTAAATGAAAGCAGAGACAAGAAAGGCGACTTATTTTTTTAAAGTAGATTTTTACATGTCGTACGGTCGGAAAAAAGTGGAACACTAATTTTCTTATAAATTACAGGAAAGAAAATGATTTTGGCGAACATTAAGATCAAATTTCGGTCAACAGCACCTCAAAGTTTTGTTATAGAAAGATTGACAGTTGATGATAAATGGGAACCCTATGTCATATACAGTTTAACATGTGAACGAAGATATGGAATGCACGATTGGGAGCTTTCGGATCCAATATTTACGAAGGATAATTTTTCCGCTCCTTATTGTACGAGACAGTACGTAGATTTTATTGGTTATGAATATGGTCGAGCGATTTTTGTGCCTAACATAAATCGATTTTCCGGCCATACATCTACGCAAGAAATGATGAAAAACTTTGTAACAGTAAAAGGTATAAGAATTTCTCTGCAAGAGATGATAACAACTCCCTACGCCAACCAAGACGATCTTCGTCGGCAATTTTATAGCATAAGTAATATTCACATTGGCGGTAGTTGTTACTGCAGCGGTCATGCAGATACCTGCACATATTATAGTGAGAGATGGATGTGTGAATGTGCTCATTATACAACGGGTCCGAACTGTGAGAAATGCTTGGAAGAATATCAGGATGTTCCACCAATGCCCGGTACACCGGAAAATGTAAATGCGTGTAAAAGATGTCAATGTAACTTTCATTCTGAAAGATGCATATTTAACTCAACCCTATATAAAGCAACTGGTAGTGGTAGTGACTGTAGTTTATATTGCACAAGTCATACAAAGGGAAGAAATTGTGAATTGTGTGAAGACAACCATTACAGAGATTTAGACGATCCAACCCTGCCTTGTTATCAATGTCGATGTGATTTATTAAATACCGAAAAATGTGATCCAGTAGGGGGCAAATGTACCTGTAAAGAGGGTGCAACGGATGAATTCTGTAGTTCTTGTCTAGATGGTTATTATAACACTGGTTCAGGATGTAGAAAATGTACTTGCAATGATGAGGGTACCCGTTTTTGCGATAGAGGAACTTGTCAATGTAAGGCGCACGTAAAAGGTACTGACTGTGATCAATGCATAAAAAGTTTCTTTGGATTTTCTGGAAATCTAACACGAGGATGCTTGCCATGTTATTGTTCTGATAGAACTGATATTTGTACTGTAGCTGATAACTTTTATAAAAATACAATCGAAGCCAATTTTAAAGCTGATAATGATGGCTGGAAACTAGAAGAGTTTTTCATGGGACAATCTCTGAATACCTCGGAAGACTATCTGGAGCATGATTCTGGATTGGTTAAGCCAAAAAGAATTGAATTTACTGATGGATATGAGTATTTCTTTATAGCCCCTAAAAAATTCCTAGGTGATCAAAGGAAGAGTTTTTACAAATTTGTTACCTTTACTTTGGTAAGCGAATCTGAAGTTAATCCGTATAATCAGGATAATGATTTTATATTGGAGGGAACTGATGGCTTACAGATTAAAAAAACATTAGCGAAAGTTCCTAAAGTCATGGGTGCTTCGTATAAAATTCAATTGAATAGGGATGGTTTAGAATTTACTGATGATAGTTCAATAGCACAAGTTCTATCAAATTTGACAGCGATAAAGATACGAGCCGCTGTACCGAATAGAGTAATTAAGTACAAGTTGACACATTTTGCGCTGGAATCAGCGGACACTTCAGTGGGAGGCGATATTGATAGGATGGTTGAGAATTGTACTTGCCCACCAGAATATACAGGACTTTCTTGCGAAAAATGTGCACCTGGTTACTATCGAAGTACGCCTGGTCCGTATGGCAGATGTGTCAAGTGTGACTGCCATGGGCATGCTATTGATTGTGATCCAGAAACTGGAGTATGCCTTGACTGTAAACATGATACAACAGGAGATCACTGTGAAAAATGTAAAGATGCTTTCTATGGTAATGCTCTCCAAGGAGGACCAAACGATTGTCAACCTTGCAAATGTAAAAACACAAAAAAGAATCTTGCAACCTGTACTGTTGATAAGTTTCAGAATGTAGTTTGTTTGAATTGTTTGGAAGGATATAGTGGTTTAAGATGTATGGAGTGTTCAATTGGTTACTACGGAAATCCAGATTTACCAGCAACTCAGGGAGGTGGACCGTGCGTGAAATGTAAATGTAATGGAAACGTTCATTCTAATGTCATCAATCCATGTAATAGGACATCGGGAGAATGTTTGGAATGTTTGGAATCGACGATGGGTTCACATTGTGAAGATTGCGCTCCAGGTTATTTTAATATGACTTACGGTCAAGGCTGTGAAGCTTGTAGTTGCTACTTTAACGGAACGAAGAAGCCTGATAACTATACTGATGAACTTTTAACCTGTGATTTGAAAAGTGGCCAATGTGATTGCTTCGATAGAGTTGAAGGTAGAAGATGCGATAAGTGTGAACAAAATTTCTACGGTTTAGACTCTGGCAAAGGCTGTACCGCCTGTCTGTGTAATACGACCGGTACAAAGACAGGTCAGGGACAATGCAATGTAAAAAGTGGTCAATGCGATTGTAATAAAGGCGTAAGTGGTTTAAGGTGTGATAAATGTATTGAAAATCATTGGGGATTCTCATATTCTGGTTGTGAACCTTGTAATTGCGATCCTGAAGGCAGTTTGTCCGAACAATGCGATCTGTTCACTGGAGAATGCAAATGTAAGCCAAATTACGTTAGCAAAACGTGTTCTGTGTGCGCAGAAAATCGCTATAATAAGGCTAGGGGTTGCTTGGAATGTGATTTATGCTACAGCGAAGTTCAATCGCTTGTTAATACTACTAGAGACAATTTGATGAAAGTGGAACAGATGATAGTAGATATTCGTGACAATCCAAAGAAACTAAATGATTCAGATTTTGCTGAAAAGTTAGAAGCTGTAAATGCTTCAATATCTGCTTTATATGAAAAAGCGTTGAAACAAACGGGAGGTGGTGGAATGAGTATGCTTGCTGAAAAGCTATCGAACGATTGGAAAGAGCTAGAAGAGAAATTAAAAGAATTAATGAATGGAACACAAACAATACACCAAAATTTGCACATTACTGACAAAAATTTGATGGAAGTGAGAGCAAAAATAAACGATACCCAATATAATCTCGATGAAGTTGAGTCAAAGTTGAATAGTAGTTGGGCGTTGCTTCATAAAACAGAAGAATTACTTAATGAGCATGGTCAGCAAAATGCTGAACTAACAATTATTGCTATTAAAGCAAGAGATACTGCTGACTCAATTCATAAGTCGGCTATACAAATAAATAAAACTGCCAATGAAAACTTTGAAAAAGTTGAAAAGCTTCAACAAACAATTACTGAAACGTTTGATAAACCTGATCTTCTAAAAGATCTAATTGAAGAATTGCAGATAAATCTTACATCAGTTCGAAGTAATTATAAAAATACCTTGGATCTAATAGAGAGCTATAAAAAAATTGCAGACGATTTGAGAAAAGCAGTTATTCAGATCTCTGTCAATGTTGATAGAGATTTAGGCTACAAAGTCAATTTAACAATTTATGAAAATATGTTAAATGAAATAAATGAACAATATGAAAAGATTAAGGAACTTCTCGAAAATCGAAAAGAAAAATATGAGAAAGATGCTGAAGAGATGAGACCAAATGTTGAAAAGACAAAGAAACAAATATATGAAATAATGGAGTTATCCAAACGATTTAACCTACTGCTGGCCCAAGCATATATGGAGAAAAAGAAAATTTCTAGAGCTGTTGAAGAATCTGGATATGCTATAAAAACTGCAAAAGAAACATACAAAAGATTGCTAGATTTTGATAATGTTATTCAACGTAGCAAGAAAAAATCTGAAGAAGCGGAAGCGAATTCACACCAAACCAAACAATGGATTAAAGAAAGTAATATGAAAAGTATCGAAACTGGAGAGAACATTGAAAATGCTGATAGTGTTTCATCACAGGCTGTGGAGACTCTTCGACAAGGAGAGAAGGAAAGTGAAAATATCGATCAAACAATTAAAGATGTCTTTAAAGACTTAAACGAGAGCAATGAAACTATTAGCAAATGTTCTGAATCAATGAGAGATTTGGTAGAAGGATATGAAAAAACATCAATTTATGTTAACAATACCCAAACTATAAACGAGGATAATAAGAAAACACTTGATAAGGTATTTATAATGATTTATTTATATTTAAACCGGTATATTTATTTATTTATTAGGTCTCCGGAGTCACTTCACAAATATCCACCACTACACGAGACTTGGAGGAGAGCATAGAGAACTCTACAAAGCTAATTGATGAAATAAAGAATATTATGGGTGCGTGTATAATTTAATTCACTGAAAGTAATATAGATGGCACTACTTTTAAAATTATATAGCAAGATATATGACCAGGCTTGTCAAGAATTGTAAGTGAATATAGTGAATATAATGGTTTTTTTTTCAATAGATACTCTTGGGGATATTGACGAAGAGCGCCTCAAAGAATTAGAAGAAAAATATACTGGATTAAGAACGAAGTTCGATGAATCAGAAATTAAAAGTTCAATAGAAGAAATGACGCAAGTAATTAAAACAAGCGAGCAAACATTAGCCGAATACGAGGAGCAGAATATATTCTTCTTGAAAGAAATAGAAGCATTAAAGAAAATTCAAAAAGTTTTCCCAGATAAGCCGAAGCGAGTTTGGTCGAAAGAGTAGAAAAGACGTTTTTAGCGGAGGTCTATATACTATATTTGTACTTAGATATAGCTTTTGACTGTGTAATGTAGTGTTGAAAACGTACGCTTATAGTTATGTTAATAAAAATTCTTAAAAGATGGTCGCAAAAAATAAAAAAAAGGAAAACATAACAAATAAAACATTAAACTTACCTTAAATTTTTATGTTTATTCAACCTAAAATATTTGCAAAACAGTTTCTTAAACTTTGTAATAAAAAAATGGTACAATACCTAGAAAAAGTGAATATATAATTAAAAACACAAAAGAAAAGGGGATTGATCATTTCGTGGAAAAATAAGCCTACAATCAAATATAGATAAACTTAAAGAAAAACAACATAAACATATATATTAGAATATATATCCAATATATTTTTGTCATATACTGCAAAAGTATTAATATTTCTCACTTTAATTAAATTTTCGCCATTTGAATATTGCGAACAAGATTAAGAAATAGGAAACGTTTTGATTTTAAAGCTTTGTTTTACCTATAAAGGTGAATTTTCAAGGTGGGAATGTAGAGTAAAAATAAAAAATCTATTTCTAAAGTAATATTAACCTATTTAATTACTTTACTTTTTCTTATATTAAATTTTCATATAGTTAATGAATCATTTCGAAAATAATAGATCATTAAATAGAATATATACTCTATATGTTGTATATACTGTATATACGCATCTATACAGCATATTAATAGATATATTACTTCCATATTATATGGAATGAAGTTTTCTATTATTGCTGATAGAAGGAAAATGAAATACGTAACTATTAATGTTAGTTAAAAGTGTAAAATTATAAAACAGATAGTGATTTGTAAGATAATCTCTTTGCTATCTTTTATACTATATATCTATCAATTTCTTTGGCTTTTTCCACCTTTTCTTCTTGTCTCCCTCTGGCCATATTATATTTTTCTTTTCTTAAAGAGATTAAGATCATTATTTATTGTTATTATTTTTAGATAAAAATTTTTAAAATATTTCTTTTTTTCTTGTGGTTGAAGGCTTTTTGTTTACATATTGTAATGACACGTTATACTGACATTCATCTAAACCATATATATATATATTTATTTGTGTAAAGTCTTTAAACCAGAACAAGTTTTTGCCAAAGTCGTTTTAAATTAAAAATTTATATTCTGGTTATGCATTTCATTCCATTCTTTATTAAATAATGGTTTTAAGGTCCACTATATTTATATTACAGTAATGTTATTGCTTTCAAAGGCATTTTTATTGAATGTTCTTGAAATATATAAAAATTTTCACATAAGGCAGATGGCGCCAAACAAATCAATAGGAGTCGCTGCGGTCTATTGACGTCACGTGGATTCCCGTATTTTTAGAAATGTTAATGAGCTTCCAAACAAAACAATCTCGTACGCAAGAACTCGAAAATCGTAATTTTCTCCTGTTTTTAGTGAGTTTCAGCGATCGAATCATCTCTGGACTTGTCTTAAAAAATTAAGTATCGTCTGTAACGAAGAAATTTATTTGTTTGGAAAAATTTTCACGACGTTTTAGGCTCAGTGTTAATTGTAAAGGAAGAACAAATCACAACTAGAAAAAGAGATTGGTTACCAGTGAAGGTATGTCAACTAGAAACCTTTTTTTTCATACTAGCCAGTTTTATATTAAATATATGTCCGGATTTCAATGCTTACTATTTTAATTACTGTTCGCTCCCATTGACCATCGGCTGACCAATCCGCCATTTTTTATGACCTAGTTTCCCCCCGCTTAATTTCTCCTTGGGATAATCGCAGTGTTTTTAATAAGTTTTCAATGAAGGTAATGAAAAATATTTGTAATTTTTACTGTTTAAGTACTGCTTATGTAAATTTGTCAGCCAAGATATCTACATTAAATATATTAACGGTCAAATTGCTGCTGAACAGACCGAGGGTAACTCGATGGTGGGGTGTGGGAGTGGATTCATTGTAGCATGGGAATAGGGGGAGGGATATAGGTTGTTGGGTAATTGCCGTTATTAACATTATTCAATAGCTATTTCTTATCTTAATCCAAGCGTAAGATATAATTGTAATTTCCTTCCTGAGTAGTCTTGTGTAATTTTAGCCTTAAAGAAGCAGGGGGAAAAATCTTCCTTAGTCTGTAACGAATTCAATAAATATTCTTTTACTTTTACTTCAACAGATTTCGTATGCTAAATAAAATATAAATGAAAATAAATAATTCATTTCTTAAATAGGTCGATATTTTTATCGTTTCAATTTATGGAGTGCATTATACAATAGGTTTGAGCACTTTCAGCAGCTAATACTCGTCTTCGTCCTAAGTTTTTTTGTTGTATAAAGAAAAATAATTCCTCTAATAGTAATTGAACAGTAAAATCTCCTTAAAGAATCAGGAATTAATTCGTAAATTAGCCACATTCAAAAAAAACTAGTCAAGTGATATTGTATACATTTTTGAATGATTTTCGTATTATCCAGAAAACGATTTTCAAAACGATTCAGTATAGTAATATAACTTTATTTTGAAACGCCGAAAGCTTATCAAGTACGACTTTCGTCAACCAAAAAAATTCGATTAAATTATGTAAATAATGCTTTTATGTCTTTGAACCCTGTTTATTATGATTCTGATCCTTATTGTTTATTCGGTGGTACTTCTATTTACTTACGAGTACAATTTTCGTGATAAGAATATTTTATTTAACCCAAAGTATCTCTCCAAACCCTAAATAAATTTTAATCAAAAATTACTTCTCCATTACATTTTTTATATCCGTTATCTGTTAATTTATTATCTAACTGAAAAGTTGGTAAATCTATATGATTACATACCAAAATAGAATATATAAAAAACTCTTATTTAAAGTTTTGTTCATGAAATGCGAAGCATTAACTTTCCTTTGTGAAGAGAGAGTCGCAAATATAGTGTACCCTTGTTTAATGTATCAAAATACCAACAATTTGATTTATTACGATACCTTGACCTATGTTTTTGATAGGCGAATGTTGGCTTTTTTCGACATTATCCAATTATTTTATATCGGCCTATTTCTCGTGTCGTTACTTAATTGATCTGGAAACTTTCCGTATTACTCATTGTCAGGTATTAACGAATATTATTTACCATTTTTTTGTACTACGAAAGGTCATTTTACTTATAATTAAACCCTAATTGTTTTCATTTCTTGCGTAATGTTTTCATACGTGATTCTGTAAAAATTCTGTAAAGTAAATTTCAATTCATGTATAAAATACGAGAATGGAGACATACAAAAGTAAATCGATTGGACCGGAGTATTTGCTGTTTTTTGATTACTCTTTCCATATCCGATCGTAACTTTCTCTTAGTTAATTTAGTCTCAATAACGACTTGATGAAAACACGATCCTATAGCGATATGTTTATGTATCTGAAAGAACTATTATGTTTTTATAAATTCTCGTAGTTATGACTAATAATAATATTGATTCACTCTTTTACCCAATATAACTTGTCATCAACTTTGATGACTAAGATAAGAACGAATGAGTTGTATGTTTTATAATAAAAAAGACCATATATTCTTTCTCTTTAAAAGTAAATAGTCATACTTGAGAAGCTAGCAAACTCATTAACAAGTTAACAGGCAGTAGCAATAGTATATATTTGTTCTTTAGGTGATATTTGCAAATGAAGAAGAAAAAGGAAGAAAAAATATTGAAAGTTATTTAAGTTAAATATTTTCCTCATCGATAAACGGAATTATGATCTGACAAATATATCGTTTAGTTATTTTTTTTTGCTTTCGGATTAAATTGAACAACGAAATAGAGACAGCAAGGACAAATATTCTTGGCTTTCTATTATTCAATTGAAAAATGGAAACTTGTTTTGCAAAATGTTTACTGATTTGTTATTTTTACCATTTATTATTTAAAACTCTACAAAAAGAATGAGAAGAATAAATGCATACAATAGTTCTTTTTTATATAGTGTATATCAGGATACTGTATACTTGTAAATTTTACATATTGAACAAAATATTATGATAATTCTATCCAATGTTTCAACCATGAAAGTATTCGTAACTAATATATGTCATTTTGATTAATGAATGATAGATAAAAAACAAGAGACTTTGTTACTTCTTCCGTCTTTCTATAGTTTTTTGATAAAGTCAACTCGTAAATTTATATCTTAACAAAGGTGCGACAATTTTTACGTTATTATTCCATCTTATCAAAGATGCTTTTATTTTTATCGGTTCAAAGTATTCACTCGCTATTCGTCTTTTACTATGTAATTTTATCTACTGTTTTCGTGTTGAAGATGTATTTGATAATATTGCTTATATCTCTGAAATTGTAAGAATATTGTCTGTTATGCTATCACTAATACAATAAATATCTAAGTGAATTAATATCCTTAACTATTGTTAATAATGTTTTTTAAATAGTCTTTGTCTTTTTTAATTCCTACAGTGATCTTCGCATGAAATCCATCCTAATCATCTGCCTTATCGCACTATGGGCGGACGGGAGGGCCGATTATTGGGAGAATGAAAAACACTCGGGAGACATAAAGGCCTTCCAATTTAAACGCGTCCGCTCAGATGACGATTGCGCAACATCTTCTCAGGATTCTATTTACTTTGTGTATCTTCCTAATTTCCCTTCAAAAAGATATTTAAATGTAACAGTCAGAATAATTGCTAGCAGACGTTTAATAGGTAAAGTTTACTATATTCTAATCAAAATATGTACAATTTATAATATAAAGACATTCTTTCGCAGAGGAAAGGAATGTAAAAAATATAACCATAATTCTCAGCGGAAATAATATAAATTGGCAGATAAACACAGATTGGTTAAAGAAGAGACAGCGCATGAGGATAAATGTATATGTAAGTATAGATATATTTTATATTGACAGTTGTTGCAGCTGAACAAATTAATATCTCTCGTAAGTTATATATTGAAATCGTACAGTAGATTTCATATAAATATATCAATAAATCATAAATTTTACAGCATGAATAGGATAAATGAATTTAAAAACACGCATTCTAATTTATATCCTGGTAGTTCAAGACTATATAAAATTTTCATGAGCAAGCCAAATTTCTCACACTATTAAATGAAACAAACAAAATAATTTTATATATAATATAATATTATTTATAAATATTGTGGTCGCTAAAACTTTGTAAAACGGATTATTTGTTAAAAAGAAACAATTTTATGCATTATATAACGACATAAGTAACTTGATTAACTATTCATAGAAAGAATTTACCAAGAGGCTATTCATACAAAAGACATAACGTGGGGTGTCTTTTATAATATGAATAATGTTGCTTAGGCCGTTCGTATATTTACTTTCTAAAGAAGGGGGAGGAACTAATGACAATAATTAATACATACACATATATATATATAACTATCTAAGCGCATTTGTTAAGAAATTCCTTAATCAGCTATATATCTTATTTTATTTTAACTAGGATGATATTAAGTAAATAGGGATATAAAGAAAACATTTTACCATAGGAAGTTCAATATGCTCATCTATTTACTCCTTCAACATCAATTGTGAAAAAGCGCTGGAATAGTAAATAAATATCTAGAAAATTGTATGAGCGTGTGTAGGTTAAGCTCCCAGTGGACATATAAACTTACTATGTGTACTTTTAAAATGAAGAATTAGCAATGTAATGTCATAAACTATGATTTATTATTAAACGCTTGGAGATTTATCTGAGAGTAGTTAATTTATACTATATAATTTGATAATTTTTTTGATTAGGTAGATTTTTGATTACTAAATTGAAAGTACTAAATCTGCTCTTTTTCAGCATCACAATACTAGTCGAGTCATTAATTATAAGAATAAGAAGTTTGAGCTGTTTGCTTATCCCAGCTTACCAAGATTAAATTTCACAAGCTTAAAAAGTCATGTTCAAAGAAATATTGGGCAAATCCAAGGATTTACGTATCTTAAAAAAAGAAGAGTTGATTATATAGAAATTGAACCTTTTACTGGAAAAAAGTTCAAACAGTTAGGAAGAACATGCTCGAAGTTTAGTTCACACAAAATCATCAAAGCTTACAAGTGAGTTACGGAAATTTTTTTATATTGATTTCTTGCTACACTAAAATTTCGATTATTTACGACAAACTATTGCTTGCGCTTGTTAATCTCTCTCATTTTTATAAACATTACATACCAGTTGAAACCTGCCCAACTTTCAAAATTTATTGATACCACATAAATATTAAGGTGAAATACAGCTTCAAAAAACAACAATGAAACAATGTTAGCTGTTTTCTTTCATTAAGAAACGGTTAAGAGCGTTTTTATACGAATCAGTAAATTTAGAAATTAGTTAAATGAACACATTTTAAAGAATAATTCAAGTTTTATTGTCAAGTTTTATTACTTTACAACTGAATTACATAAAGACACAAGCATTCAATTTAGTAAATGCTCTCTTAACGATTGAAACTATTTTGCAGGTTAAGAGACAGCTTAATAGAAACTAAAATTTATAAAGGTTCAAAACATACGAAAAAATCTGAAGATTTTTATATTTTTGATGTTCAACCTACGAGCGACAACGTAATTTTGAATGTGACGGTAAAAGCAGATTCGGGGCCAATAGAGGCAAAAATTTACATAAGAACGGCCGCGAGAGCACACAAATCAAAAACGAAATATCATATTAATTTAAATGGTGTTGGTTTTCATCGTCTAAATGTAATATCGGACGAAAATTCTAAAATTATTGATCCAGTTGTTATACCAGAAGATTTTCAATTTGGAACTAGCCAGAGTGAAAATAATACATCTCAACTAAACCAAGATCAATTTTACGACTATATTAAAAAAACTTATTTCTTAAAAACAATCTCAAAAGTTATTTATGTCAAGATGAAAGCGTCAATTATTAATTCTGAACTAGAACAAAAACCTCTTTGCACAATGTATGATTGCATTCGAAATTCTTTTATTTTGGTTTGCAAGGAGGATGCTTTTGATGTTTCTTTGCGTTATCTGATATTAAGAGCTCTACCGAATTTGGATGATTTCCGTTTCACCTTGAATGATTCCAAATGTGAGTTGAAAAAATCGGCAAATGGTTATGATATACATTCTACGATGTTAGAATGCGATAGTGGCATTGTTACAAATGACTATGGACGGCATTTTTCGAATTCTATCGTTGTTAGAAGACGAACTGGTAAAGATTCAAATTGGACTATTGAACATCAAATGCCTTTCGTTTGTAATTACCCAACTTCGAATAAAGGTGTTCAAAGAGTTAAACAAACTTTTAAAGAAGAAACAATTATCATGAATGTTTCTTTCGATGGTGAGAAGAATGAGAATGACGCTATAATTAACGATGGTTCAGCAATGGTAGTAAATCTGGACATTATAAAGAAACCCGAAATGGCTAATTTGGATTTGGGACCGTCACTTTTCAATTGTTATATAGAACTTCTTAAGTCCAATAAAGATCGAGTGTATTTAATCAAAGATGGGTGAGTTTTTACGCTAAATAATGTAATATTTAAGCAACTAATATTTAACAACAACTTGTATGTAGATTTTATTTATCTATAACATAATTTATCGATTATTAATGAAGTCATTAAATTTAGAACAAAGAGTGTTCTGACATTATTCTAAAAAGAGATTTCAGATAAAGCTATTGAAAAAATGTTGTTTTTCAAAAATTGATAGTCTGCACATATTTATTATACAGGATCGTCTCATTTAGAGCTCTATGAAAAAAAACGATCTATGAAATATCAAGAATTAATTGTGAGCTAGGAGAGATTTATTCTATTTTTTTAGAATTCCGAGAATTTTGTATCGTTTATATTAAATTTGCTAAACCAGATGAAGTGTTAGTTAAGTTAATAATTTTAGAAATACGAATTACCTTTTCTTAAGACTTTTTTAGGTCGTAAAATTAGATCTGATAAACAAACCTTTCATGACAAAAAATGAGATATACCCAGGTTTTTAAAACATTTTTAAATCATTTCACTACTACTATATGGGGAAAATATTATACATTGTCTATGTGAGATCATTGCTTTATACTGTATATGCTACACCCTATTTGTGAACTTGCTTGCCCAGTTCATGGAATTTACCTTTATAAGCATAAATTTTAAATTTCATACAATTAGATTTTTTCAAGAAATAACTAGGTGTTCATTTCAATATAGTGAAAATAATAAATATTCTGAAATCCATCTCTCATAAAACAATATAACATTCACACCTCATATAAACATTGTATATAAGATCATACCAGAGCAGTAAAACCTAAGATAAACTATTTCATATAGAAATGTACGACTCTATAGTCAACATTTTTTAAAGAAAACATTGTTTAAGGAGTTTAAATCGTTCCCTGACTTTATATTATGAAAGTTACTCCGTTCTTGAAACGGGTAACAAAAATCTTGCTCATTCCGTAAATTGGGCAGTTTTGCAGATAAGAGTGTAACATACATAAATAGTCTATTTTAACCTTCACCTCTGGCAAAGTGAAATTTGAAAAAACGTTTTTTGTGGTTAGGAGATAGAGAGTAATCTATTTTTTCATTTAGATACACAGCGAGTGTTAATAACAAAACAAGCTGTTTTGATATATAAGTTGTATTTATATTGTAGACAATGATCCTTATCAGCTGAAGATGTCTCTTAATCTTGAGGCGATTTTCTTTCTTATTTTATATATTACTAAAAAAAATCATTAGCACGTTTTCTATTTTATAAGATTATAAGTTTCGACTGAATAAGATTCTTAACAATCTAATATTACAATTGTTTATAGCAATTCTAAATGGTGTTTATCCAAACGCAGGTGTATGTCGGAATATCTGATCAGTCGGAACGAGATAAGAAGTTTATCAAATCGTAAATTTGAAGTAATCTTTCAACAATTCTTTCCTAAGACCGCACCAAATGCTGTTGAGTTGGTTTGTCAAGTTGGCATCTGCATCAATAATTTCTCAAAATCTCCTGATTCGTGCATCAGTCAAAAACAGCTTTGTCATAGGAGTCGAAATATGACAGATCTGCCTACAATTCGATCAGCCCCTTTTATTTATAGTGGAGGATTAACCTATAATAAAAAGGAAGCGAACGAATTTAATAGCAAAGTTAAAGGTATTAAATTAATTTTTCATGTATAAAACAGAAAATTGCTTTAGTCAATAAGTTGAAAAAATTAGATATTTGTAAACTATTGCTATGCTTTTTCAACACTTTTAGTTGTATAATATATGCAAATGGTATCTAACATACACAGGAAATGGTTTTCAAAGCATTTTAAATCTTATTAAGCGATTATTTATTAAAAAATAGAGGCTTAGAACATAGATTTCCTTAAAGAGGTTGACATTGAGTTTAAATCGCAATAACACAAGAAAACAATGTGACCTTTAAATAGCGGCTATAGAAGGAGAATGACTTATGGCATTCATTCCATATCTGTTCAGCTAGAAATAATTGCTATTATTTTTTGTATTTGATCAGCTGTATTAAATGTTCTATGATGACTATTACACGCTTCAATAGTCGATGATGACGGTTATTAATATGTTTTTTGTCTGTTCGTCAATGAATTTTATTTCTTATCTGTCGCTGGCGATGAGCTTGTGTTGTTTCGACTGACAATTTTCATTAGTCTTGCTATAAATCTTGATCAATAGCTGAATAGTTATAGCTTTTCGCTTTGAAAGAAAAACTGCGCATTTTATACACGAGACTTCGATAAAGAAAAGAGGGTGGGAGGATATAGCTGTAAAGGATTTGGTCAACGTATCATTCCTTATCTGATTTTGTAGATTATTTTTAAATGTCTTAAATAAATAGTGACGGAGTTATAGAAAAAAAGTATATGGATATTTTGATTTATTACTGCTACAAAAGAGAACAATACCATACATTTTATAGACAAGTAAAACACTTCTCATAAGATGTCATTGTCTTCCTAATTTTAAGCTTTAAACATAATACATAAAAAGAATGATTTCTAGTTTACGCAGAACCTATATTTTCTTTGTTTTTAAATTCCAAAGATGAAATATAGACGTAGTTAACCTAGAATTTTCAAGTATTTATAGTCTGTAAAGTTTTTGTGTGAAAATTTGATACAATATAGAACTTTTGTCTTTTGCAGAGAAAAAATCTACAAGACAGCCTTACGAACCAAACGCAACGTCTGAATTGAATTGCACAAAGGCGAAAACTAGCGGTGCCTCAACGGAATTGGTTATTATAATAGCATTTGTTGCTTTCATCATCGGCGTATTTTTAACGCTTATCCTCGTCTGCATTCGTTCGAAAACGTCACCTCAGCTACACTTGAGCAAAAAGAGCCAGCAACAAACTAGCGCTAACCCGACACCAGATTCATTAACACCTTTAAACAATACAAAGGAGACTGTTTGACTTGGTATATAAAGGTATATGTATCACAAGAAATTTTTGAACTGAAACTCAGGGTATCTATATGATAAACTCTATGTACTTATGAATTAACGTAGATACTTGTACATATATATAAATATCTATATGTATATATATGTACTGTTGTACTATGATCATTTTCTTACAATAAATGAATGTGTAAATATATATGTTTGTACACGAATATGCATACATAAAATGTATCTTCTGTTGACATATGTTAACCGAGCCTGAGTATGAAATAGAAGAGCTCTAACGTTATTTATGAAGTGGTATCCCTAAGAAAATTATGTTTCCTCAGTTTTCAAGTTGTCGTCAATATTGTACATTAAACCTATGTTTATACAAGTGGCTCAGGGAATGAATGATTGTAAAGATGTAAGAAATTTTTAAAGCTTTATCAGTGTTTTATTATATTTCTTGTAAAGAAAATGAATAAGTTTTGTGCCATTTTTTTGATGCAATGAGTGGTAATCACGGTACTATTTTTTTTTGTTACATATATATACTCGGAGTAATTTTGTACTGTTCTTGTTACGTTGTGTATATATTTTTTGTTTTTATTCTTTCTGGAAGTAAAATTGAAGTTTTGTCTTAACTTAAAGTGTTGATGGGTATATTATATGTATTTGAAATATAAGTATGTATGCAGTTTACAAGTTGGGAGAGTACGTATCTTAGAGATGACGAAATCCGAAAAGTCATGTTCTTTACAGCGAAGACGGGTTTCCTCTCAGGAATTTGGCTAGTGGTGCTTCTTAGCATAATCTGATATGCAAACCTACCTCTGTTTAAAAATCGGCTATAGTCTGTGTGTTTGTAAAGTATCCATTATGTCTGTCTACATGCCTATGTCGTTTATTTCACCTTTCACTTAACTGAATTATTTTCTTTTACCAATATTCTCATCACAAAATACATGTATACTTGTAAATACTAGTAAATGTTGAGTTAAATTGACTTCCGTGAACATAACAAAAGAATTATAGATTTTTTTGACTAGGTTCATAGTTAAACTTTGTTTGGACCATATATTAGTTTTGCCCACTTCTCAATTTTGATCCATGAAGGAAACCTAATACAAAACTTTACAAAAATAGCTAATATAGAGGTAGAGATTAATGTTTTTTGAACATTTAGAATTCCTATTTAAATGGAAATATTTTAGTTCTTAAAACTGTTCAGCTTTAAGGGACAAAGAGCATAATCCTCCCTTGTTAAAGAGCATTTATATCGCCTCTATTTCTCAAATTAAACTTTCGATGGCTAACAAACATTTAAAAAATACATTTTACGATTTGCTTGTGTTTTTAAGTTATATTGCAGGTTATTTCTTAAAAGGGTCATATTTGGTGTAATGAAAAGGTCACTGTATTTTCATTGTTTACAAACAAGAAATTATTCGATTAAACTCATTTATTATAGATACTTGCAGACCATATATTAAAAGATTAAAATTATTTTTATTACTAATAGCTACTACAATAATTAAACAAAATCTTTTAACCTCTCTTGAGTCGTTATTGTCGCGTAGATATATATTTTGTTTGATAATAACTTTGAATGTAGGTTTTCTGGAGTTTCATTCTTTAATGTAGTTAAATCGGGTGATGCGAGTGAATTATTGAAAGACTATTAACATTTTAGTATTTGATACTGGTCAATGTCCTATTGAGTGCCATAAAATTTAAATAAAAAAAGTTAAGCCTAATGGTTTGTACGTGTTGAATATATATATTCTATATATACAGTATATATATATATATATGCCTATTCTAATGCAAACTATAGAAATGAGTAATATAAAATGTATAGGCAAAGTGTAACAGAAGAAAACTTTAGATAGTTATATTTTGTATTTCGTATTTTTAATTATCTTTTAAATCGATTTATTACGTAAATATTGTCATTTATAAAATTTTATCTAAAAGAACGTGTCAGAGTCGAATTACACTATTAATTAAAGATAACGATTGATATCTAATCAGATTCTGACTTATCAATATTAATGATTTTTCCAGTAGAAAAACTTTCGAAGTTTAATTTTTGCTTTGAGTTTGATAGAAGAAACTTTTTGAGATACAATTGATCTCTTCGATATTTCTTCAACAGACGATCTATCTCCTTTATCAGTCAGTTGTATTTGAATTTCGTTATTTACATTATCATTAATGGCAGCAGATGGCGTACGAAGCAGGTCATGTTTCACATTTTTTAAATTGAATAATGAAAGATCAGGTTTTCTTGAAAAGATTTTATTAGTTTGTTTGGAATTAATAATTGATAAATCTGGAGTGTTTCTATAGTTATTTAAAATATTATCAATATCTTCGTTATCCCTCATCTTCAGTAATCTATCATTAAATCTTTGTAACACTACAGCTTCTTCTCCTTCCAATGCCTTAAGAATTTCATCACAACTACTTAATTCAGCAGAAAATGGACCAATTCGATTTGTACTATGTTTACGTTAATCAATCATTTATCCCGTCAGAACAGTGCTTACATTAGAATGCCAGGACTCCAAAACTTAATGGTTAAAGGTCATAGCCAGTATTTTCAGACTGGTATTAAAAGGCCTACGTATTTTTCTCTAATAGTACATTTTTCTTTCTTTTTTTAAATAATATTATTTTTGTTATAGCTACTTCACCTATTATCCTCTTATCCCGCCCAGATGCTACAAAAAGATAAATTTAAAAAGAAAGAGAATAGTCCTACAGGTCTCTATAATGTAGACTGGTGGAAAATAGCCATCTTAATAAGTTTTACTAATATGAAACTATTATTAGGTCAAGGATATATGATTCTGGTAAACTTAGTACGGATTGGTATGTGGGGGTCGACTCTTTCTTGTTCTTTTCGATAATCTCTTCTCTCTAGACATAGTGTTGATGAATATATTTGAAATAAATTCTTACATCATATTTTTCTTCGAAATAATTTTACTATTTTATATTAAATGAATAAGTCATCAAAACGTTTATGCTTTTGGCAAGGACAACGACTACAAGGGTCTGAATTGTCACTTATAGACACCGTTGAAGATTTTGTCAACTATAGTAACTATTCATTGGTTGAATGCCCTTTAATTTTTCAACCGAAGTCCTTTAGAAAATGCTGCTTAGACACAGCTGGTTTGTATTCTTGCTGCGATTCAAAAGTTAAGTCTATTTCTCTAAGCAGTATACTCTTAACTGTGTTTGGTTTAATTTTGTGTTTTATAATTATCCATATAATTGGAATCTGTTATTGCAAATACTTAAGTCGCTCCGAACCACCTCCTTATACTGAAGAATCACTTGGAGTAGACCAAATAGATCGATTACCTTTTAGTAGAACTTCTACTCCGGTTCCAGCTCCTCCTTACGTCGATAAACCACCAGATTATACTTCAACTGATACCATTACTAGATTAGAAAGTACAAATAATTGCTTTGAATAAAAGCATACATATAAGGAAGTTGTTTTTATATAATTATAAAAAAGAATGAATATTAATTCACAAATATAAAATGACAGACACTTTTACAGAAATATAAATAAAGTAGATATCTCTGTTTATTGTCTAAATATTGCACCGATATTTTTATCTTTAACAATAAAAAAGTAAAAAAGACTTTTAAAGCACTATTATTTTGAAATTATGTCTTAGCTTGACACTAAAGGCAGGGCTTTATCTTTTGCACTTGCCTCAAGAATTATTATTCAATACAATATCTATTAAAATATATTCATTGAAAATACATTTAACTTTAATGTACTCAAAGTATAAATAGCAACTAAAAATGTATTATATATATTTATAGACATATATTTATAAATATACTACAATCCTTAATATTTCTCATAGAATATTATTAAATGAAGAAAGAGATCGATATCAGCCAGAAGAGAGCAATATATTTATCAAATTTTATACAACGAATTGATTATAAATAAACTAATATATACATATTAGAATATATATATATATATATTGAATTATTCTACCTTTCACTGAACTAATTGATCATATTTATGATAAAATATTAAGTTTTAATAAAGTATAAAGAACGGCTGAATACATATTTCTGTCGGTTAAGTAAAGTTTGTTTCTTTTATAAATAAATTCTAAATAGCAATTTAATTGATTGATTAAATTATTATTTTAACTTAAAAATAGTAAAAACAAAGACTTTTAGGATGTGTAAAACTAAAATAAATACGTTGAATGTTATTTTATTTTTAAAAAACTGCTTTAATTTGCATAGTACAGTTCTTCATATGTTTTTTAAATGATTTTTGTTCTGGATTTTGTTCTAGAGGATAAAGCATGTTTACTTTTAGAAAAGAAAAACAAAGGACTTCTCTTCGCATTATAAGCTATAGATGGCGCTTCTAGAACATTTATTTCCATAATAGAACTAACTGCAATGTTAGCACATTTAAATGTTGAAATTGATATAAATATCAGAAAATAAAATACTTTAAAAAGCCAAATTTATCTTTTATTTTAAAGAATACTAATTTTCTTTAACAATTTGTTTGATAAACGTAACCTAACGGTTCCTTTAGCATTTATGTTTTATAGTATTATATAGTTAAGGAAGTAAAAAAACATAATAGTAAATAATTTTATCCTTAATCGATGATTAAACAACGAAAGCATATGCGTATCTTGTCTGTCTTCCGCTGAGAATTGTAAAATTTTTATGAAAAAATCATATATTTTTTGCAAAGAGGCTTTTAAACTGGCTTATCATTAATTTGTAACATAGGAATGATAGATGGCCAAAATGTAAAAATAAAAATCTTTTTATATCAGTAATAAAAAATGTGAGAAAATTATTATTCTCAAATACTTATCACCCGCTACTTTTCAGAAATCAACCAATTTTAGTCAAAAATTTTTACAAAAATCAATAATTTTTTTATTTTGATTGTAATAAACAAAAATTTTCTAATTCTTGGCAGAAGGTAGACAAGCTATATTCCATTTTAATTTCTATTAAAAACATATCACAAATGCCAAAGTTAAGGAAAATTTAATTTCTATAAAAATATAGATGCTTCTATTAGGTGTCCTGTATTGTATGTCATATTAACAACTCAGAGATGTTGACCTTTAATCTCTTAAAAAGTAAATATTTAAAAGAGATGGTAAGGAGAAGAAATGCTGTTTGTTCACTTTTAGTATTGTTGAAATTGAATTGTCTGGTACTATTTCATATTTTAAATCTACAATGATAATCTGATCAATCAATAGTTTGCATTACTTATTTACAATTTTAAATAATTTATTAGACTTTATTTCAATTTCCATGCCATTGTTTAAAATAAAAATTATTGTTAAAAATGATATAATACTATATACTAATATAACTCATGAAAGATATATAAATAACAATCCAAATTCTTTAAAAAAAAGTTCTTTATACTAGAATATATATTATTTCTTGTTATTATCATTAAATATTAAAATAAGAAAAGAAAAAGCAGTAATGTCTTCAAAAGATATGTTTAGTAATATCTAATATCAAAACGTTCATAATGATTACAGTGGAAGAAGAAAAGAAAGAGAAAAGAAAATCAATATTTTATAATGTAATTAAATTCTAATTTATTAGCTTCGTTAAACTCTAATAAACCTTATAACTTAAAGTCAGATTGTCCGAGAAGTATGACTTGTCGAAAAATAAATTAGTAGTATTTCCATATTAGTTCTTTTTGTCTCTCTTTTGCTTATTTTTTATTAGATGTAATCTCCATTTTTTTGTTTATTCTGTCTATTCATTTGGATATATATTATATCTAAATACTAATAATTTTGGTAGATAAACCTGCTAAAAAATGTAAGATGAAATATATTTCTTATAATCTGAAAAGAAACAGGGAAAGAAATCGGAAAAAAACAAAACGAATAACGTACGTTTCAACAGCCACTTTATTGATACTTTACAATATTATAAAAGAGAAATGTGCTCTATAAGACTTTAGCTTCAATTCTATTTATTTTACTGCATATATAATAATTTTATAGTACTCCGTATGGTGAAAGGTATCTCTTTGAATAATAAATTTCACAATCTATCTATTATGAGCGTTTATAATAGGAAAAAGGTTAAAAGTATATTTCCAAGTGTTCTATAATAATCAGTCCCTGCTTAACCATTTTTAATCATTGGAAACGTGCGAATTACTTATCCTTACGCACGCCATAAAGTCATTATCTGCTTTCGATGGTAATGCTAAAAAAAGAGTTAAACTTTTACTGAAATTACAAACTTTGAAACGAATGAATAAAAGCATGTTTAGTTATAACAATATTTAAAGGTATTAGCATTAAATGTTTTGAATAGCTTTAATAGAAATATTATAATATTATAATATTTGCATATTATTAGAAATTATACTATTTTCTATTATTATATCTTATAGTTGAGGACTCTAATAAATCAAAAATTCATAAATTAAAAACATGAAACCATCAAGCAATACCAATAGATAACCTTAAATTTAAAAATAACGAGAAGTATTAAATTTCGTCTCAATACCTCTTTTTTCCCCCTAAGATAATGAATAAAGAATTAGGAAAAAATTGCGGACCCATATACAATAAATAGTACGAGTGAGTTGCAAAATGACTTTCACTTTATATCGGCGAATGAAAAGAGCATGAATTTTTTATTATACATTTTGCTTTAAACAAATAAAAAAACCTTGAAAGAAGTGTAAAATAGGTAGAATGAATAGTAGAATATTAAACACTAAAAGATTTAGAACGTAAAGATAAAAATAAAGAAGCAGTTTTTCTTGTTACTGTATACTCCTTTCTTTTCTTTCCTTTAAAGTAGTTTTATTCCCCATTGGTAAAGATGGTTGGCGGCTAGTTGTAGCTGGTATTCTCACCAATAAAATCACTTAAATATTCGTCTGTGGTGTATCGAAAGTTAAAATACATTTCCCCCGACAAAAGCTATCTTTACTTTTTTGCATTATGACCCGGAGCTATAATAGACAGTTATTTCCTTTGTAAAATATCGATGTTCTCTTCTAATCAACCATACTTTATAAACTAAGAGAAAAATAAATTATCCCACATGCTACTAGTTTTGTTGCAACAATGTTTCATAATTTTGACTATAATAGAGACTTTGTGATATTTACAATGCTTTTCAGTTGTATAGATAATTTTTATTATATGTTACTGTTATGGATTGATTGATTGATTGATTTATATTAAGAACTTGGAAACTAGATGATATTAGTCTTTCTTGATCAACAATAATAGTTAGGTAATTTAATTAAGAGCTTAATATCAGACTTCATTAGTATTAAGCGTAATCAACTGGGATTCTGTATACACTAAGTCCAGCTGTTAGTAGTAATATACAGCACATATGTAATGTAATATATACAGTATATATATAAAATCTTTAGATAAATAGTAACGTTTAAAAATAGTATTATCGATATCACTCAACAACAGATTGCCAATAAAACTTCCAGTTTTACTAACTATTGTTATTACATAATTTCTTATTTTTTTCATTTCCTCTAGATAAAGAAAAATAACAAATAAGAAGTTACTTAATTAAATATTTTTAATTATCTGCCGGTAGCTGATGAAGCAGACACGTGCATAAAAGATGAGCCTTTTACACACTATCAACCTTGATTAAACTGGCAAAATTAATCTGTCATTAAAACAGAGAAGAAACATCATTTGTAACTGGAAAAGAAAAAAGAAAAAGAAAGGAAAGGAAAGAATTAATTAACACGCTTCGAGTTCGTCTGGTGTTGATATTAATTATGAACTTAAAAAAAGGGAAAATTTTTCCTCCTCATTCTGTCTTTTGTATTAAAGTATTTAATTTCATACTACCCTCTTCAGTTCGTCTATTTTTTACTCATAGAAGCAACATAGATTAAATTTAATGAAGCCGTAATTTCTCCTTACAAGGTTTTTATTAAGGGCAGCACATATCCCTTCACCGTCATATTTTATTTTTATTTTGTCGATTTCTCTCTCCTCTCTAAAATCACTAAACTAAAAAATAATCGTGTAAAAGTTTAATAAATTACAAATCAAGTGTAATAAACTATTTACGCTAATATTCACATGAAATATTAAATTATACTTTTCCGGTTTAGATATACCTCTATTCTCTTTTTTATACAGTGAAGCTATATAAGCAAAAGCATACGTATTTCTAAATAATGTCTATGTGCTTATATCTGTGCATGTATCAGTGTGTACGTGTGTGGATTTTTATGTGAGACAGTGGGTATTAAGTATATTAACTAAAACCTTTACAAAGTGTTCTGTCAATTAAAATTAGTTGACACATCACGTTTCTTTTTAACTAATTCTTTCCTGATTCAGTTTTTAAACAATACAGATGGAAAAAGCTTCCCCAACTAGATTTTTTCTGATGGCTAATCGGATTTTTTTAGAAGCACTAAAAAGGTTCATCTAAAAAAGATAGTGGGTATATAAATGATACAAACTAATGCAGTACATTATATAGATAAAAAATCTATATAGAAAAAATTCGTGCGTACATTGTAAATGTACTGTATATGAAAAATACCGGTCTACTATAAAAAATTGTCATATTTATTGTTTATATTGAAAGTGAAAATAGCATATCAAATAAAAAAATATCGATGTAAATATTTTTCTTTGGAATTTTGTAAAATTTAACAAATTTTCTTTATATGAAATATACAATACAACTTACAATAAGTATATATTACTATATATACCGGATAAACAATAATAAATCTATATGGAGTTTCTGTTTTATAATCACGATGAGCCCAAAAAGGCAAAAACAATGAAAACACAATATACTTATATAAATCGAAAGTTCCCTTCTTTTATGTTAAAAAAAACATCATACTATCAAATTACTTCTTCCCAAAATAGGAAAATGTCATTTTAAATGCTCTGAGAAATATGCAGCAAAATTATAGGGAGTAGAAAGGTAGAGTGATAGAAAATATAAGGAAGAGAGAGTAAGATGGATGGAGAGAAAGAGATATAATTAACGTATCACTTAAAAAATAGTACGTATTGAACGTGCATCAGTGGTCACATTATCGATATATCGAATAGAAATGCCAATTGTTTCGGATTCGTATAGATATCGTGAGCTTTGTATAAAAAGGTAGCAGGCATACAATGTCTATAGACGTATGCACACAAATTTCATACACTTTTATACACTGTATTTACGATAAGTATTCTTTCGTATTATATTCATCTTTATTACTCTGTATCCTTTAAATGTGCAAATTAGATGTCATTTTTAATTACACTGAGATGATATGACCATTTTCAAGAATGTGGCATACTGTTTGACCTAGATATGTCAAAGCTGCTATCATCAACATCTTTTACGACTAACAGCAGCCCGATAGTAGAAATTTATTGTTCGATACCTCTCCCAATTGGTTTTTTCTGCAAATTTAGCTTTTTTAATGTATATATTTTTTATGCGACTATTTATCTAAAAGTAGGAGAAATTGTTTCTCAAATTCAACTAGTTTTAATTTGTAGAATACAAATAAGAAAGCAGAATACTTGAAACAAATAAATTTTCTACTGTTTTCCCAATATTTAACTTTCGTGCACGTTTTATTTCTTTCGCCTACATTCCCTCAATCTTTCTCCCTACATACACTTTGTATATATATGTATATATATATATATACCGTATATATAATTATATATATACAGTATATATAATTATATATATACAGTATATATAATTATATATACATATGTATTAGCATGTAGTACATATTACATTAAAACTATATACAGTGTATATATATATATATATATATATATGTAATTTTTCCTTACACTTCACCCTGCCATTCCCCTTCTTTCCTTCATTTGTTTGCTTCATTATTGATCATTAATCCCTTAAAGTGCTACTGAATAGTACAAGGAGCAGAATTTCCAGATTGTATTTCGTCCTATTAATATTAAACTTATCATTTTCTGTTAAAAGGTGATTCCAGAAATCTTATATATGTATTTTTTTGTCGTGTTTTTTTTCGTTCTATGGCTAATCTGTGGCTCATTTGAGAGATTTTCATTTTTCTCTTCAATAATTAACTAATTAATCCATGTAAGAGATATGAAAACAGAGTAGGCGAATAAGTTCCCAGATGTGTAGGTATATTTTATTAACACAAAAATCCAAGATGCAAATTCAGTTTTAGAGCATTTCGTTTTTGCTTTTACGAATAGGATATTTTTCTCTAATAAGTTAAGCAGACGCCTCTTCGGGTGTCTGCCGGAACAAGCAAAACAGCTTGAACCAAAAGCCTTGAGACCTCGATCTTTCTTGTTTTTTCTCCTCTTTTCCGTTCATTAATTCTCGTAAGTGATTTTGTATAGCTTGACCTAGGATTTCGGGATCAAATTCTGCCCCGTAAACATCCCATGTTTGACCATGATCATCAAACACGACATCTGGGATAGATTTTTCACTCTGAAGCCTTGCCTGGGCTTTAGCATCGAGAATTATTTCTCTTTGTTCGATTGGAGAGCTCGATGATGTGGACGGTTGAAAATCGGATTTCGATTGTGACATTTTAGGCCGAGGGTCTTCTGAACAAGATTTTGGTCTAGGTAGGTCTGATTTTGGTACCTTTGTTGGCGAATATTTGTATTTAGCACCGGTCAGGGCTGAAACTTCCTTCAATTCGATTTTTTCCCAAATTAATTCCTTTTTACTAGTTTGTGGCGTCTCCTGCGCTCCTATTGAGGCCTCAAGGGCCTCTAATGCCCTTTGCCGTCGATCTTCTACTATTACGGCAGCATTAGGCCATTCGGTCTGGAATAATTTTTGTTGAATTTTGTCCCTCATTTTATGAAAGAGTTCGGTTGGTGTAGTCCTGGAAGATGTCCTTTGAGAATCATTTGGCCTCAAAACAGGCGCCTCACTCAACGTTATTGATCTCCTCTGCTTAAATTGCGTTCGTCTTATACTGCCACTAGGTTTTCTCAATTCTTTTTCCTCTCCCCTTTCTAATAGAGATTCACCAGCATCTTCCGCCGGCAACGTCTGAGAACGCTGGTATAAAAACCGTTTCCTACGGGCGTCTCCCGGCATGATAACTGTGCACAAAAAGACACGTTAAAGTTTACAAATGCCAAGTTAATTAGTACAAGTTTTTATTCTAAGTAGTAAAAAAGATAGAAACAAATTAAAACAAATAAAAAGATAGAAGGGGAAAGAAACTGGAAAATTTCTGCAATAGAAGAAAAATCAATAGGCTTTTTCCGGACAACTTAATTAAGTGGAATTATTTTGTGTTAGGCAAAAATCTTCTGTAGCTTCTAAACGGTTTTTTAGACGTCTATTGGCGCGAATATTTTTCATTTATCCTAACCCTTTAAGAGTTTATGGGAGCAATGATCACGTAAATCCCTGATATATCTTTTTCTGATCGTATTTAGTTGTATTCTGTATTCTCTAGAGTTTACAAAATATCAGCAGTCGTAAACCAACCGCCCACACACCAACAGAATATTACTTTATCTACTAAATTCCTTAATAAAAACAATATTTTCCCAAGATATTAAGGCTTTTATCGATTAATTCTCCTTCCTTTCTGGAACAAGTCGAGTATTATCATTGTCTCTTTTGAAATAGGCCTTTTTATTCTATTTATTCCATTCTCGGATTTATCGATTTGAATGTATTATCTCAAATATTGAGCCATCATTTCAAAATATCTTGAGTAACGCTAAAAAGCGATTTTCCTAACATCTAAATGGTGCAATTCATTTTTATGACGGTAAATGTGTAAATGCAATCGGATTCTAGGCACGCAAAATGATAATGATGAGAAACAGGAAGAAAATTTAGTTAGAAGCAAAAAAACTATTCCAAGAATTTTTTTTCACATATTTTTTACATTTGTTTACATTCTATCGGTCTTAAAAATCTGAGGTCTTACCATCGTAAAACTTCATTGCTTACATTTTTATTTTTACTGATAGGAAATTTCATTGCAAGCAACCGCTCGAAACAAATTAACTTCCTCCGTAAATGAAATGAAAGGTCGAAAATATCCATAAAGATGGATTGCATGAAGTATTCATGAAAAGTAATCAATTCGTAGATGCTTTATTGTATTATAATATATGTATACCGATGGCTCGAGCACTGACTAGATTACAGGGAAGCCAATTACAGTTTTAAATAGGCATTTTTTGTTTCTCTTTAAAGTTAATGGAGAATGAAATCTACAGAAGTAAATTGGAATTTTTATATCGAAAAGAGGCTTAAATCAAAATAAACAACCGTAAAAAGTCCAACAAATTTCGCAAATTTCTTTCGGCTGTGTCCCGAATAGATAATTTGATTTTAAATTCAATTACTTTTTTTTATAAAGAAAATTTCTTAATTCAATTGAAAGTAAAATGCAGAAAGAGATATAAAAATTAGACAATATAGAGAGAGGGGAGGAGAGGGACGGAAGAGGTAGGTAGATGAGGGGGCAAACGAATTTTAAAGGGAGATGAAGACAGACAACATGGGAGTGAAAGTAGAGATAAAAAGTTAGTTTAATTTCATAATAACCAAAGAAAAAGAAAAAATGTGCAGCTTTAATGAAAAAATCGTGTAGAGCCTTCACAGTTTGCCAAAAGTTAAATGATACAGTTCCAAAGATTATTCAATTATTCATGTAATTTATCGTTTTTCTGTAATTAATTTCTTTGCTTTTATTTCTTTTTCGTCAGATAGCCATTTTATTCATTTTTCTTTTAATTTTAATCAATTTTTTTAATTTCCCTTTTTTTTACCTTCTGTCACTGTACTTTTCTATTATTCTTGCAAACACATTCTCTCTCTCTCTCTCATATATTCATTTTAAATCGGCTGTATTCAATTCCATGATGATGGAAGGTCGATAGACGAAGTTAGTAAAGGTAAAAAGAGAAAGCATAAAAAAGATGAAAAGAAAGCTTATAGCTTAAAAGAAGTAATAAATAATTCTTATGATTTACCAAGAGTAATATACTCAAAAATTACTTTAATTCATAATGGTTTAGTAAACGTATATAGAGTTTATAAGGTTAAAATAATGATCTATTAATTGATCTGCAATTGATATTTGTAAACCCAAAGGCTAAAGCAGACCTTAACCTTGTAAAGAAAAGGCTACAAATAAATTTCGATTGGAAGAGAAATTACTTAGAAAATGTAAATGTACATAGATGCATTTTTTGGCGCTTTTCGAGATCTCTTAATACTAAAAATATTCGAAGAAAATTAATGACAGCTGTTAAACAATGACAGATCAAAATTCGATATCTACTGGTCTTTTTCGATTATTTATTGTCAGTATATTGTTTAGAAACTAATTAATTGTCGTCTAACGTCGTTATCAGGATTAACCATTGAAACAATTTCTACAGTTTCTTACAACCTTAAAACAGACAGCTAACTAATCAATAAAAAAGCAACACTCAGACTTTATCACCGATTTGCTTTTTCTTCATGTAATTCTGTCATTCATTAAATAATAAGACAGGGTTTGTTTGCGATCGTCGGTGAAATTACAATTATTCCGTCTTATAGTTCAAAGGTCGTTACTATGGTAACAAATTACATAGCTGATGATCTTTGAAAAGCATTGTTGTTGAGCTAGCTTTCTGTGAAAGAATATTTTCTACTTTTTGCCTTTCATGTGGTCTAGAATAACTCGTAAAATTTTCTTCGATAGAAACCTTAAATTACTCAACGGGTGTCATTTTCCTAATAATTAGTATTACGCCAAAATTTAATGAAGATTAAGCATTTAAAACGCCTATGTATATTTAGATAGATATAATAACTATGCAGTTTAAAAACAGAATACTAGACATGATATTCTACGAATATATATATATATATATATATATAATACATAAATCAGCTGGTAGGTGTTCATGAACAATTTCTTTTATAAAATATGGGTGTTGTTTTATCATAAGAATATCTGTTACATATTCAGTGTCTATGTCTATATATATATATATATATATATATATATATATATATATATACATTCGCTTATTTACATGTGCTAAATTTATATAGAACAAAAGGATTTATTTTTGTACATGTTCGTTTATTTTCTTGTAGACTTATAAATTAGAAGTATGAATAGTTCATATAGGATATATAAAGCTATGTATACTGCATACAAACGTGCTTCTCACAGTGTACTGAAGATCTACTTCGAGAAATATACATGTACATGAATATATATATGCCTTGTCGTATGTTATATATATGTGCAAATATATATATATATATATATATATATGTATATATATACTGTATAAATTATATATGTACTTGAATATTTATATATGTAATATGGAAAATATGCCAAATATACAATACAACAAATCATAAAAACACTCTAATACTCGTATTTTGGATATCTATGCTATACACTTACCAACTTATAGATCCGAAAGTTAATAAACAAATGAACATGCATATGAAACTTACGCCTTCAAGGTCAAAGCGTCACATTTACAGCGTCACTTTCAGCTGCTCAGTTGCCGCGAGTCTGACTTTACACTGGCTGTAGAGCAAATATTTTATTTCCCTCTGTCTCTGAAAGAAGCGGTAGCTGAGCAGCAAAGCGGCTTAAACCAATACTGCAACAGAGGCTTTATTGCTATACTCATATCCTTTCTACATCAGTAAGTATTATAAGCAGATCCATGTTTATCTTCAAAAAAACATATTATTGAGAAATTTTACTTTAGTTCACCTTATTTGAAAGTCAAAAATATCTTTCTAAAGCATTTATTTATTATTTTGTGATATTAGCTCGCATTTCCCAAATAGAGTAGTGTCATTTGGGATGTTCTTAATTAGCAATCACTAATAAGTAAAGATTTTCATACTTTTCAATAAAGAAACTTAGAGTTAAAGGAGAATATATGCTGAAGCTGTAAAGCCAACAAAATATACAAGCAGTTGACCGCTTAATAGAGCCGTTTAGCAGCTTCTCCTTTGCATGCCATCATGGATTGATTTACAGAAAGGTTTTTGCAGAACGTATACACTTATTTATATTTAATACTTTAGTGTGAAGGAAAATATATATATACTGTATAAATTTTATATATATATACGTATTGACACATATATAGATCTATGCCATATTTAGATATAAATTTATATTAGTATATATATATATATGTTTATATATGTTGAGCTTGCAGCTCATGAAACAGAGATCTAAATATATATAGAATATATTGCAGATAATTTGGAAACGTAGAGATTTAAAAATAAAATATAAAGCAATGAGTTCATATAAATATATGCAAATTTTTTCAATTTCTCTTTGTTTTTAATTAACGTAAATAGTATTTCAACTAATTTACTATCGGTACATATATTTAAATATGACTTTGTTAAATTATTTACATATATATGCGCAAGGAACATTTTTTAGACGTCATTTCTAAATCTTTTTCTAGATGTATGGCTTTTATTTTTAATATTACTTAATATAATGTATATTTTGAGCAAAATCCCTGAAAATGCTATAGAAATTGTTCTATAATCAGACAATACCTTCTTTTTTTCGATTTTTTCTGCTTTGTAAAGAGATTTCTTTTATCTCTTTTCCATAAATAATATACCCAACTTTTTCTTCTACTTCTACATGTTTATTTCTTTATGTGAAAATTACATTGCAAATATCACATACTTTTTTCGATTTAAATCTTTACTGCTATATAGTTCATGAATACTACTAACTGCTTTGTCACCAGTTGACCACAACCCTGGTTTACAGACAGGTAGATTCCTAATTTCTTAGTCATTTCTTGTTCTTCATCTCACTTTAGTATTGACATAAAGTTTTAACAGGCCGTCTATATAATTTGCTTAATTTTATCTTCTGATAGGGTTTGCATTTATGTATTCAAAGAAAGACTAATTAATAGCTCTTTAGGTAAGAAAAATTCTTTGTCTATGGGCTATTTGAGCCGAAACATTTATTTTTGGCTGAGGTTGTGTTGACTATCTGTTAATTCTTCCAACTTCATATTGTAGACAATTTCAGTAACTACTTGCCTTCTTTCAATACATCACTGTTTTCATTTTGTAAACAAGTGATAGACACTTACTGTTCCTATGCATCTGATTCATCACCGTGAAGTTTACTACTCTTTAGTGCTTTACTGATAATCAATACATTTTGTCTATATATAATCAGAATGGCTTTGACTCTTAGTTTTTCATTAAAAATGGAGTAATGCTAATCTCTTTACTGTTAATACCGAACATAAAAAAAAGTTTTTATTTCAACTGGTTTTTTGTTTAGAAAATTTATTATCAACCATGTTTGCTAACAGTTAGTATTTCGATACATGAACAGCTCTATTCTATAATCCTGTCATGTTGCAAAACCGGCTTTTAGAATATATGAATGACTGAAGAAAACTATTAAATAATTTACATTCTAGTAATTATTTCCTGTTTTTATTCCATTTAATATTATTTAACTTTTTTTCATCTTTGGATAAGTTTTCTAGGGAATAAATTTCTCGGAAATTGACTTTACTCTCGTATATACCATTTTATTCAATGTACCATCATGCTTTTTAATGTACGATGGTACCATTTATGTTATATCATTTATGTTATATTTATGTACTAATTGCGTAAAATGCGCAACAAAACTCTTCAAAATGTTAATCAGTGCGTATTTTTAACATAGTGTATTTCATTGATATGAATGTATGCTATGTATATTAGTATATACAGGCTTGTTTTCTCTTCTCTCCCTTCAATCCTCTAAAGTTGTGTGCAATTGTCAACCAAACGTACAAAAATTTTTTAATGCATACATTTTATATCAATCGTGTATGGTATATTCATATTAGCTTGAAGCGTGTAAACGCATGTATCTACACATGTCCAATAGATAATCAAAGAAACTGTTTTGTCGAAATCTATAAGCATATATACATTATATTAGATAAATTTTTTTTACAAAACAACTAATGGATGAATAGTTATACCAGAATATATTTATGATGTATTTTTAAAAAGCTCAAAAAATTCTCAGTAGTGCATAGTTGCCTTTCTAAATAGTTATTTAGCGGAATGTCACCTAAAATTAGGATACAACGGATCAAAATAGATTAACGGCAAACTGGCTAGAAAAGTAGAATAGTAAATATATGTGTGCTGCCATCTATGCTCTTACTAACTCAATTTTAGGTAATTTTGTAATAAGCTCCCCAACGAAAAATCTGATAAATTGCCCGAGAGAAGTTATTATTTTTAAGAATACTACTCTTTATTATTTATTATATCATTGGTATAAATATTTTCAATTATTTATGATCATGAGAATTAATTACTCGTAATTAGTACAATTTCTTATCAATAGTATGAGTAACATTATATTACTATTTATATAGAAATAATAAAAGTTGTTATTTTAACAGTAGTATCCATTTAAATAAATTTATAAAGTTCTTTAAGATCTTTTGTTTTTTGTGACGTTCCTCATTATTGTTAAAATAATATACTACGATATTCCCTAGTGCTTAAGTATATAAAAATGCAAGCTAGTCAAAAATATAATATTTACTTTCAGACCCAATCAGCACAGCGAATGTTCAGTTATTGTCCTTTTTGTATGCATAATCTTTATCAGTCGACGTTTTTTTCCTTTGTTTCTTCACTTTTGTCTACTTCTCTAACTTATGCTTATTATACACTCTTCCTACTTTTTCTTTCTCCTCTCGTCGTTTTTTCCGGTCTAGTGAAATATTTATAGTTACTGAGCATTAAAACAATTACATTGAATCCTGTCCTCAACTAAGAATTTTGTCCACTAAAAATGAATTATGAATTATGTGCTCTTGATGAAAACTTATTGTTTGTCAGGTACCTCGCTCATTCTAGTTATTTTTAAGTCTTTTTCTGACAAGCAAATTGTATTTATGACATCGAATCCATCTTATTAAAGTTTATTTTCCCCCTCTGGAAATGACAAAAAACTTTATAAATTTCCGCTGAAGAAGAAATGAATAAGTGATAGTTTTTTTATTCCTTCTCACAAATAAAACGTCTAACTTTGGGAATAATATTACGATAACAAGTAAATGGAATTTATGTTGACTAATCGTTAATACCAATGACGTACATTCATTACAATCATACTACTAATAATAAGTCATTTCAAGTTCGTTGAGAGCATTTATAAGATTATTTGTTATCATTGAAAGTATTATGAATATTACCCAATATTATGTAGTTCTTTTTGAATACTAATATTTCCTATAAGACATTTGAATATAAGATTCTTTCTTGATAACTTTATCTGTTGTCTTTAAAATAAAAAAATGAAGTAAAAATATTTGTTACAACAGATGGCGTCTTTTCTTAAATTGATTGATCATGCTAATTTAATATACATACACCCACGTCGATAACTATTAATTGGTTAAAAAGAGACAGTTTTAATAGCAATCTTCATCAACAGATAATCACTGAATTGATCTATTATCAGATATGTAGGTAGTAATTCTACCCATCAAAGTTTGTAATTAAAAAATAAATAGGATTATTGTTTTATTTTCAAAGTCAAGTAAAGAGGTCTTTAATATGAATATTCTCAAAAGGGAAGAACAGATCAGTTCTTGAGTATTAGAATAAAGAAAACATATTAGTATAAAAGAAAATGTTCTTTTTGAAGATATTCATGATTTTCATAATAAATTAATTATTTGCAGAAAGTTTTTACTCCACTTGTATCTTTAAATGCATTTTTAATGAGAAGAATTTCGGATTTTAGTATTTTTTTAACACTTTCCTACTATGATCAACGAATATTAAAGTTGTTTGTATATGAATATCAAAGTTTTTTGTCGTAAGAGATATTCTATTATTCGGTGTTGTCTTACTTCTTTAAAAAAATGATTATTCGGGCAATGGCTATTTTGCAGCATAATTATGAGACAAAAATGGCATTTTACTTAAAAAGATGTAAAGAGTAGTTTTATGTAGTCAAGTAAATAAACCTTTCAGCATTTGGTATGATAAAAGTTACAGGTATCACGTGTAGTTATAAACTAATATGGCTTTTTATCTTCCTCCATCAATTTCGTTTTCTTGTTTATAAGAATAGAGTGTGAAGTAAAATTTTTTATTCATTTCGTGAAATATTTATGCATATTTATATGGAATATATACTTTATTTAGTTTTATAAACAATTTAAGGTAATTAAAAATATATATAAAGTATATATACTGTATATATACTGTATATATATATATATATATATATATAAATTATATATATTTAGCGTGGAAGTAAAAATAATTTGAAGGTTATTGTACTTTAAAAAATTTCATCTTATATGATAAGTTAAAATTCATGCAGATTACAATTAGTCTATAAGTAATAAATATATGTGTAAATATATATATAAATATAAATTATATTAGGAAATTTTTTTAAATTAAAAAATCATCTCCGAATTTTCTTTTGATAGAACTTTATATCTTTTCTCAACATTTGTAAAGATAAATGGATAAAAGTAAGTAAAAAAAAATAGAAAAAAAATTAAAGGAACATAAAAATTCTTCTATTTTTGCAAAAACAGATTCTCTCCGTGATTGAGAATTATTTTTTTTTGTTAAAAAATACACTACATAAATATATAAAAATAGTAGAAAAGTGTACAATAATAATGAAGTTTTCATTCAAATTTCCTGATGAAAAGTTAAATATAAAAAATAACGAATAAAATACTATTATTGAAAAATAGCCTGCAATATATGGATAGTATATTTTACAGATAAATTGTTTAAAATCAAGAAAAATTCTATCTGATCTCTTTTTTTTTTTGAGATAAGAAGAATTTTAACAAATACCATACGAGGTAGAGAAAAAGTTTAAGGGAACAAATATAAAGAAAAAGTTACATTTTGGTTTCTTCCTCTTCTTCTTAAATTTTTTCAATAATAACTATCTTAACTAACGTTTTCCCACAATCCGAACCTTGTCTCTGGGCTTACTAAAAATCCTAGCAATATACTCATCATAGCATTGTAGTCGAGAAATATTTGGTCTACAACTTATACTAGAACTTCGTCTTTCCCTATAAAGTTTACAAAGAGAAGGATTGCCCCCATTCGAACAAAGTTTTGTTATTTGAAATATCCTCTTCCACGTTTGATCATCATTCTCATCTACAGAATATATAAAAAGAAAGAAAGAATATACGAGAAGAGCTGTAAAAAATTAAATGCGAAAAATTCACAATAATAAGAAACTGACCTTTTTCAAAATTCCTTCGAAAAGTAAAAGCCTCTAAATAACAAATCATATAAATCGAAGCCAGACACGTTAGAATTTTGAACATAATTCCCAGTTTCAATTAAAAAAGAGATAAGATCATCAAAGTTAAAGCAGACTGATAATTTCCCTAACGCGCACAGTGCAGGTTAACTTAACAATGAATGCTGGATTTTAAATGTAAAAGTCTTAACATTCACAGTGCGCTCTAGGGAAATTTTCAGTGTTTTATTTTTATTCTATTAAAGATATATTGAAACTGATGTATATAGAATTATCGTGAGGTAAAAGTTTGAAAGCTCTCGTAAAAAGACACCTTGCAACTATGCTTAAATAAAGCATCTTGGGCTCTTTGATTGATTCTTAAGAAATTGACAGAAACTGCAGTGTAGACACTGTATTACTTTACACTTCAGAATATATATATTAATAAATATTAAATATGAATACATATAAAACGAAAGTTGAAAACAAATGCTAAGAAAAGCTTATTATTTTAAATTGAAGACATGTATTAGGCTTTTCCCTTAGATTTTCAAAGTTTATAATTGCCAGAATCATCTAAATCTCTTTTACTAAGATATGACTCTTTTTCCTGAAAAAGATTTCTTTAATTAAGGAAAATTTGAAAGAAAGAAGCAGATTTCTATATAATTTACGTGAGAAACGAATAAATTATTGTTTCGATGTCAAATACTGCGTGATAAATAAAAGAAATTACTGACTCTAATGACGCTGTAACATGTTCTTCCCTTTTTTCTATATGAAATTTTTCATGAAAAGTAAATTTTATATATAATATTTGTGTTATCATATGAGTAGTCAACGTTATTTTTCAATTCAACCCTCATAGGAAATGGATCAAGCTAAATGAGTTTAGGGTATCTTAATGATGACCAATCTCTATCGTGCATAATTATTCAAACATATTAAAAAGACATGACTAACTTGATGAAACACGTTTTCTTATAAAGACATTTTCCTAATTTATAAAAAAGTAAAAATTCTATGTCACATACATTTGTTCATACTCATATTCATACAATGAATCTACTGTATATATTAAATAGTTATTCTTTTCTTTTTATGTCTCACGCGATTTTTCATGTTTCTCTAGTAGAGTTCACAGTCAGTCGTTTCTTGGGATAATCATCTTAGACGACTCAGTTTATTTGCCTTTATTAGCTTACCTCTATCCACTCTCATTCATACTAATTGTCATGTATTTATGTCCCTCATATTTTAAATACAACAATTTTCCGTTTGTCTTGTAGTTTATTGAGTTCAGAGTAAGTAGGCTAATTAATGTAGCGGAAAGTTGGACATTTGTGGTTAACATTTTATTGAGTGATGAGTATCTGTTTCTTTCTAAGAGCTACTGATCATTAATTTAAGACATTGTATAGTGTAACTCTCTCCTGCCTTTCAATCGTATTAGTTTGTAATAAGCCACATACTTCATACGAAAACTACAAATTTATATACAAATATAATATATAGTATATAAATTAATATACTAATATACAGTATATATTTATATACAAGATAATTTTTATATGTGTACTGTATATAACATAAAAACCACATTATCTTTTATTTTCAATATACATTATACTCATATTGGTATTTTAGAGTAAGTGATTCTATGGATTATCATCCTCTAAACAACTGATAAGCAAGCTCTAAAAATAGGTTATATCTTATAAACAGATTAAGCTTCATTCCTCAAAAACTGACGGTTCAATAGATCACCAAGGTTTATCTCTTTTGTTGTAATCAGAATAAAACTAGATTAACTTATAATCCTTAAGATTTAGCGTAAAATTCCAATATATGAATAATTTTTCTAAGAAGATTTTTAAAAAATCTCCTTGCCAGTAAAAGAAGGTGACTTTCAGGAAATATTCTCATAAATGTTTTAAATATCAGCGTGTTAATTATAATTAAATACTTAGAAATTCTCGATCATAATTCAATATCGCCGAGTGCCTTTGTCAAATATCAATTAGTTTTCATATTTAAAGAGTAAGGTGATATCCAATAAGTAGAAATAATAGTATAATTTCTTATTCAATTACAATTTCAATGTTAGTTATTAGCTTTAAAAGATATAGTTGACATTGGAAAGTCATGTATAAAATTTTGATAATTACATTTTTAATAATTTTCGTTAAAGAAGGTGTTTATTCTACAGAAACATGCACCTATAGTTTTATCTTTCCCAAAAGAAATCTTATCAAGAAGTGCTCAGATAATTTGTAAGTAAACCATATTTGTTTTCTGTTTCTTGAAACAAACTTTTTCTCATTAAAAAAAGTATTCAGAAATATGAAAATTTGACAAAAACCATAAAAGATTTAGAGAAGGAGGTCACTGATTTAATAAAAACAGTACCAAATCTAAATAAACCTCAACTTTCCTTCGACTGTAACAGTACTTGCGCAAAGAACGGAAAATTTCATATTCTATATGCTAGTTAGTACATTGTAATTTAAAAAAAAGTTTTTAATAGTATATAAATAAACTATTACAATTGCAAAAAAATATTGACAGATTGTCAAGATGTTAGTAAGACTAAGAATACCAAAAGCGGTATTTATGAAATAGCTCCAATAAAATCCGCTGGCTTTTTAGTAAAAACGAAAATAAAAGGTAAAATATTGTTTATTTGCTCATTATTGTAGGAGATCTTTAAAATTTTCTTTTTAATTATTTTGCTAGATAATAAACATGTTAAAACGGAGTTAAAAAGTCTATATCAAGTTGAAATAATGGATAAGATATTGGTATATTGTGATTTATCTGATAAATTAGCATCTTGGACTGTCTTCATGAGAAGAACCAAAAATACAAATAGTTATTTTTGGAGTAAAACGTATACAAATTATGTGGATGGTTTCGGAAATTTGGAAAAAGATTTTTGGTTAGGTTTAGAAAAAATGAGTCAACTCACTATGTCCAATTCCCTTTATAAAGCAACTCTTTTCACAACTGTAACCGACACAAATGGTGAAGTGAAAACCTACGTAGTGGACAACTTTTCAATCGGTAACTCTAAAACCCAGTATGAGATAGGTGGTGTGGGTGACGGTCCCATTAAAGCTGGATATAAATTTGTTGACTACACACTCTCATATGGATATTGTTACAATGGATACTTCTGGCATGGAGAATTTGACCGCAAATGCGATACGTTAATCGGAGATGAAATTAAAATTTCCTACAACAGCTATACATCGGCAACTATGAAAATAAAATATACGTTAAAAAACTAAGATACTAAACAAAACTTAGATAATTTAATTTTGAATTTGAATTGAGTTATGCATCTGAAATGTTACTTAAGTATTAATCTTAGTAAAGTGACATATGGTATTTACTGAAATATGATACAGTACATGCTTTTACTATATTATTTTCAATATATTTCATTATATTTTGCTCACTTAATTAGCATGTATATCGCCATGTGTACTGGAAAAGTATAAAATCATTGCAAGGCCATTGTAACTTTCAAGTTAATTATTGAGAGATTTCACCAGATCCACGGTCTTAATTAACACTTGGTAATATACTCTAAGTTGTGTTCTAAAAATGTTCCAGTAAATTAATCCATACATTTCTATAATTATAATTTCCCGCTTTATAGTTTATCTTTTATTCATCAGTTTAGTTCTAACGGAAGAAAATATTATTCATTTCATGATATTGTCACCCACTCTCTTTCATATATTCTCTCTTTTATTACTTCTAATGTATTGCTAATTCATTTATCCTTTTCGGCTTCTTAGTAATCGACTGTTTTAATCTCTTAAATATCATACTTTATTTGTTTTTGTAAAGATCTTTTGGGGCTTTTACCCTCTCTATTTCAGACAAACAATGACACTGACTAATTGCTATTAGTATAATGCAATATTTGTTAATTGTCCAAATAGACATATAATTTACATTAAAGATTAGCTTCTATAAGATTTTTAAGTAAATTTATCCAAGAGAAAGAAAATTTTGTTAAAATATTACTTAAGAAACTAAGCTCATATATGATCAAAAGCAGCAAAGAACATTGTCACTACATATAGAGTATATAAAATGTATGCACATTTCAATACAATATACTATGAAATATCAATTTAGTTTTTAAACTAGGCATTTAAAAAAAAAGAATTTAAGAAGAAATGAAAAATTAGAGGACAAAAGAAGTATGAATAGCAGGAATTAAGTTTTCTTTTTAGAGAAAATAAAGACACTTTTTTGTTAATAATCATTGAATGACAGTCATTTTCTACCTTCTCTATGTCTCTCTCCCTCTATCACACACATATGCATGTATAAACTCTCTTCTTTTATCGTTTAAGATGTCAGCTCTAAGCGAAAATAATCTATTGTTTCCCTTCTTTGTTTTTGCTAACATTTACATAAAGTTCAATTTTGTCGTACCAGTTATTATTGATTCACTGTCTTCAATAATTAATACTATAAATAAATCGATATTTTCCTACACTAATCAATAGTAGTTCAATAGTAATATTTTACTTTGATTAAGAAAGAAAACACAACTTCTTAAAATACAGCTGAAGGAAAAAAATATTCATCTTTATTATAATTAGCAGTTTATTGCTAACAAAAAAACTATAAGTTTTAACATCTGTTTTTTGAATGCGTAGAATTTTAAACAGAAAAAAACCAAAAGATGGCGCCTTTGTCACTTTTTTTAGAAATACTTGTAAGGGTTCAATATTAAAACAATGCACTATTTAATCTAATAAATTATTTATTAAGAATTATTGGTTTGAATGGCTATCTAGTGATTTTATTTTAAAAATTTAACGAGTGCGTAACATCTAATATCTTATTATTATTCCTTTTATAAAGTATTTAAACTGGATAAAAAATATAATCTCCTTAATTAACACAGAGAATAATCAAGAGAAGAAGGAAAGGGATTGCACTTTCACGCAAACTTATAATAGCGGGAAAAGTAGATAAGAAAAATCATATCTTGCATTCTCTTTTCTTTTTATTATACAGTATATATTTATTCATTAAAATTAAATAATATATAAGGTAATAATGGGTTTTTTCTCATTATTACTATAGGAACTTATTCTAAGACGTACAGTAATTTTTAAAGAGAGTTCAGAAGTGTGAAACGAATTTTCTTCAGAATGTGGAGAAGGAAGACTCTGAAAAAAAGTGGTAGAGCGAGGGAGAGAGAAACGAGAAACCCCTTATCGTACTATAATACTTGCTAAAACTAAGAGTCATCAAGCAGATAAGGTGTCTAATTAAGTTTGTTACTATAGAAACAAATTTATATGCAACAGCGAATTGCCTTGTCTGATACAATAGTCCGTTTTCATTATCAGTTTTCGTGACATAGGTATATTATAGGAAACTTTATAACGAACAGATAAAACATCGATTTAGATAAACATCTTTTTCATTATCTATCATTTGAACATTGAAATTTGACAAATACGTATTGGGGAACATTCATATCTGTAAATTACATTTTTAATAATAATTGTGCAAAGAGAAGAAAAAACTCAATATTTTCTTGTTTCAGAAGTGTTCCTGCAGGTTCCATATTCGAAGTTAATTAACTCATTTATCAATTTATAACATAATATATAACAGGACATAAACAGAAAATTTTTTAAATTATAATAATCAAACATAGAAATTATTTTAACTCAATTTTGCTTCTTTTTTCACAATTAAATCTTCAAAACCACACTAATTGCCAAGTGGTTTTCACTTGTCTATTGTGTTGACAAAACATTTATTAACCAATTATACAATATATATATAAACTTTATGTTATCATATCCACTTGGGTTCATTATACAGGCACGTCAAGTGAAATTTACATAAGTATTTTAAAGTTCACTTAGACGACAAAGTAAATAATCATATGTAAAACTGGTTCTTCTCCATCTTATGGTACTCATTTCTTTCTTTCTTTCATTCTAACTGACAAACTATCTTCTTTTCTTTTAGTATTTATATACAACAATTAAAGTTATAAGCAGTTTTGTTTTTTCTCATAAAATAGTTGCTGAGATTGGAGCAGATCGATCGCAGATCTCCTTAGGATGTAGGGAATGCCATTGGGCCACAGGTTGCCTTTGACATTGCATCATCTTATTCCAATGAGCTCCTTCAGCTCTTCCACTATTTGAATGTTTTCCAATTACAATTCTACCAACCAAATCATCCTTACTTTTACTATTATAATCCCATACTGTAATCACTAGGCTCGTTGAGTCTATTGATTCCGGTCCGACTGTAAATGTAATATTCTCGTTAAAAACTGGATCTATCGTATTCTTTATCATAGATGTTTTTTTGGTTTTTACTGGTTTTTCATGATTAAGCAAAGTAATTTTTACAAAAGGATCCGATCCACCAACTAAATCCGTCTGTAGAAGTTGTTTGGCCTTTATAACGTCGATGCTCAATCTACCAGCACTTGGAATATATAACAATGAGAGTAATAGCTCCCCAATGTCCGGTTTATCCTGATAAATCAAGAATTATTCATAATTAATAATTAATTTATCGGAAATAATGACGAAAATCAGTTTTAAAGGGGTATTCAAGTATAATATATATATATTTACTGTATATATATACAGTAAAATTTACGTGTGTGTAATATGTATATATATTAGTATACACTGTATAAATTTATATACTGTATATATACTGTATAAATATAGGCATCAGTTAACTGAATTCTCACATGTGTAGCAAAAGTAACACTGAACACTTTATATTGCTTTTCTTTTTATATATAATTTAAAATGATGCTGCGATGGAGGTATAAGAACTAGAGAGAACTCTTAGGTTTCCTATTACTAGAACAGCACAGCGTTCTCTCTTTCTGTTTCATTCCTTAACTGTATAAATTCAATACTCTCCTTTCTAACTTTATTAAAAAGAAATTTTTAGTAGTTAAATAAAAGCAAAAAAGTAATTTCAATTATATTGTATAGTTATAGTTGAGACAAATATGATTCATTTATGCTTTTGTTAAAAGATAAATATATTCAATGAATTATTATTAGATGAATTGCATGTAAATTTATTATTTGGATATAAGATGATCTGAAATAATTTCATTATGCAGTATTTATTAAATAGCAAGGGATACTCTGAACTTATATAAATAAACTGTAGTCTATAAGTATGTATACTATATATATTCATTTGTGTAGTACTCTCATTTGTATGTATAATATATGTGACACTTCAGTAAGAAATTTTGAATTAAGCCAAGATGTCTTTTTATCACAGTTAATCACCAGGGAACGGAAGTACTTTGTTATTCGTTAATTGTTTTCCCCTCGTCAATTGATATATGGCCACGAAGCCTAGAGGTTTTGCAAAGTAATAAAAAGTACACATTTAACAATATAGGTTTAGGTAACGGGAACTACAAAATTTAGTATCTTTTAGGTTAAAAGACGTAACTTTTTCTTAATCAAATACTTTTTAATTTGGCTGCTTGAAGAACTTTTAAAAAATCTTTGATTTGTTCTTTAATATTTTGCTCTTTTAAAAAAACATATTTTTTTATATTCACTACCTTTTCTCCATCACTAGCTTGCTCTTTTCCCTTATACTATCTCTTCCCTTACCTCTTTTTATTCCTTTGTAGCTATTTTTATAGCCTTTCTAATGATAATTCCCAACAACTGCTAAGAGTAATTTTATTTCTACACCGATTTGTAGAAACTTCATGTTTTTATTACTGGAGCCTGCAAAAATATTATACTAATATATTAAAGAAATAAGCTTACCAAATGGCTTGGAATCAAAGCTTTCCACAAATGGCCACCCTTAAGCAAATTCATTGAATCCAAGGGCAGATTTACATGACCAATTACGCAATGTCTCGAAAACTTATCAAAATCTCTAACAGATATATGCAGAGTTCCCTTTTGAGCATCCTGAAATGACATTTCAAAAGTAAATGTATCGCCCCATTTTGGATCTTGGGTTTTTCTTTGAACTCCAGTCTGTTGTGCATTTTTCGTATCTGGTAGAACGTATAGTTTTGCATATGGATTACTATGAGCTTGATCAGCTCTGTCCATAGACGCAGGTAAAGGCAAATGTCTAGCCTCTATTATTCTAACAACTAAGGCATTTGCAGGAACTTCATACTGCAGGCTTACATGAACTTCCCCTAAATCTGGTTGGACCTTTTTAACCTCTTCCTTCACTTCGTATAAATCTGGCTTGATGCTATCGATGGAAAACTCAGGTTCGCTTGGTAGTCTACCCCTTCTAGGTGTACGAGGTTGTACTGTCTCTCTATTGGCCCAAAATTCTATAGGTTTCATGTCAATAACTGGTGTTACTGATGAGCGCCTATAGGAAAATGAGTTAAGTGTGGCATCGCTACCATGAGATGAACTAGAACCCCGACGATCTTTATCTCTTGGCGAAGATACGGCTAAACTATTCTCAGAGTCTGATCTTTTTAAGGGTTGAGTGCAAACTACTATCTGTCGTTTATCGATTTTAGGCGGAGGCGACGATTTCCAGTCACAGCAGGCAGTCCAGCATTTTTTACTTGCAGTCTGGCATGCTTGTTCGAGTGCTATTAAAAGTTAAACATTTTTTAATTAATACCTATTCACCTTTTTACAACATTTTTTTATAATGCAGCTAACAAATAATCCTGAGTTATTAGGGTTTTCAGCCACAATAGCAAATATATTCTATGATGTATACTTTTTAGGTAAACACGCTTATTTATAATAGTTATTATTATATGCATGTATGTTAGTTTAATGTGATATTCTATTTCCATTTTCTTAGAAAATGATCGTCATGGTCACTAGCTATAATAATAAAAACATTTCAGTAATTTGCTTTTGGGATCTTTTCCTTTGAGAAATACCTACTTTTAAATATATTATCTCGACAAGCGAAACATTTGTAGCAAAAGAATAATTGACAAATGTATACGTGCGTCCCTTTTCTCTCAGTCTTTGTTCTACTTTTATGTGCGACAAATAATTGACAATATTCACAAAAATTAACAAGAGGAATAGTTCATATTAACTACTTATCAATATTTATAGCCTACTTTTAATGTCGAAAAAATTTCAAAGTATTTCTGCTATATGCATATTAATTCGTCTATTTTCGTTGCTATTTTAAATAGCATATTTTATTTTTTTGGTTTCAGGGATATTACCATAATTGTAATTTGCCCCCGATTAGCATTTTCGTATTGATACGCTTGAATAATTTAAAAGTCATATGAGGATGTAGTATTGAATAGTCTTTATCTGATATATGTACTCTCAGTGATATTTAGGACAAGGTTTACACCTTGTACAATTTCAGTGCATCAATTATTGTGCGAAATGATTGTGTTTAATGAGTGAGCTTTTATGATTTCTTATATGAATATTACTTCGTCTAATTAATTCTACTTTTTTCAATATTCAATTGTAGCTTCTTGAAATGGTTATCCATCGATCTTTCAATAAAGCTAACTATATCTTTGATTAGTCTTTTGGTGGCTTATTTTTTATTAGAAAAGTTCAAAGGTGGTAAAAGAATACCAGGACCTAAGGGCTTACCCCTCGTCGGCATAGCTTTTAGTATAAAAAAGGAGAAGATGCATCTAGAATTGGCAAATTACGCCAGGAAATACGGCAACTTGTGTCGTTTTAACCTAATGGGTTCAGACATTGTTTTGGTTTCTGGGCTAAAATTAATTCACGAGGTCTTTGTAACGAAACAAGACGGATTTTCTTCGAGATATTTATCTAACAGGTTAGGTATATTATATAAGAAAGAACCCGGTATTACTGCAATGAATGACGATGAAAAGTTTAGAGAGCTAAAAAAAATTTGTTTAAAGTCTTTTAAACACTATGGCGATGGAATGGAGACAGTGGAATCATTGACAATGAGATCTATAAATAAATTTTTTACATATTTGTCAAATGCTAATGGCAAGGCTGTAGATATAAATGACAAGATACAATACTTATTAGCAGACATAGTCTATTCCATGGTAAATATACACCTTTTAAAAAATATATTTTAAAATTAGAGAAATGTATATTACGCAGCTTTTAAATCAAGAGCTGAGTGAAGAAGAGATTTCACAAATAACCAAAATGAGTATACAGTTTGTTGAAGTTACATTTGGCTCCAAGGCACTGCTTTTGGAACTTTTTCCTTGGTTAAAATATTTCGGATATAAAGCATATAAAAAAATTTGCGATTATGAAAGAAATGTTTGCGCATTTTGGAATAAAGTTATCGATCAGCGATTTGTAAGTGTTCTTTAATTATTTGTTCTAGCTCCTTGCTCTCCCTCAGTTTTTGTTTAGTTTGTAATTTATTATCGCTTCTCTAGCTAATGAATCAAGATGAAAAAAACAAGGATGAGATTTCTGGTGCAATAGATAGTATGTATTCTCAATTAATGAAATCGTCTTTTCAATATAGCCGGGCTTCCTTCTGTAAGACACTTCAATCAATAATTTTAGCTGGTAAGGATCCATTATAACAATATACAAAATTTATAGCTAAACAAATACGATACAGGATTTTCCACGACATCGTCTTCAATGTATAATTTTTTGCCAATACTGCTTAATCACCCTCAAATAGAGAAAAGGATTTTTCAAGAAGTTAGTGAAGCTGTCGGACATTCTAGAATGCCTTGTCTTGAAGATAAAAAAAATATGCCGTATTCGGAAGCTTGTGTTTTAGAATTACTCAGATACACAACTGTCGTACCATTCGCCTTACCTCACGAAACTGACCGTGACATGGATTTAGACGGCTATCAGCTTAAAAAAGGCACACAGGTTTATTATATAATATGCTAACCATACACTTTTAAATTTTTGTCAAGTAGATATGGCCCAATATTTGGGGTCTCCATCATGATGAAGAAATTTGGGGCGATCCCTGGAATTTCCGACCCGAGCGATTTTTAAATGAAGAAGGAAAAGTAGTAGACACCGGTCATTACTTGAGGAAGCAGTAAGAATTTGAGATACTCTACTAGTAAATAGATTTGCTACTCATTTTTTTTAAAAACAAACAGCCTTCTACCTTTCGGAGCTGGAAGGAGAATTTGTTTAGCAAAACCAATGGCTAAGAATCGACTGTTTCTATTTATAACAGGCATTATACAAAATTATAAAGTAGAACCCGAAAAGGAAAATAAATTACCGGAATACGATGCAAGAAAGTTCCTTTTCATGGGAGTGGTAGTGTCTTCGCCTTACAAAGCCAAATTTATAAGACGCGAACAAAAATCAGATTAATCCCCGAATTAGTCACAGATGTAAAAAATGGACCGCATACGACACAGATATAAACATTTTTATAAAAAAGAAATATGTATTTCTCTAGCATAGATTATACTTTATACTCCCTCTAAATCCTTCAACTAACTAAAATAAACGTTAACATGATATCAATTTAACAAACACGACTCGTCCTTGTTTTTTTCCTACATTTTCTAAGTTATCTTTTTAGCTAGTCTATACTATAAAAATACCTTATTATAGGATGATATACTTAAATAAAAATTGATTATCAATAATCGTTCAAGTAGAGAAGAGAGAGAGAGAAATCGAGGAAAATGCAGGGTTTTATCCTACATTTATTCTTTTTTTCTGTTTCCTATTCTCTACCGGCCGTAATGTATTTTACCATTAGGGTAATAAGTTTCGAAACATAGTTTGTTAAAAATGTTAAAAAGTTTAAAGGACAATATGTAATTTTTGAATAGATGACTGGATGCATATATGAATGGGATATATAAATAGTGACTATATTTAAATATGGTTTATTGTTCAGTTTATGTACACTGTTGCTAAGGTTATGAAAATAGTGTGTACTTAACAGTTCTCCATCAAGTACCAAAGGAAAATCTGTTATACCTTTCCTTCTGGAGTGATGATAACAAATAGCCAAAAGTTAGAAGTATTTGTCAACTTATTTAAGAGTATCACTTTTAATATCATGGGAACTTATGGTTAAGTTTTCGCACGATTTCATCCTATAGACTTTTTTACAACAATCAATTAAGCCTATAGTCTGACAGTTACGCTAGATAAGACAGGCACAATCTAGACAAAATTGCATTCAATCTGCGGGCAAAATGTCGTCGTCTATCAGGCGTGATGTATTAACAAACTAATATTAGGCCTAAGAAAGTAGCAAATTTCCTTCCAATATAACTTACCTCCTGGACCGCATAATGATGCTATAAGCCTAGCAGTTACTGACCCGCTAGTGTGACTTCCAGTTGGACGTCTACTTGCATTTTCCTTCTAAAAAACATTGAGAAAAATAGAAAAAAACAGTGATGGTAGATTGGAAGTTGTCTATTATTGATTCTTGCGACACAAATCTACTGCTTTCCTCTCGTCTATCAAATGGTTAAATGGAAATTGTGCCTGATTAAATCATAACACCTTGCCTGAAGGTAAAAATTACGATATTGGCTTAAGAATAAAACTAGCTACCAGACACAACTAAGAGTATAGAAAGATTCTAAATTTTTAAATAATACTAGTAGCTTAGCTATTTTGGTAAGAAAAATTAACAATTTAACACACGTACCATATTTTCACTCACATCCTCCTCGTTATATTCCGAATAATCGATATCTTTTACCTGCTTAGCAGCCATACTGAAGAGAAGCTTTTAAACGGAAAAAACTAGCTAATTATAATCAAAATAATGCAGTTGTTCGAAAACAACTGCAATATTGCGGCGTTTTACAACGCTGCCATGTTTGTGAACGGCATTAGCATTATGCACTGAGTGGTGACGCTGTCGACGCTTCGCTGTTTCTTAGCTATTAAAGTAGATTTTTATAGGCGTGACTTTTCGGACAAGCAGGAACTATATCGTTACGCAACATTTAGATATCTTGTTCTTGAAACTCTACCGTCCTTGCGTGTATCATGAAAATACAGACAGCAATAGGAGATGTATTTAAAATAAATTGCTCGATAAAAGAACAAGTGGACTTTTTTTTAGAATAGCTTTCCGTTGCTGTCTTAACTGGAGGCTTCTTCAAGAGGCCAGATGTAATGCGACATGCGTGGCAAAAGCTAAACCGAAGAGAAGTGACACATTAACTATGTCAGTTTGCCCTTTTAGGAGTATCCAGATCATGCGGTTGAAAGCGAAACGAAACGATTTTGCAATTAAAAAGAGAAAGGTCATCGAGTAAATCCACCTTATTTGTAGTTTTAGGTATTAAATAATAGTTTAGGAAAAGACTAGAGAATATGAGAGTTTACCCTGGGAAGTATTGATTTTAAATAGAGTAAAAGAGTTTATTTACAAATGCCTATAATTATTACACTATTATTCCATACCCACTTAGTTCAAGGACATTACATCGTGTTCCGTATTACTGCATTAGATAGTGACATAAATTTGTCATTAATCTCAATAAAAGACGGGAAATTTTTTTTCCTTTCCAAGGTAAACCTTTAGGCAAATGTGGCAGGAATTAGACATCTTGGAAATGGAATATTCTATAAAAGGGCAATAAATAGCAAACATTAAATAGTGCTTTGCAAAATAGTAACTTGTATTTATATTTTGTTTTTATTAAAGAATAAAGATCTTAATAAATTTTTCATTCCAAAAACCTGTCATATATTCTATATAGATATGAGGTTAGAGCTTAAGATATATGTATTTTTCTGTATTTCCGACTGCCTTCGGATAAACTTGATCTATATTAAAGTTGATTTATTGTTATTTAGTCAGCAAGGGGTAAAGAATCCTATTGACGAAACAATCTATTACTATCCTATACTTTCATACTTAAAAGAAATATGATTTATTGTAGCAGATATAATTTTTTCAGCTATAAACATAATATTGTATACTTTTTTCCAAATAAAAAAAGTGTGATATATATAATTATAATGCACTGAAAAGGGCGAAACTTTCCGAGTACATCACCAGTAATTTCATGTTAACAATAGATGAATCATATATGTTGTGACATGTGGACTGTTTTATCTGAAAACCTGATAGTTTAAGTTACCTCCTCACTTCGTACACATCATTTTTCTTCTCATCATCTTTTAAAATTGTTAATTGAAAGAAATGATGAACGTGAGGAGCTAAAAGGAAAAATCGAACATTCTGCAGCTTTCTAGCATATTCTTTTTTAATTTCGATAAAATACTATTTAGAGCTATTATAAAGCTTTAAAATGTACAATTCATAGATGGATATGAGCATGTGTACTTCTTAAATAAATCACGAAATTTAACAGTAAAATGAGCACTCGTTGATTATTTATTCAAACACGGTGTAGCAATACCAATCTATCTTCAGAATACCATTTTGAACTTCTATAATTTAAGAGCCTTTTTTGCTTTTCAAAAATATTGTAGTATTCGCAAAAATAAAGGTTAACGAAGACTGTGACCTTTTAAAACAGGCCTTGTTTTTCCATATCTAAATTCGGCGTTATTTTCCTATTAAACGTCATAAGATATTAAAAGGGTAATAAGCTGACAGAAAAATTTAATAAAGAGAGAGCGAATTTGTTACAGTATACAGTATATAAATGTAGTCTCGAATTGGAAAATCGTGGGAAATATTTACATCGAATCAAACAACTTCTTTATGCAGTATTAAAAGTTGATTGGCAAACTCAAAATCACCTTTTGAAAATGGATTAACAAGACAATTATTAAATTTTGAAATAAGCTAGGAAATATTTTGAAAGATATGCTATATAGTGTATGAGGAGAACAGCTTCTATCATAGAAAGTAAAACAGTCTACCTATTGGAATAACAGATTAAATCTGTATCCAATACTTTTGTCGTTTACGTTTTACGCTGTATTGTAGGCTTCCACTAATTAATTAGTTTACTATCACCTAAATTATATTAGTCATTAGTGTCCTTTCAGGTTCGGACATATTAATCAATCTTTTCATTTTAATTCTCGCAAGCTTATCATAGCAAATTTTTTTGACACTTTATATACTATTCTTCATGGAAATGTCAAATATTTAGGTAAGGGGGTATGCATCACTATTAGTCGCTATGGCTGTTCCTGAAAATAGGTATTATCACAAAATTTACTCTCAAAAAACAAATCCTTGGGTAAAGGAAATTGCAAATTCTATGAAGGCAATACACTCAGTAAGCTCCTATGTTAAGTTCCTATTAAAAAGAGTTCATTTATCATGGCAAGAAGCATTACAATTATTAAATTCATATGTGGTAAAAAAATTCTCTCATGCGTCCCTGACATTTAAGTCTTTCAGCTTTTGGCCTTGATGACTTTTGGCATAATATAAAGTTCCTATCTCTTTTGTTTCATCAAATAATTTCTTGGAAGTGTTATTGTTATATGACCTAAGAGTGAAAATTGTATTTTATTCCACCAATAGGAAAACAAGAATTTCCTATATTTTGAAGATTGGAATTGTATAAATTTTAGAAATTTCCATTTATTTTAAACAAAGGAAAAAGTATTGCCTAGACTTTTTATGTTAGAATGTAGAAAATAAATCATTTTAATGCGAAAAGTTCTATAAATAATATTTTTTTACATAATGCAAAGTATCTATGAATAAATTGTATTTATCTTATACACAGACACATTTATATTAATTAGTAGTCGTTTAGTTTCTTGGACCAAACCGTCGTTGGTGACCTAGCCTTTTCATATCCTATTATGAATATAGAAGGCAAATTCTATTTACTAAATATTCGGAATATATGCAAATGAGGTTGTTTACCTGGTATAAATTTATTATTAAAGGCTTTATAAATCCGGTGATAAGTTTCTTTTTGACATGCCATTGTTGCAGTTAAACTACCAAGAACTTTCTTAAATTTCAAGTCAGTTATATCGTTAATAAAGTGTTTCAATGACTTTTCGAATGTTTCTTTGCCTTTTTCCGGAATATTTTCAATGGTTATTTCCATATTTAAAATATCTTTTGGCACATCTGAAAGTTGTTCTGTGACACTCTTTTCATGGAAGTGGTATTTTTGTGTCTAAAAGTTTTTTATAAATTGTTATTTTTAAAGAAATAATAAGAATTTGTAGCCTTTTATACTACAGGTTTATAGGCTTCCCGTAATTTTCTATGGTTTTCGTTAAATATTGAACTTTCCAGTGGGCAGCCTCTACCTCTAACACGAAATTGGTTTGCTGTTGATAAATTGAGTTCTCTTGATTTGTGTTGCATTTTTTTCTATAGGAATTAAAAAATACATTAATTTTCAAATATGTAAAGTTGTAATAATTTGCATTTCCTTATCTTACAAGATAATCAAAACTTGATTTTTTCGGTATATTAATGGCAGTCAAGTCAAAGAGTTCATTTGATTTCTTAATATTGTCCATAAAATATATTAGATCACAGTTTTTCTGCTCTTTTATTGTACTTTCAGAATCTTCAAGTTGATCAACATCCTGAGGGTAATCAAGAAAATTATCTATATATGACTTTTTAGTGGTCATCGGGCTATTCTCAGCTTTTGAAAGTTTTCAAACAAGTCATAAAATGGCGAACACTGCACATGGTACTAAAGTATAAAAAATCCAGCAACAACAGTCAATGTCAAGGTTAATTACTGATTAAACTGGTAAAAATAAATACTTTCTAATAAAAATAACAAAACATAGCATAACAAAACGAGTGGATCAGGTCACCCGACTTTTGGGATATAAGCTTCAAACAGAGCTACCATACAGAAGTAAGCACTTAATATTGTTTATCACAACGGCATTTAGACAGAAGGGTAAAAGTCTAAATAGATGCAAACGAAATATTTTGCTAAAATATAAATAATTCATAGCAAATTATTAATGGAGAGTTATAAATAAGAAAGAAAATCAACTGTTTTAGTGCACAAACAAATTTTCACTGAATTAAAAGAGAGAATAATCAAATTTAATTTATTTCAAAACGTTAATAATTACAAATAGTTTCCTTTATATCTAGATTACTATCTTGGGAAATCTTACAATGACACTATCGATATTGATACTAATATTTCATTCAAAATATAAAAAACAGGAAAGGAAATAAGATTAGAAGTTTTAGCTTATCAGACTTAAGTTGTATACTTAATTGATTTGGTTTATGGGAAATAGACACTGTATATTTCTAATTTTAGTATGAAATTGCTAATTTTGCTAAATGAACCCGAGCGTCTTAAATAAATTACAGAAAAAACCTTATCAATCGAAGTAATACTTTATTATTTACGTAGCTAATGCTAAGTTGAATTAGAATAATCATTTAAAGGATATTGTAATATATAATACTATTGTAGACACTAATTTAAAAAAAAGTGATAGATGAGGGCGTAAATTGTTATTAATAATTTAATATAGTCAATAAAAACAGTAGTAATTGATAATTAGTTATACTGTTTGTATTAAATAGTATTTGTAAATAAAATTACTGAACTGTACATGGGTTTCATTTTTACTAGAATTGACCGTCTTTATTTAAATTCTATTTTCCCTGTTACCATATAGGCTCTAACACTATGATCTGGATCTATATCTTCGTTTGTTACTTCAGAAGTAATTAATTCAGATGAAGATGAACGAAATCTATTTATCGTAAAAATTTCTGTAAAGAACCATCTTATTCTTGTTCTCAATCGTGATAAGTGATCTTTTTTCCTGTTTGTAATTTGCGCTTATTTAATAATAGTTATGCAATAGCTTAATAAAAAGTTATAGTTTAGATTTTTAAAAATGGTACCTTAGTACGAGCACAAATAAGGCTAGAAGTATAAGAGTAAAAATTCCAACAGAACAAGCAATTATTATTGTTGAAAGGTTACTGGAAATGCCATCTGTAACAATATGTCTCTTCTTATTCACTTATTTAAACGAGACAAAGAAGTTTTTCTATTTTTACTAAGATTTCAAATTTACCGGGCCTAGATACATTGTGAAATAGACAAATAACATCTCCTGCTTCGTAGCAATCAATTTTTCGTATTTTAAAATCTTTAAAATGAGGTTGTCTTCTGAAGGAGAAGCATCCTTGACTATCTAAGGGCAAAAGAATTTAATGAACAAGAAATATATTAAAAAATACATCTCCAACGAAAAATATTAATTACTGACTCTGTTTAGCTTTGAAAAAGTCCAATACAGAGTAAACAGAAAAAATATAAACATATCTACATTCTATACACACGTTCAACACATTTCTATACAAAAGAGAGAGAGTGTGGTTTTGTTTTCGTTATTTTCTATGTCAAAAACTAAAACAGATTTCGCTTGAAATTAAAGACTAAAATATGTCGTTAATTCGCTTTTTACAAGGAATTAATCGACAAATTTGTAACAACGTTGAGAGTAAGTGTCCTTTTAGTAGCTTCATCAATCATTGATATTTAAATATAATGTCATAAATATATAAGCAAATATCAGAATATTTTACCGTTTAGATTCCATGATAAATTCTTTAATAAGCTCCGCTCTATATCATTTTCATAATTGAGCCAAAAGTTTCCGAATATCTTATTTCGTTTCAAAAATGAATTCAACTTAATTTGAAAATTCGCAGACGATTTCAAGTGGTTGACAGACAAAAGTTCATAGCCTATAAAAGAAAAATTGATAAATATAGAATTATATGATTAAAAATGAAAAAAGAACTAATATTGTTATAATGATGTAGGGAACATGTATTTTTAGCTGCCTCGAAACCAATGACGGTTCTCTTTATTTCCAAAGGGTATGAATCAAATATCAAACTTTCTGGCTTGTTGATATCTGAGTGAATAAAAACTTAGATAATATCTAATATATATTTAATAAAAGAATAACTAAATTTTATCTATTTATGTTATAAAAAGTATGAAATATCTGAATATATATATAGCTTTTACTATTTTAAATACATAATTAATAATATTTGAAAAAAATGCAAATAAGAACGATCATACTTGGCTCTATGTAGCAGAAACTCATTTGACAATTTTCGTAGCGTTTGTTAGATTTTTTCGATACTATTCCTTCCAGATTCTTACAACCTGAGGACGATGTTAGAAGAGTTATTTTCAAATGACGACCGAGGCATTTACCAACTGGCTGCAATACTACATATTTTGTCCAAATATTACTCTCATTCATTGAACGTGAATGGCAAAATTTGAAGGCACAATCTGTATAATCGTCTTGTTCTAAACCAGGTGTTTGGTAGTGTCCATGAAATTCTGAACACTCTTTTACACTCGTTCGTATTATAATATGAACAATGGCTTCATCCTTACATAGTATATCACTAGCTTCAACTAAACCATGATTTTCCGTCTGACACCATTTTAGGAAGCATGGTGCCGCCACGTATTTATTGGTTGAGATTGTAGAAGAGCCTCCTAATACACCGCAGTCTGAAACTTTCGTCAACACAGCTGCTTTGTAAAACTTTCGTCCTCGACACTCTTTATGATTTATGACTGCTTGGTACTGGGCGTTGGCCACTTAAAAATCAACCCATTCTTTATCACATAATTCATTATTAAGAAACTTTAATATCCGTAAAATACTTACATAATATATTTATGAAAAGAGATATAATCGAAAGCTTACTTTTACAATGCATTGTTGGAATTTACTCGTCTGACTGGAGAAATTTAAAGAGGATGCAGGCAAACGGGCCAAATTGTGTTTGGCCAAACTGTAGGCCTAACCTACTTTTAGATAAAATGCTTATATAAAAAAACAAAAAAAATTATGCTTATTTTGTATAGCTCAGTAATATACACTGTAAATTACATGATACTATTGAAACATATTGTGATGGAAGATGTTACTAAAGCTGTATTAAGTTTGCAATGAGAAAATCTTTATACTTAAACATAAAAAAACAGGATATTCATAATCCTTTAAAGGTAAGTGCTATTTTTTATCTTTTTTGATGTAAAATCAAAGAAAAGTATTTGATACTCATGAATAGTCTATGAATACTGTTTCTTTTTTTAATTAAATAGTACTCTTTTTGATTTTTAATGAAGCGCGATATTTTTTTTAACTATAACCTATATGTAATTTAGCTATATTTATTACATATTAACTTGATTACGACATATAGGCAAAAAAAACAAAAGAGATCCAAATGAATTGCCTCTTGTAGACTAAAAATCCTAGTTTCTGTTTTTTTGGTAGCCGACATTATAAACAAAAGAAGTAGTCTTAGATGTATGCTTTTATCAATTAAAAAATTTATTCTAAATATTATATTGTATCTCGAGAATTTCACTAGATATTTTCGTATAAAGAAGACAATTCGAGCCTTTGGATAAACAAATTCTTCAAACCCAGTTAAAACAAACATTCTTATCGTAAAGATATTTTGAATACATTGTTATAGCTCCTAATACAACACAGTTGCTCTTTGGAGGCTGAATAGATTGTTAGATAGTCTTATAAGAAATCGGTTAGAGAGATTCAAATAAAATTTTCATTTATATATACTGTATATACAGTATACATAGTTGATATACTGTATACAAATACTATTTGTATAATAAACTGTTCCAACGAAATGTATGAATATAAAAGTATACACAGTGTCTGTTATATACTAATATTTAATTTTATATATAATTTAACTTATTCAAGGCATTAATTCTGCTACAGCAATTCCAATCAGTATTAAACTATTTTAAAAAATATAAAGTAAGATGGAAAAGAAACTAATTATATTAAAATAAATATATTAAGGACCTATTACATATCTCTAAATCATTCAGCTAAAAAAAAGAATAAAATGCATATTGCTTTAAAATATATTTTATTTTAATAATTATACATTGTTTTAATAATATTCTATAGCAAAAATCTATTTTTAAATTAGAGTGTATTATAGTAGGAAAATTTCTAATTGTTTATAGCTGTTTTTTCCTTCTTCTAGTACAATAGCTAGAAAGTTTTGATAGCTAAGCACTTGAAGAATTTCAGTTATAAATCTTCGAAAATTTCATTAACAACTAAGTCTATTTATAATGAGGGAGCATAACATACAAGTACACTAGTGCATACAGTGCATTTTACATATATCATATTCGTACATGTTACCTAAATTTTATCTTTGGCCTTCGTTTACATGCTTTACTTCATTAAGCAGAAGAGATAAAAATATAAAAATAATTGAAATTTGTAGACTATCGATAAACAAAGAAATTTAAAATTTCTTCAACAAAACAGAATTTGTTCATGTTTCTTTCAAAATATTTTGTAATATTTATTATACTTTAGCCTGTTTGGTGTTCAGATATTAAATCGTTTAAGATTTATAAAATATTATAAATACGTCAAAAGTTTAGCCCTTTTGATCAGCTTGCTTATCGATCAAGTAGATAGCGAATTTTGTATGAGAGAATATACTTAGGTAGAGGAGATAGACGAGTTCTAGTTAAGGAAAAAACTTTGCTACAATATGACATAGTTTTAAATTATTTTTCTCCTCGATCTTTGGTATCAACAACTTTTAACTTTGCTATTTATCTGATGCCAACACTGTGAGATGTGTCAACAAAGTTCGATTGATAAATAACGATTATGAAGGTTTATTAGTGGCAGTTGATCAAAGACTGAATGAAGATCACAGTATTAATAATGGACTACAGCTTATACCTTACCAAGAGATGTTTAATACAATAGACTATCATTTCTTCGTGCTATAAGGCTTTCGATTTCTTTTTAAATAGTATTATTTTGACGGGGCTTCAAAAATTTTATTCACTGCAACAAACAATATGACCTATTTGAGAGAAATCACCATTTTAATACCTTTTAGAAGACGATGAAATATATTCCAGTTATTTGTCAAATTTAAAAGTGCTGGAATGTACAGAGTTAAAATTGAAGTTAAAGTTACAAAGGGATTAACTAAGGCCCTTATTAAAACAAGATCACATGGATCACACAAAGATGTAAGGTTGTTAAATGAATAAATTATAACATATACTCACATCTTTTCTCAATTTAAGTAACTGAAACCATTGACACTGGTTCTTTTGAGAAATTTGAGAGAAATACTTGTTGCTGGTACAATGATCAAAATTTGCGTACCAAAATGCTTCAACGTGATATCCTCATGGATGCGTTGCTAATTTATTAGTTCTTTAAGCAACAGACAAGTGGATTCATGGACTGCTATGGGTACCCATCTAGATACTGGAACAAGTATGAAAATTTTTGTAATTAAATCTAATCAACTGTGTTTACTTAATTGCATAGCCATTTAAAACAACTGGTGTTGTTGAAGAAAAAGTACAGTGAATTCGTTTAAGCCTTTTAAAGCTAATAAAAAAGAAGAGAAACAAAAAATGTTCGGTTTATGTTTGATTTCTTCCTGATTATAGCATGCAAATAGTCATTGTTGTTTGTCTATTTGCAGGACATAATTGTTAGATTATGTTTGGCATTGTTTTTTGACTCCTATTGAAGATCTAAAATTGTAAAAACGTACGTTTTCTTTTTTTTTCGGATAGTATAAAAACAAAATAAACCTAACTTTCATTTATTTCTTTTCAATTTCTCATTCTCTCTATCTGAAAATATTACATTCATACTTATCTTTCTTGGTCCTATATTTTTCTATTATTCGATTTTGAAGCTAGGATTGGCTTCAAAATATATATAATATATGTACGTTTAAAGCTCACTTTAAGAATTTCTTAAATTCGCGCGAAGTTGAAAATTTCTTTATTCATTCAAGCAACTCATAACAAATTGAAATTCATTAAATTTTTCAAGTTAGTGCCCTTGTAATTTTTGTCTTATCGAGATAATTATTGACAACTACAATCCAGCACCATCTGTTTTAAAATCATATGACTTTTTTCTTTAATTTAAACAACAATATTTTAACAATTTGTATATTACCAATAACAAGTGACATTAGGCTCAAAATTGTACACCGTATATATGATTAATGCTATATCAAAGCAAATAAATCATAAGCAACTAATAGCAAGTCTTAAATTAATAAAATTTTTGAGATATCTTTTTTAGTTATTAAATAGAAAGAAAATTCAATGATGATTCTAAAATATGTTAGTGAAATGTGAAAACTTTTACGGAAGAAATTTTGTGAAACTCTTTTTTTTGTTGATATTTCCAATTTTATCGTCAGTTTCTAGTAATTTCTAGAAGAATACTCTAATTCGTTAATAAATGGTCACTTACCTAATCAAATTAATTTGACAGAGAATAAGTTATAAATTATAAATATTATTATATACTCCTAGATTAGTTAAGCGACTAAATGCTTTAGTTTAAAGCTTTCTCAAGTCCATCATAAACTATCCAAATGATAATCATTTGAAGGCTCTTGCACGGTATCAATAGTTATATAAATAAGTATTTTCTATAATTTTTCATGTATTTTATATTTCAGAATTGAAAATAGGCTATTATACTTCAATAAAAAGGTTCAAGTCATTAGCAGCAACTGTTTTCTTCCTTGTTCATACAAACCTTAGTGTATAGAGCATCCGTATAATTTGATCTCATTTTGTAATAAACGTCTGTTGATTATTTTGCAATATCTCCTCGTAAGTACGAAGTATCTTTAACTTGCCAAAAATATAATAGTTGATATACTGTATATAGAATTTACATTATTGAATTCACTCAAATTAGTCGTTTTATAACAAAGAGTTGACGTGAAGACAATTATATAAAATATACAGGAGGAATAATATGACAAGTTAAATTTTCTCATGTGATCATGTAATAAGCTTTAGCTCTCAGTACCTTTCAAAAGATTCTGTACCTAAAAACAAAATATTAAAAAGTTTGTATAGCAAAACAAGGAAGACGAATTAAATATGTATTCTTTAAATTTACAATTCTCTACCTCACCGCTTGTTTCCTTTCTCTCTTTGGTGAAAATATTCCTCTACTGATCAATACATTCCACATATAAAGTTGAAACAACAAGACTCAAAAAAAATCTATTACCGAATTGCGGAGTAATTGTAAACTTTAATGCTGTAACTATCTACCTCTATTTTATATCAAACAAAGAACTCTATTTTCAAAATTTACAGCAGACCTGAATCAGACAAACACCATCTAAATATAATCGTAAAGCTTGAGGGCAAAGTCTTTTATCGCAACTCAATTAGGAAAATACCAATTTTTCCAATTTATCTGTTTTTCTTGTTTTTTAAATTTTTGAAGATTGTTAGAAATTTAGTATAAAAATATAATTATCTCTTTTCTAAAGATAAAATTATACATTCCAACTTTTTATGTTCCATTTATATGTATTTTCAATACTATCTGATAAAAAGAAATGGCGGAAAATCGTAAAGTAAAAACTTTCCTTTGGACTATACCCAGATCATGCTCCACGGCATTTTTAAGAGCAATTGCAGAGAGGCAGGACACAAAGGTTATTTTAATCAATATAGAATTTAACATTCATTTAGATCTAGACTTATTCCTCAGATAATATTTGAACCATATTTGCCTTGCTACTACTATTCGTCTGAGAGACAAAGTGAAAGGTATATTGATATTTATCTAATATTTTAAAGTATTCTTATTTAGCATATATACTTCAAATAGCTGTGTATAGTCTTTTAATTGAATGATTACCTTAAGACTTTCAAAAACAAGCAATAACTCTCAACCTCTGAAATTTGACTCTATGATTAAATAGGCCACTATCGATTTAAAAGAAACAACATAGACATGAAACTTTCAGTTTATCATCAAGTATCATTGCAGATATGAAGTGGAAGCACATCAAGGTTATACTTTCCAAGAAGGCAAGCAAGTATGCGAAAAGGAATACCCTGGTAACTTTCTATTCTATATTAGAAAATTAACTTTAAATAATATCAATATAATTTTATCTGTAAATTGGTCAAAAACAAGGACTAATATTAGCTATATTTTGTATTATCATTTCCTTAAAAAAAGTCTTGTTATCAACTCCACTCAGCAGCTGAAATTTTCATTGAACACAAAGCAATATATTTTGTAAATAAGAAAACCTTGATAATTGTTTACAAAAAAGAAAAGTCAAAATTTCTTATTTACTTTACAATGCATGCTGAAACTTTAGCCAACTTATATTATAACCTCTTTCCGTCAGAATTTAGCTATTTCCTTGTTTTGGGCAGTAAGATCCATGCAAAACTTTAGTTTCATATAAGTCAAAGAACTCTGCTATCTTTTTCAGAGCAATACATTTTCGCCAAAGATGCTGCATATCAGCTAGGCGGAAGATTTGATGCTATTCCAGAGGGATTTCAGCACACATTTCTCATTAGAAATCCAAGTAAAACCGTCAGATCGCTGTACAATATAATATTGAATGGAGAAGTTATTATTTAAAGTAGTTGTATATAAAATCATCTGAGTATCGATATTCATTTAGGAGACTGGCTGGACTTATTTCGACGCATCAGAAGTCGGATTTAAACAGTTGATGGAACTTTTTAAACACGTTACTACAACTCTATGCCAAGAAGCAATAGTAATCGATGCTGATGATTTATTCAAAAATTCAGGTTAATAAACAATGTTCTAAAGTTTCATACGAGAATATATTATTTAAATTATTCAGCCGGTATATTGAAAAAATACTGTCAAAAGATCGGAATGGAATATAAAGATAGTATGATTCAATGGGACGACTCCTCCAAAAGTTTCCAACAGAATTTTACGTAATATATGCTTCTTACATATTAAATAAATAGAAAAATATATGTTTCTTTTTATATCTATTTATTTAGCAAAATGTGGCATCCCTGGCTTAAAAATGCTTTTACTACAAAGAAATTCGAAGATACGCTACAAGGAAAAAAGCAAGATAAGGACATGCCTGAAGTTTTTCATGAAGCTATTAAAGAAAGCATGCATATATATTACGAATTGTACAAGTACAAATTGGAAGCAAACGCGTAGTAATTTCAGTAAATAAAGAGAAATATTACCGATTAGTTGCTCTATTTTTAATCATGATTTCTTTCCAATAAAAAAACTTCGACAGATATGATAAATATGAGATTTTGGCACGACTTTTACATTGCATAAACTTATTTTAAGGCTAATCTTTTAATTAATTTAATATTATTACTGAACCAAGTTAAGAATAATATACTTGAAAAAAAGCAACATACAACTGTTGTAAATTTATTGTATTTCAAAATTGTTAGCTAGCAGATTGAAATCAACTACATTAGCCTTTATAACGAAAATTAATATTCATACAAAAGCCAAGAGTAAACAGAAAAACTTACTCGTCTTAATACCGCAGATTACACAGAACACAAAAAACTGACCACAATTTATGGTATTTAAATACTTTTAAACTATTTAAATTAAGAAATATATTCTAAAATGTGTAAATATACTCGTTAGTAGTTTTAGAGTATATTTACTAATTACAATAATGGTCTTGTCACATTTAACATTGTCAGAAGAAAAAGTCCAGATATTCGACTGCAAGGCTATTCTTTCCACTATATGTACAGTATATTTACGACTACAATTATAACTTTGGTAATGCGTTCTATTAAAAACCAAAAAAACAATACCTTCAAAGGAAAATATTTAGAGATTATGTTTTATTCTGACAGTTTTTATTGGTCTTATAGCTTGTATGTAAAAAAAATTTGTTTAGCTAAAATCAAGTAGTTTTCAATCTAACCATATTTTTTCCAAGTAATTATTAGTGAAAAAGATAGCAATGCATGAGAGACTTGTACATGATGACCATTTCCATTAGTGAAATAGTTAGTGAGTAGATGGGAAAGCACACATGCTTTTATAAAACATTAAAATTAGATATAAAAGGGTTAGAGATTCGTAATTTTTTATCATGTCTCTAACGTAGGTTCAAGAAAGGTAGAAGCTAAAAGAGAAATTTGCAGAAACAATAATGTTTTCAATTTTTGTATTTTTTATTTTAAGTGCTTATTCATCTGCGGCAACATTAGGTAATATTCTACCTTTCTTCACTATTTTTACAGGGAACAGCTATTTTAAATAAGATTAATTTGTCAGGCTCGAAGGACAATGGATGTGTTGATTTTATTGCACTTGGCGATTGGGGAGTAGATAACCAAGCCGTACCTATAAAAGTCGCCGAAGCTATGGCTAAATATGCGTCTGAAAATCCAGTTGACTTTATCGTAACCTCTGGTGATAATTTCTATCCAGATGGTGTTAATTCTGAAGATGATTTTCAATTTGACTATAAGTGGAGGGATGTGTATAATCAGCAATCTATTAAAGATCTAACTTGGTACATTACTGTTGGTAACCATGACTACGGTAATTCTGGATCAGGAGTGGAGCATAATCAAGTTACGTTTGGTAATACTGAACCAAGATGGAACTTTCCTCAACTGTATTATTCTTTTACAAAATCTCTTGGAAACGACAAAACTGTTAAGTTTATCATGGTAGACTCTCAAGGATTCAGAAGGAAGCAGAATAACTACTTGCGTCAAAGAGCCTTTGTTCAAGAAGAAATAAGGAACCCAGCCGATTGGACCATAGTCATCTTTCATCACCCATTCTACAATGTCGGTGGCCATACCGGATCTGAAACAATGCTTAGAGAAGTACTTATTCCAATTATAAATGATGGTGGTAGAGTAGATATGGTCATCGCTGGTCACGATCACAACTTGCAACATATGTCCCATAGAAATGGAACAAATACTCAGTTTTATGTTAGTGGTGGTGGCGGAGCAAGACTTTATGCTTTGAATGAAGAAAAGGTTGAAGTTTTGAGACGAAGAGGAGTAGATTTGGAATACTTTAAAAGTTCCCACGGTTTTAGCGCAATTCATATATGCGATGATGAGGCTACAGTAAAATTTATAGATGACGATGGCGAAGAGATATATTCAAATATACAACAACCAAGAAAATATAAATAAAGAAGGAAATAACTAATGAATATTGAAATATGTTATGCTTCATTATGATTATTAGTACAATTTTTAGTTAGAAAATAAAAAGGCTGGCTTATTTCCCTTCTTTTCAACACATTTTGATTTAAAAAGCATAATCCTTTGAATAATTTTTAAATTTAGTATATTTACCCTTAAAGGTAATAAACTATTAATATTAAGTCATTAGAATTCTTTTTTTTTAATTACATTTATAGTTTTTAGATTCGTTTTTAACTTTATTTTAAATGTCTATAATACTCTCTTTAGTTATTAATATAAGTTGAAACTGATAATGTCAAAATGTAGTGTATAATGCTATTTAAAGCTTTTTTGTTATTGACGATAAAGTCGAATTGGTAAATTTAGAAAACTTCTGCTTTATTCACTAAGTTTCTCGTTTTCTAATTTCTATTCGTAAAAACCTAATATATGAAAATAAAATACATTTCATTTATAAGCTAGTGCCCTCTTTATCCTAATGCCGCAATTAACAACGTTTCACGATATACAGTATGATGCTTTTAGCTTACCCTTTAAAGAGTAGTAGCCACATTCTAAATAGAAAGAATTAGGTTGGAAAATAGAAAAGAGATTATTCAGATAAAAATAGTTTAAATTAACTAGTTGAGTATATTCTATCTATGAAACAAAAGGAACTATTAAAACATTAGGATAGGTAGCAAGTTATTTTTTTCTATAACACCCTCTACTAGACTATTGTAAAATATACAGTATATATTTAGATCCCAAAAAAATTGTGGCCACAATAAAATTCTGTGCAGAATTGTTCAGATAAACATTTTTTTGATAATTATGTATTTCCATTTGAAAACATAGGCATATCTGAATATGCACAAAAGATATCTGTAAGTCCTAGATTTGTTTCAATTATTTATTACAGATTTTTTTGTACACTGACACTTTTGAAATATTAAAAATTTGTTCATATTAAAAACTTTTAGTCTTGAATAAGGATATACTTGATACAGTTACTGTTGTGGAAAATAAAATGATAGGAATTTCATATTTCAGTACGTAACTTGAAAAATTTAAAGAGATACATTCTTATTAAAAGTTAATTTATTCTAGATTTAAATATCTTACTCTATTTTTTCTAAAAGCTAATGAGTTTCCAATTAATTATTTTTAGAATTTCACCCTAAATTAATAAAAGTAGAATTTTAGCTTTTTTCCACTAATCTAAATAAAAGGAAATTCTTAGAATTTCCGGAAACCATTAATGTTTGCTGTACAAACATGAACAAATTATTAATAATTTGCAGCATTGTAACATTCTGAAAATATGTAACCCACTTTCTTTAGTGTGATTCCATATGAATTTATTTCTAGAGGCTAATTTTCAATTTTTGTTTTATTACTTTATCGACTTTGTGTCTGAATTATGTATCTGCGCAATTATCGCCTTATGATAACAGTGCAATGCTAATTGATCATTTATATTGAACAGTAAAATTAAAACTACATATGGATAATCAGATTGAGAGCCGCATCTACAATTGTTATAGAAGCTACTGGCCCTCAATGTTACCGTGCATTACGCATAAACAAAATCATATTCTTCATAGAACTGCTAACATTTCTTTTAGTTCATCGACAAGTAGAGAAAGGTGAGCTTTTATGACCTTCGATAATCAATGACGGAGCTGTGGAAACCATCAAATAAGAAAAAACTAAAAATGTAATACATAACATGGAGTAAAAAATATGATGACCTAAAAATTTTAAATCATAAGAAACTAACAAATTCATAGAATGATTTAGATATCAAATGCTAAGCATTTTTTAAGAATATAAAGAAAAGCTTGTCTGAAATAATTAGTGGGTGAATTAGAGACTGAACACAAAAATCTTTATCTCCCTATTACTTTTAAAGAAAAACTTTAAGCAATGAAAAATTTTTCAGAGAATAATAATATTTAAAGACGCAATGGTCAAAAGAAAATTAATAATTGATTAAGAAACATGATAGAAATATAGCATACGTTGATCGAAATTATGTTAAAGTTTAAGCATAAGTTTGTTTATAATGCTTGATTGAGCAAATATACAAAATAGAACAAACTTTTTATATTCACTCCTCGGATTTACATTCAGGAAGTTACTGATAATTGTATTTGTAATCACTTCCCCAGAAGATTGTGACGTATTATTTACCTATGCGAACTAATTAATTAACTCCTATGTATATTTAGTAATATTTTTAAATGTGTAAATTGACATTTTACTATAACATGTATATAAATTTAGGAATATAAATAGTTGTTTTATACAAGAAAACTTATTATTTTTATTACAAAAACACATGTAGCTACAAGACCTGGTAAAAGATGTAAAAGTTACCAATGTAATAATTATTAGATGCTTTACATTTAAAAAGTAAGAAATATTTATTCATCTTTTTATTTTTGATATAAAAAAGAAATATTGAAGAAATGTTTTTTGCAAAATGTTAAAAAGAACGTATAAATTATTTTATTGTCCAGAAATTATGATAAATTATTTAAAAAAGTCTTCTAAAATTATTTATAAGTATGATCTATGCTTTGTAAAAGTTTATAGAGATCGTAATTGTCTTATTTAACAATTGAATTCATTTTCCTATTTAAATAAAGAAGAATAGGAGGAAGAGAGTGGGAAGGGGAAAGTCATCTGAAACCAGACAAATGTGTATCTTATAAAGACATTAATCAAAGATCTTGTGAAAAAAGAACTAAAAAAAATTACGTATATTGAAAAATATTTTTTATTAGGATTAATTTTTCTTTCGTTCAATAAATAACACTACGAGAGAAATGAAAAAAATAAATAGCTTGCTTTTGTGAATATATTTTGTAATATATATATTGCTTTTCATTAGAAAAAATTAGAAATATTTCGAATATATGATTATTTTTTTTTTAATGCTGCTAATTTGCACTAATAAGAAGAATTCCGTTTATAGAACTCCCAGTCAAAGGTAATATGTATTTCAACATACATTTTACTACTCGTGCAATGATGGTGCCCTCTGTCTTAGGAAATAATTAGGTCATGAATTGACAGAATTTTCTTAGAAGCTTAAATATTTTCAAAAGATATGCATGCGTCATTTTGATATCGAAAACTTATTTAACCTACAAGTTCAGTTGACCTAATTACAATATATATATATAAACGCATAAAAGAATAATTTTTCATAGAAATGAAAATAATAAGAGAATTGGATTTATGCAAAGGATGTATTTAAATATAAAACAAATATAAATTTTCTTCAGAGCATAAAATAATTAATAAAGAAAAATGATGAAAATTTTATTTATTCAAAACCTATATCTGCTATTGAAATTCATCATTGCATAAAACATTAAATCATATCAAAAGTTGACATTTTTTTATTTATAGTTTCTCCGAGAGTTAAAAAGTTTTTTTTAGGTGAAAGATGCCATTGTAATAGATTGATTATGTATATATATATATATAATTGTGGATTTTCCGAGTAGAAAATAAAAATTAAATCAACATTACTAATAGAGGAAAACAAGAAAAACACAAATATACAATTAAAATATAATTTAACATAGTTTATAATATTTTTTATATACATAATAAAATTGATTTATAGAACTTCAACTATGATTCTTTGTACGGTACCAATTAAATTTTAGCAAATGTAAGTAATATTTTGAATTTGTTAATAAAAGAATCATTAAATTTTTAGTATGCTTTTATCGTATTTAATTTAAATAAAACTTACTTTATACTGTATAACACTTTTTACTTGATAAGTCTCCTTCGCCTCCTATTCATATTATCAATGTATTTCTTTTGTTTCATTCTTGAAACATTTTCCTATTGCTGTGCTTGAGAAGAGAAATTTAACTTTTCACTTTTTATTGACAAAGTTCTAATTATGGTAATTCTTTTTATGCTCTACTTGCTTTTAGTTAAATGATAATAGTTTTTGTAATACATACGTTTCTTTATATATATATTCTTCCACTGATAACAATTTAAAAATATACAAAAGATGACCGGTCACTCGATAGTTTAGACATACTTACTGGCATCAAAATATACTGGTGGAGCTCCTACTCCGTAACTTCTTCTGTGGGATATTATTTCAATTTCATTGTTGCTCTCAACTTCAAGTTTAAAACTGTACAATCCATTCCCATAAAAGCTGACATAATAACCAGAATAGAATCCATCATCTTCTTTGTGAGCCAAAGTTTTACCTACATCATTACCCATAGGTCCAAATAAAGACTCCGATTTAGTTTGATTCATGAAATATTTTTCTGTTAGATACATATATTCACCAGTTGATTCGCACGGTCCTCCCTATTTTTAACGATTACTTACACATAAATTTTAGAAGATTTACTCCTATTAAAATATTTACATACCATCATTAGAGTATAAGGATTATCACCTCATTCTTTAGTCGTATTACCAACGAAAATGTAACCACTATCATAAGTTTCTGATGTCCCGATAGTTGAAATTGCATTTCTCCATGAATTAGATATTAAGATCGTATTATTTTTAAACAAGGATCTATTATTTGAAAATGTAAAAAGTTCAAGCGACGCCTCTGTAAAATATGCCTAAGAGAAGCAAACGGCTCTTAAAAAAATTGAGGAATGGCTAAAAAGTAAAACTATATGAATTCTCTTTATAACTTCAAGATTTTCTTCAAGAGTAGGATTCATAGCGATTAACAAATTCTTATACCCGTTATTAATAAGTCTAAGTCTGTTAATATTTTGCTTGTCAGCTTTTTCATCTTTCCTGCTAAAGTAGAAAAAGTAAGAGCAATTTGCTCAATAAATAGTTTTTTGAATTCTGATTTTAAACAAAAGACATTTTAAATATTCTAATTTATTTGAAAGGTTAGACTACACTTTACCTAATGAAGGTCAATAGCTTGAATAGTTTATTCATGGACCAATGTAAGTGACCAAATATAATTAAGTGATTCATATTTATATTGAATTACATTCTAAATTAAGATTAATATTAGAGCTCTAGATTAGGGGTCAAATTCAAGTCAAAGTAATGAAACTAAAATTACTATTTCACTCAAAAAAAATAATTGCTTCGTGTTAATTAAAGCATATTTTCATTTTGACTGTAAAAAGCAGATTGGCCATTGGTAATAAATAAATAAATATTGTACTTGTATATTATATTTTAAAGGTTTTTGAGTTGTTAAGCTCGTCAGATATTTCGATAACAACAACAAACAAGACAGAAAGCAAGATGAAAAAACTCTTTAAAATATATTATAAAAATGCTATAATTAGAAATATATTGTACTGTATAGAGTAAATGGAAAAAAGAAATAAATATCTTTTATTATTTTATAGATAAATTTTCAAATATTAGTATGAAAATATTATATTGTATTATTTATACCATAATATAAATATTATTGTGTCATTATTTAACATAGGGATTAAATCTGTTATAATATTCATGTAACGTATTTCTAATACTGAAGATAAAGTTAACTTTTGACATAAAAAAGAAGAATATTGCCTTCATAAATACAACATTCTAATCCTTGTGCAGTATTTATGCCTTCTATTTGAAACAAAAAATGATAAAATATGATATAAGAAAAACTGATCAATACAATTTGTGGGATGATTTTGCAATTATTGATGAAATTATCAACACAATTTTAACTGTCAAACTCTTAGTATTTTGTCAATGATTTCAATATTGAAATCAATAACTCCCCTCCCACATCATCCACCCCCTCCCGTTTGTCTATGTCTTCTCTTTCTATTTAAACCAATAATACCCTATTCAAACAAAATGTATTTTCATGTCAGCTAATTTTCAAGGTTAACTTCTTAAAGTATCGCTTCCTTCTAGCTAAATATTGTCGTCCATTATATGGTATTTATTCACTATGCATATTTCTTCACAATTTCTGCTCTGTCCCTCTATAGCCTTAAAAAAATTGTGCAACCTTTTTCGCTAACACTGTTGACGATTCCTATATGTAAATTTTAGACAAAGTTATATATAGCAAAAAACTCCCCTGTTCACTTGTGTTCTCTGATATACTATAACCACGGAAAATTAATAAAGATATTGGTTTTTCTTTATAAACATAAAAATATAGCTTTACTGAAGAAATTACCATAAAAAATATCAATAAAATATTTTTGTATGACGTAAAAAATTGCCACATTGCACTTTCATTATCTTTTATAATCGGCCTTAAAAGAAAGTATAAAAGTTTCGTAATTAATTTTTATTGATCAGAGTGAGACTTATTGTCTTCAGAAATAGAGATATACATTTCAACAATGAATACAACTATCTAGTATAAGTTCTAATTTAGTAACCTAACTTTCAATAAAAACTAATTTTGCGTTTTGAAACTAAGATTAAAAGGTAGGGAAAATGTTAATGGGAAGAAATATTTGTCTACCTTTTTTTAACCTACTACTGTTGTTAATGATATTGAGTTTAAATTTTAATATCTTATGAATGATAACAAATATTTTCTTAATACCTTATTAGTTTGTTCTTTACCACGGATATTGTTTTACAGCTTATTACCCTAATTTCACTGTTTAGAGGCCTTTATTTTTGGATTGTAACTAAACGAAATATCCGTTTTTATTGAATTCTGTTATTCAGCATAGGTTTTGAAACATATTTGAATGCTTTCCATCATGGGTTGTTGATTGCTATTGTATAATTTGAAGAAGGTGAAGAAATCAGTGTGAAAATAAGGTAAAATTAATCACTTGTCACCTAGAAAGTAGGTAAAAAGTACAGTTTTACATTTATTATTTTTTTAGAAATATTTGACTAAGGTATTTTTTATTTCTCGGAAATATCAAATAATATCTGTATTTGCAATCAAGCTATTGCAAGATTACTTTGAAGGAGTGAAGGTGGCAATCATCATCGCTCTGAAAGTAACTAATGATATTCTGTAAATAAAATTTCTTAACTATTTGTATGAACACTCACTATTTCTTGATATGGCATTTCTATCTTAAAGAAAAACCAGACAATAGTAAGTAAAAATGAGTAAAAAATACATTCATTCTGTTATCTCAAAAAGAATTAGAAAGTCTCAGCTTTTGCACAGGTGGAAAAGTTTACACTTTTCCCACATGAGAAGGTTTTTCCTGGTTGGATTCTTTGCAAAGATACTTGAAGTTTTTATACAGAAGATCACTTGGCACACTTTTTGTTAGAAACTAATACTTGTCTATTAACTCTAAAGCAAGAAATTACAGCTCAGAAAAAAGAATATTTATTCTTCAGGTCATATACACAATTCATACTTTTTAACGAGGCTACGTCAAGAAGATTTGTAGTTCACTTTTTGAAGCCTATTTTGTGAAACAAGAACTGTGCAACCATTCGATGGAGAAGATAAAATTATTAATAATAAAACACTTATTTCAACTTATACTTCGTCTAAAGCTTCTGCAAAATTATATTTTATTTGTATATATTTAAAAGTCAATAACTGTAGCTAGGAACACATCCAATGATATTCTGTAGCAAACTACGTTGAAAAGGATAATACGTTTATGATATACGTCGATGAAACATTTTCATTCAATTGCATTGATTTTCCCTAAGAATATAGTAATTTCTTAAGGGCCTCAAATTGTGTTAGTATTATATTGTGTAATTTTACAAAAATTCCCTACCCGACGATAAGTGTTCAATCGGTTCTTCGGAGGGGCTGGTACCTATCTGAAGTGTATACTTTGACAAACAATACAGGAATCAGGAGAACATTCCAGTTTCATGATCGTGAACCGTTCTCGGTAATTATTATTTAAAGTATTGTCTTATTTTAAGGCAATTTTTTAAATTAATTTACCTATAAATTACAAAGCTCATGGCTACCTTGCTAAGAATATTAGCGAAAACTACAGAGAAGCTGCACATATTCTGACCAGTAGATTACGTCTACCAGCTGAGTATGTAAGTGATAGTTTAAAATCGAAATATATTAATATTACTTTAAGAGCAACTAGTTACAGAATAGGATTGAATATAATTTATTTAGTACAAACTACATACGAACAATGAAATTTAGGCTGTAATAAGCTTAACAGCCTTGTTCATTAAATAGAAGAAATTTGCAACTAAATATGGAGATAATATTGTAAATAATTCAAGTATCACTACAAGTCAGTCTTGATAGAGCTAAACGAGAAGACAAAATTTAGGTTTTAAAGTTTCGTAATTCTTCTTTTGTTCGCAATAAGAAACTAATTAACATATTATTACACTGAGCAGGAATGTACGTGATAATTTTTAGTATTTTTAATAATTAATATCTGTTTAGAGATTAATGTCCGTATTGAATTTTACTTGAATTTTAATCAATTTCTAAATATGCTTTTTTTTCGAATCAGAAAAAGAATTATTATTTAAGCTTTAATTTAAATACTAAAAATAATTTATTTAATAATTAATAAACTTTAACATCTTTATTTTCTCCCAAATCACCATCGAGGAATTAACAAAAGAAAAAGGATAAAAACTATTGAAAGTATACGGTATTTAGTTCATTAGCAGTCTAGGTACATTATAAGAATAAGCTATTAAACCAATCTATGACTTTAGAATGTAGAATTATATCATTGATGTTAAAGCAACTTGCAATAGGTAAAAGAGCGTTCTACTTCTTCTCCATTATCCAACTTTCCTAATTTTCTTAAGTTAATGCCATTCTGACTTTTCAGCATATAAGAGAAATTTATAGTTTATATTAAATATAAAAATTATTTCTATAAATAAAACGTAGTTATCAAAATATATGTAATTATTGTTTACTTGGAATCCTTTTACCTAGAAATATTCTCTCTTCCTTTCTCTCATTTTATCCAACTTGAAATAATTATGGTTAGTCTGGAAAATCACATAAAGAGAAGAGGGGTGATTACCGTAAATGTCTTTAATCACATGCTGTCTGTGCAAATATAATTTTATATCTAATACATAAGTTTTTTAACACAAAAAACAGAAAAAGCATGTCCTCAAACAACACATTGTGGGTTAATTAAAGGATCAATTCGTTATCTTATTTCAAAGAAATTTATAAAAAATATAGACTATAGTGAAAGATTATAGAAAGAATAAATTCGTGATTAAAGATGGTTTTAAGCACCGTGAAGTTGCAACTTGTTTCTCTTTTCAAACATCACTTAGTGGAGAAAGTGCTATTTTTGCGGAAGAAGGTAATACAATAGATATCCTCGGTGCTCTTTCAATTTCTTAGAATCTATGCTCAATTAAAAATAAAACGATTTTCTCAGAACTTCGTAAGATTTCGTTGCATACAGACGCCATCTATAAACTTGTTCCATATTAAAATGGATGTTTTTCTATTGAAAGTGAAAATCGAGCAGATCTGCTGAGGCATCTCAATAGTCAGATTGGATCTAGTTTAGGGCAAACGAAAGAATCCGCTCCAACTTGTCTTTAAGAGAAGTGGAAATGGATCATAGAGTATTAAGTTTATCGTAAGCATAAGAATAATCAATCCAAGGTTTCATCTTATGGTAGGATCATACGGTCAAGGCTTACCACTCTGGAGATTCTAAGAAATAGCACGTTTTAAATATTACATTATTCTAATTATATTAGCTTAGGCCTGAATAGTAATATAAATAATTCATTCTTTACTCAAACATTCCCTTTAAAAATTGGTCATAATAAGAGGATCACAACCCTTTAAATTTCTATGAACAAAGGCACAAGCAAAATTTTCTGCCATGAAACCCGAACAGAAAGTGTTGGTATCTATAAACAGTAGAGACTACTGACTTCGCGAAAGATAATGTTAAAGGTATTATCAAGGTTGCTACATTGCTATGGGATCTCTCATAAACGTATGGCAACAATATTATTTATTGTATAAATACTACAATATTTAATTTAGAAACTTTCACTTATAAGCAAGTTGAAAAAGGAAAAGAAAAGCATAATGTTAACTAAAGACTGTAAGATTATAAATAGAACAAATAAGAACTCTTTGGAATGAAATGGAATGAAATGGAAATGTTTACTTCGGACTCTGCCTCTTTAGCAATCAAACAATTAAAGTCTGCGGGGGCATTTCTCTCATTTGTTAAGACTACATCGAACAAAGTAAATGAAGAAAAATAAATATACATTGTAATTAAACTAAAGATGCTTTTCAATTATGTGTAGGATATGTTAAAGACTCTTAAGCAATATACTAATACGTAGTATTAATCCAGCTTCAGTTCTAAAATTATAAATTACACTATGGAGGAAAAAACCCTTGCAAACAAGTTATAAGTGTGTATACATATATATATATATACTATATATACTATATATACATGCATACATATACATGTATATATATATTTATAGAGAGAGAGAGGGGGGGGGGGAGAAAAGACAGGAAAGAGAGAAGGAAATTATCAATGTAAAGACTGAACAAGTTACTAATAAAATGCTATAATCGCAGTATTATAAAATGCATATCCAATGATAATCTTTATTCTTAAGAGTTTTGACTATTCTTTCATCATTTTTTCATAACTTCAACGAATTCTGTTGAAAGATAACTTTTTCTTTGTAAAATGTAAAATTTGAAAAATATCAAAAAGAAATACAAAAAATCAGCTACTAATAAATACTTTAAATTCTAAGTCTGATATAGAATATATGAAAAGTGATTGATTAAATAATTTCCATTCTATATATTTATAGATACACATTATGTTGATGTCAATTTAGTACTCTTACTTTACCTTGATAATTTATTCTACCATCTTTGTCTTTATCTGCTTCTTTCAACATGGCGTCGACAATAGTGTCACTGTTGTTTTCTCCAATTTGAGCTAACCCTTGCTTAAGTTCCTCCTATATGTAGTTATACAAAAAATTTTGTTTATTGATATATGTTCAAATACTAAAATTTTACTCTTGAAATAAAACCATCTTTATTCAAATCGAAAGCTTGAAATGCGTTAAAAAGCGTATCAGATCTAGGCCTCCTAACATGTTGCATCATATGGATAAATTCATCTTCTTCCAAATCGTTTCCTAATTTATTTGCAGAGTAAATATAGATTTTTATTACTTTATCCATAACGTAGTAATACAATACAATATCAAAGTTAATTAACTATTTTAATTACCTGACTTTCCAACGGTTGAAATTAAAAAATCAATATTCTCTTCATTAGCTTCATATCCCATTTTGCTCATCATCACCCTGATATCAGATTTATTTAATTTTCCATCCCCATTTTCATCCAACATACTAAAGGCTGTTCTTAATTCTATAGCACAGAAATAAGTCTAGTTATTTTTTATAATTAATAATATTACTGGAAATATTTTACCTTGAATATCCTGCTCATTTAAAGGCCTTGGATGATTTTCTGACTAATTAATGACATTATAAATGTTAATTATTATGTGAATGTACTGGTAAAGATTAAAATTAATAAGTATTATACATACAGTCATAGTCTGTTTAAATTCTGCCATGTTTTCTTGGAGGTGTTTTATCAAGCAAATGCAGTCGCTATTCGACTAAGTTATAATATATCTGATAACAATTTTATACAAATATTAAAGAGGATATTACTATCTTATTTAAAAAGTTTTGTTCTATGAACTCTATTTTATCTAACGTGAATTTTAAAATAAAACAATATTATAAAAGTTGGTGCCATCTATTGGTCCAATTTTCATAACTTTGTGACTATAAACGGTTTTATATTACAAGTAGGATATTTATAAACAGGTACTTTCCTATAATAAAAAGCGAGTAGTTCTGAAAGAGTTTAAATAAGTTTACCATCCTTAAAAGTCTTTTAGATTTATCGATGCTTCCATTATTACGCAATATCTTCTTTTAATTTTGTATTTGGGTTATGAATAATGTGTATTTTAGAGTTAGTAGCCTTTCTAAGTGAGCTTTAAACAGGATATCAGCAAATAGAATTCTATTGAAGGGAAAAATATTGTTTTGTTGTCTTAAAAAAGAAGAGTAATTAGGAAACGTATCTCTCCTTTGCTTCTTGCTTACTTTTTCATAATGTATTCCAGGTATTCGTACTCAATCGATGACAAAAAGATCAACTATATTTCTTCATCTAAATAAAATAAGTAGGTTTTACTTTTATATCACGATACGACTAGGCAAGTGGTAAACCAATATGGGAATTTTTTATTTTCTCTATGCTATTCTCAAACGCAGAATTTCTAAAATCTTGCTAATGCTTATATGTCCCATATATCCCGTAGCTATTTAATAAATAATTCACATTTGTAAATGAACTATTATTTGTAGAAAAATTAGAAAAAATATTAATAAAACAAATTGTTTTAAAGCAGCTGAAGTAAAATACACACTACACAGGCATATACAAACGCAAGCAACATACATTCATTAATACAGACTAAAGCCTGACTTGGAAAATTTTAAAAAAGTATACGATTGTAAAATGAGAGAAACAAGTAACTGTAAGTTAAATATGTGCAGTCATATAAGAATATAACAGGAAAAAAGACAGATATGGTCCAAATATTCTTTCTATAACTTCCATGAAAAAATCTTTTTTTATCTCCTTTGTACTAGTTATTAATTTTGTATTACTATTCGGCTTGAACATATGCAGAGAATTGATTCCTAAGAATTGGCCTTAACCTAAATCTTTTTACGTCAGTCTACTGTTATTAGATTTTCAATAGATATAGTATTGAATACCCCAATTGACTACTTTTCAGATAATTATTATAGCTAGCATTGTCAAAAATATATTACGATAAATTATCCTAGTTTTTTATTTGTATATTTATCCATATATTCTTTTTGTGAATCCTAAATATACACATATATTCACCTATGTATTTTTTTTCACATATTAATATTTAGTAAATTCTTCGAGTAGAGTAATTTCAAATAGTATTCAAGTTTAAGTATATTATTCATTTAAACTTTGTATTTTCATTTTACTATATATTTAGATTCGCTTGATAAAAGATTCTGATGAAACGATAATAATATAACTATATATTCATAGATATTCGTTTTTAATCGATAATTTTCGTGAAACATCTCTTTATTCTTTAAAAACATCATTAGTATTAATTAATCACGAGGAATTTACTATTCATTAGCTTAATTATATATAAGCTTTCATCTAATATTGTCAGAATTACTTATAACCTTTTGTTCTTCTCTAATCCCTTATAAACATATTCATAAAATATTTGAAGTGTATACTCTTTTATTATGTTCGATATATTTTACCTTATAGTTTTTTATACTCCAATATTATTAATTTATAATTACACGGTAATCGAAAGTTGCTGAATAATATATTTTATAAGTATTTATAAATAAAACTTCCATATCTTTTTATTTTTTCTAAATTTTATTATGAAACGATTTCTAAAACTCTAAAAAAGCACTCAAGTAAATATTACATTATGTTCTCTTATTAAAAATTACAAATAATGTAAAAATATAGTACCAACTTTTCGTTTATATCTTATATATTTTGATAAAATTCATCAGAATTAAATTAATTATAGAAATATACTTCATAAGAGGAAGATAAATATATAAACAATCCTGTTAAATATACTATATACTGTGCCTCTAAATAACCTTTTAGATGTAGAGTTCAAGTTCAAATAAGTTTTATTCCTTTCCTTCTATAGATATAGCCAAAAAGACAGTATGTATTAATATATAAATTGTATATGTTGTATATGAGTTTTAACAACTTCAAATTTAAATTAGTTTTTATTTTTTTTTCAAAGAAAATACTTTTCTATATAAATATTCGTTAGAAAGATGACACAAAAATGGCAGCAAGGTTGGATACTACATAGTTTTAAATATATATATTGATACCTATTTCTTAATACTGTATACTACCCAATGGATGCTCTCTCTCTCTCTTAGTATATATACTGTATATTTATATATATATATATATATATATATACTGTATATATATATATATATTTGATTAATTTTACAAATGTAACACTTCAGTAAAATAATTAACTTTACCGAAAAGCTTTCCTTTACAGAAAGAGACAGTAACAATGTGTAAAGATGTATAAAGTTTAATAATAAATGATTCCGCTCACCTATACTAAATGAAAACACTGTGTTTCAATATTTTATCAAAGATAGCTTTTCTAAAAATCTCTTGTTCTTTTTGTGAATTCATCAATCAATTTCATTTTCTTCTGAGAAAGTCTACTTATTAACCTTTTTTCCTTCCTCCTCCTCGCCCGCTCTCCTATGCCTAGAGTTTGTGTAAAATAGAGTTTGTATAAGATTTTATCCAAAAATTTCCTGCATATTTCTCTTTTTGATAACAAATTTCAACATAAATGATCTAAAAAATAGCCAATCAGAAAATTTAGATATGTGTATAATTTTTAATCTGTTATAGGAGACTATTCAATTTATTACGAGTATAATATTCTCCTTCTTGACTAAATTAATATTGCTTTTATCAGAACTTAATATTACAGTCTTGACAAAAAAATCTAAAAAAAAGTTCAAAAGGCTACAAGAGTCGATGTCCCTTTTCTAGAATACTATATTGTATAAGATATTTCATCAAACGTTGCTCTCTCAACCAAGAATTTCCAGGAGAAACGATTTTCGGACACCATTGATTACTGTGTCATTAAACGAGAGCATTATTTTCTTAAAATTTGCTTAAAAGATGATTTTACAGTACAGAATTTGTTGATCATTTTAAATTGAAAATAATCGATTTATCCTTTTCTTTCTTGCTGGATTTCAATTTTTGTACATATTTTTGTACTAAAGAGGACATATCAAACTGTAAAGTAGAAAAGAATCAAAACAAAAATATTGATAAAATGAAGCTAATACGAATACTGTGGATAATTAATTATTCGTATCATTTTTTTGGCCTAGAAATTCTACACAAGATGCATTCTTTTGCTATTTAAAATGGATTTTATATATTATAAAATTGATACTTTCTTCCTGCACTTGCATTTCTTTCTTCAAACAACATGGAAAATATTCTTTTCTATATAAACGAATAAGAAAAAAGTTAATTAAATCCAGGCAAGTTTTAAGTTCTCCGCTAGGTTTTCGGCGTCGAGTAAAAAAACAAATTTCCACCTCGGCCAATCGATAGACGATGTCTAAAATATAGTACAGGGCTAGATTTCTCTAGAAACGCTTATTATTGCATACGTAAAAATATATCTACATATTCATTAATAATTGGTTTTTACAGTTAAAAATTAGGCAAATATAATTATCTATTTACTAATGAATTTTTAAGGATTGTTGTACGATAATTGTATTTGGCATATCCTTTAACTAATTATTTTTCATTTTTTATTCGCACAGCTTCTTGACCGAAAAATCTAGCGAAAACACTAGCATAAATTTTAATATGAGTTATTAATACATTCTACGGATTATGTATATTAAAAAAGCAAAGTCCATAAACAAGAACAACACGAATAATTCATTGGCCGTTCTCCCCGAGAGAATATTTTTCCAGTTCACATAATTTTCTTCCGCAGCAAAAGGACCTCTCTTTGAATAATTTCTTCTATTATAATTCCAACGTACTAGATATGTATGTATTTTAAATAGGAATCGTTATTATCTTTTACTATAAGAATATCATATGTGCTTACGAGTTGTATTATATTTGCATTTAAAAGAAATTTAGTTAGGAATTGTGAAACATGGCTGCGCTTTGTTGATAAACGATCAATATCCCTAAAAAAGGGCTATTTATTATTCGCAACTGTTGCCTTTTTTTAATATACGGCTCCCTTATTTATTATTGTAGCCACCTACCGGCCATTTATATTTTAATAAATTACTCAATAAACAGAATACTATTTAACAGGTTATACCGCGTTAAAGCAGCGTTCGTTTACTGTAGACTAGATGTCGCTGACGGTTTCACAGAGCAGTGTAACTCTTTTAACAACTTCTTCTTAAAAACAGACGAGGAACGGGAGACCTATTAAATTTCTCGGAATTCTCGGCCTAACCTCTTCGCGGGAATCCTATATAAGTAAACACTGAAAGAAACACAGTTGTATGCATAACTAGACATGACTCTGACGTTATCCGTTGAAATGAAAGAAGAAGAGAGTCCTCCGGACTATGATCAATTACAGCCGCCGAGTTCGAATTACGTGAATACGGAGATATCTAGGACATCTTCTACAATACCTCACCCAATTGTCATCAAATCTCTAAGCGAAGCTTACAAACAATTGATAAACTGTTCGTTCTATTACTCGTTTTTTGATTCGTCAAATGCAAGAGTGTTAGAAAACCAACCAAACGGAACATTTTTAATTAGACCCAGCTCTCATCCTCATTATTTATATACTATTAGTGTTAGTGAAGAAGGAAATGTTATAAACGTTCGCATTAGATTAACTGATGAAGGACTTTTTCGATTAGAAGATGGGGGCCGATCCAGAGCTGCACCTCATTTCCGGACACTTATAGATTTAGTTTGCTATTACATGCATCAACATACAAAAGCATATTATACAGATTCAAATTCCTTCAGGCTCCTCTTCCCATACAGGAAGTATGTTCCTAGTCTCCAGTCCTTAGCCAAGGAAGAAATTATGAGGAATACTCGAAAATCTCAATTTAAAAGTTTACTATTAAAAAACGGTTTAAGTAGTATTTATTCTACATATTAATGTACCGAATTTAAAAAATAATTTATATAAAAATATCTATTAAATCTTTGTAAATATTGTAAATATCCGTGAATAAACACAAAGTGCATTTAAAGCACAATAAACTAACTTTTTCATTTATGTAGTTGTTGTGCTTTCTTGTGTTTAAAGATAATACAGGGAATATTTTCTAGTTAACATAACGTCTTTCACAGAAAACCAACAGGCCAAAGACCTGTTTTTACGTATAAAATCCTCTTTCAAAAGTGCTTTTAACCAGGCTATTTTGGTCGAACTATACCTACTAAAAATAATATAGTCTTTTAAATTTATACTCTATGCTCTAATTGTGCATGTATTCTTATACATAACTATTCAATTACTATAATTTTTATTTTCTACTTATATATATATATACAGTATATAAACAATATAGTAGATTGGGTTATATTAAATAATTGAGTTATAGATATAACAACTAAATATATTCATAGATAATAAAGCGTCAAATAACCTACTGAGCTTTTTGAATGTAACGCTTCTTTGCAATATTAATGGTATCCTACGCAAAGATAAAACTCAATAAAGAAAAAACATTTAGCGTTCCAAGAACGAAAAATCGAAGTAAATCTAGTATTTTTACTTAGAAAGAATATATTCTATATATTTATATATATAAATTTATACATTTTACATTTACATATATATTCTGTATATATACTGTATATTTAGAGAGAGAGAATAAATTAATATATACCTATTTCTATACCATCCGACTTTGTAAGATATAATTTTATTTAATTACTGCTATTTTGAGTTTTTCTTCCCTCTCTTTTTTCTGATTGCATAATGAAAATATTGAAACTTAGACCCAGCCTAAAACGTTCACTTTATCTTTGTGAAAGCTGATCTAAATTTTAGACACTATTTGAAAATTGTTAAACTCTTTACTATTTTCTTCTGTTTCGTTGTAAATTTTTATATTACAATTAATCAAACCTGAGTAATAACTCTGTAATCGGCCAATAAACGTTATTATTTATTATATATATAGTCCATGTAATACACTACTAAGTGTATTAAAATAGCTACTATTATTGGATTTAGGAATAGAAATTTTGAACAAAAACTATTTATTCTATCCATTATTACGTTTTATTCACTTTTTGAATACGGCTACAATGACAAAATGTTTAATTTTATCCTTATATAAGCATTATAAAAATATATCAAAAGAGTTCAGCTCAAAATTATTTTAAATAAATTTAGAGAAAGTTCCCGAATAAAGAACACCTTACTTAATAAGTTCTTGTCTCCTCTTATCAATATTACTAAAACATTTAACAATTCGCTATAAAAGTCTTAAATCTGGCAAAGAGACAATTATTAACAAGCGTAAAAAAATATTTGAATATCGCCCACAGTATTACTCACAGTACTTAGAATTTTTACGTTAGATAAGAAAAGTTTACATATCTTCTGACATTTTTTTTGTTTCATAGTTAAGTAATTTATTTCACAATAATATTATTAAGATAAAGAGATTTTGTGTTTTTTTACACCTCATATCGATTATCTGATATGTAACCAGTAAACGATTCCAAGAAGTATTTTTTTTATAGATTTCCCAGAAACTAGTTCAGAAACTACTCGAATTTTATTACTGGGTTTGGCTTGTTTGATAAATGATGACTTCCTCATAAATGCTTTCTTTTCATATCTATTCAAAATATTTTTCTTACAGTTATGCCAACCGGAAGTAAGGACTATTATGTATTAAATAAGTAGGTTTTATTTAGTATTAAAATTATATTACTTCTTTGTAAAGTATAAATTACATTTTGCTATTCATTTTAACATACTATGATTAAATTCAAATTGTCCAAGCAAATATAAAGTGAAAATGACGGATGTCAATTCTCATGTAATACAGAAATGTTTGTAAAGGTGTCCGACAGATGGCTAAAGCTTGTTTTCTTCAATTATAATAATTATATTGATTAGAGATATTTCCGTAGTTCTGATGTTTCGAATCAAATTGAACTTGAAGATGATTTTCTAAAGATTCCTGTAATTGATAATCTTCTAAATTTTCTTTATGTTCCAACAAAGCTAATCTTAAATATTCGGAACACATGTTCCACAACGTTAGTATTTCGCCTGTAAGCAGTTTTTGGAAAATAAAGCTTCTAAAGACCTTTGATAAATGTACTACTGACCGAAAAATTTTGCGTTATTCTCTGTAATAGTTTTTAATAGTCTTATACCTATCCAATTCCATTCCAATGCCAATTGCTTACCCAATTCTAATTGATCCGTATGGTGAATTATCATGACATTCTGTACCAGAATAGCATCAACACAATCTATAAATCCTTGAATAGTTGCCGTTTTGCGAATTGTATCAGCAAATTCATCTAGAACTGTTCAAAGTATAGCAATTGTTTAGAAATAAAAAACACCAAGGAAGGAAACACTCTATAAAAATTACAGTTTCCAACGATTATTAAATGTATAAATTGTGTGTAATTTCAATTTGTTAAGTTTCTTGATATACAAATAATTGTAAAAAAAGAATAGAATAGTAAATATTCCATTGCTATTTATTATTAAGAAATGGAGTCCCTTTTTATAAATCCTATTTAAGAAATCAATCAATTATGATTTCAATTTTTATCTATTACTAAAAAAAGGAACTGGTAAGTTGAACATTTAACTATTTATCGGTATCTTTATGTATAGACTTTTAAATATTCCGTTAACAAGAAAAAGGTGTGTAGGCGTACTCTGCGCATCACTGAGATTTCCCCCACTATTATCGCCACCTTTCGTCTATTTTTGTAGTTACACAATTAATATTACACAACTTACCTTTAATGCTTAATACTGTATAACTACTCTCTAAAAAGTGATATTCTTTAGTCAAGCAGGAAATAGCGTTCTCCAAATCGTTTAAGACATTCCTTACTTGATCGCCATCGAATAATATGGAACGACTTTTTTGAACGAATGAAGCAAAAACTAAATGTCGATGAACCTTTGAACAAAATCTTCGAGCCAGATTTAGCCTATCGTCTTTTATATCTCCAGTCATAGACCTTTCTATGAATATAGGCCAATTAAATAAAAACGTTTTAACGTAATCGACTAAACTGTCTTTCAATACTGGTAAATCACTAGGTATAAGAATTTCGGATAAAAGTTTGTAAAATAAAACATCGCATTGTAAAACAATACAACGATTTGATTTATCAGTTCGCATTGAAATCGTCTTCCAGAAATAATGAATTTCTTGAAAAATCTTGTCTATATTCTCGTGTTTTGTTAATAAGTTCAATAAACGTTGTTGATGTTGTTGATAGGATGAAAGGAAAGAAGCCGTCTGAAAAATTTTTTGGAAAATTTGATCATAAACATGCTTTTGTATAAAACATAAAGCAAAAAAAAAGAGAAAAATATGAAACAGACAGCCGAAAGGAGTGAAGCTAACGTTTCTACGTCATACTCCTTGTTTCAAACGTCGCTTACAGCATTTTTGTAGTTTCCACTTACCGCAACAGATAGCTGTCGATTGAAACCGAAGCACAGATTGGGCGCGCTGATCCCACTATGATTTTGTAAACTATACTCCTGATTCTAAGAAATTAAGAAGCTAATTAGTTGAATAAGTGTTTTTGCAACATTCGTTAAGGTGTTAATCTGATAAGAAAATGAGTAGTTTGTCAACTAAATTACTTACCTCACTATATACGTGAGTTGGATTCGAAAATCTGTATTATTTTAAGGAATTACAGTTATAAAGCAATCAAAAAATAATAAATACTATTAAACGGTTGATAAGAGAAGTTGTAAATTTTATTCCTTACATATCCATTTCAAAATGTATGAAATATGATAGGAAAAGAAAACTCAAGCCTGGCCTAAACGTCAGAAATCATAATTTTTCTCTTCAAAAGCAAAAACTAAAAAAGAAGCTATGTTACTAAAGAAATGTAAAAAGAAAAAAAAGAAGATTCTCGCTTGACTACAAAATCTTGTACATTTGGCTGGATTCTATCTTAATCTGTACTTAATTTAGACTATGCTACTAATATTAATTATTTTGTTTCTTTACCTCGTAACGCCTTCACACTCTGTTGAATTTGGCCTATAGTGGATGCTGTTTGGCCTAATTGCTAAACCAAAGTAATGATATTTTGAATGTCCCCTTGTTCCAAGTCGTCTTGTTGACAATTCAGGAAATTTCATTCTAACTATTTTACCAAGAGTTGCAGCACAAAATGGAATGACACTCTTCTGTTTACAAAAAAATAAGTAGTGTTTGTAAATCGTTGACCTAGCCAAGCAAGAACCGGTTTGTATTTCGTAATTATTTTCCAGCCTAAATAGGAACAAGGCTTGTTATCACGAATACATTAAATTATTAAGGTCCAATTACCATTGCATTGTAGCCTTCCGAATTCTTTGCTGCTTGCTTTTAATCTGTTTATCATCTGTAAGATTTAAATAATTTCATAAGACTCGAATCGAAATACGAAAATAAAAATTCTCTGTATAATTTTAATTGTTATAAAAGGAAAATCTACCAGCTATACTGAAATTTTGAAGTAGTTGTCAGGCTTGTATCGTTAATAAAAATAATCGTCTTTAAATTTCCTGCTGTCCACTAGGTATATTTTCGTAAGATCAAGATCTTTAACACTTAATATATATATATTATAACTATATACAAATAAATCTTTTCTATGCTGTTCCTACGGTATATTAAGAAATTTATAGAGTAGGATTTGGAGAAATAAAGGTAACTTACTGCATGATAAGCGCTGCATGACTGCAAGAATTTATTTCTGTTATCTCTCTAATCTAGAGGCGCTAATACTTTAGTTAAATAGATTGTAAGCTACACTGATGATTACAACTTTATTAAGTTAAATTTTTAACGGTAACAAAATTTGAAAGATATAGAATTAAAAATTTCATAATTTGTCTTTCTTCTTCAACTTGAGTCAGAATTTATCTATTCAATCAATGGGGGTCTAGGGCTGAGTTCATTCTCTTTATTCAAAGGCTCCATCTGGTGCTGACGTATATCAGAATCTCTAACTGAAGACAATGATCTGGAACAAATCAGTGCACCGGACGAATGCAGGCGACAACACTGAATGAAAGCAGCAATTAACCCTGTAACAAATAATGCACAAGGCCATACTGTAGCATGTATTAAGCTTTGAGTGGACGTCACTTGAGTTAATGCTAATCTGCCTTCAAAAGTTTCTGGTGACCAGTAGCACTCCAAGTTGTTTCCGACTCCGAGATTTGGCGATTTTAACCCATTACATGAAGAGGAAGGTGGGCAAAAGCATTTCTAGTATATGAAATTTAGTATATGAAGTTCAAAGTATTAGTACTTTCACGTTTAAAGTTGTTACCTTATTGTCCGAATTTGCAGCATACCAGTCGAATACAAGTGATGCTGAGGCGAAATTGTTTGGAGAATTTCTGCTTGTAACATTTGCGTTTATTGCAAAACACTTTCCTTCAGATACGGAAACGACTGTACAAAGAGATTGCGATAAGCTACTCGTGATTAGATAAGGTCTGACAAACATAACTCCGAAGACGACAACTAATATAACAGATGTTGCTATCGAAGCAAGAGATGCAATCAAACATAGGACGCTACCCGCCATTTTACCATTCAACTATATGACGCCAGCATCTATAAGACAACATATAGGGGGCGTCTGATTTTGTCGTGTCAACTCGAGCGCATTATTTAGTTTTTGAGTAACCTTTCTTTTTTGTTTCAATTGACATTTTTTAGGTAAGCCACTAGAAAAAAATGAAGAAGATAGTATTTCATTAAAATTTCATAAGCTACATAAAATGAGAAACATATTCCATGAGATGAAAAAGAAAATTATTAAATATTAATATTTTACATATATTTATTAAAAACTCTGTTTCTTCCGCAGTATTAAGAAAAACTCTATGAGTTACTAAAAAGCGATATGTAGATATTACGAATGCAAATAAGAAAATGGGTGATTAATGATACAAGCAACATTGCTAGTTTCTTGTTTAATCTTTAAATCTCTCCCTCCCTTCCCTGTTTGTTCTCTCAACTTCCTCTCCTAACTTTCGATCTAAGTTATACGTTTCGTTTCTACTATAAAGGTTTAGGATAAAGATGATATAGAGAAAATTCAGGAAATATACCTCCAGATTTCAGGAATCGTGTTTTAAGACCATGTCTAGGTAACAAATTCTATTTAAGAGAGTCGTTGGTTAAGCTGTTAAAATAAATGAAATTCTCCCTCTCAATAGAGAACATATAACTAAACGTATTATTTCCTAGCCTTATCCTTCTAAATTATTCTTTCATAGGTAAAATTATTTCATCTGCTTATTAATTTGATAATTATTTCATTTAGTAATTTCTAAATTATTTGCAAAACTGCATTGAAATATTGTTTAACATGAGTTATATACATTGATTTTATCAATATATCATAAAAATTGTCTTATCGCGATACATCTTTACACTGACCTTCTTATAGCACATACTCTTGATCTTTCTATATTCTATGCGATTGTACCTAATCAATTTATCAATACTTTTTTCAAGGGCCACATTGCACCAGCACCATCATACGATTATAAAGGTTAGAATGGTGGTTGTATTGTTGGCTGTTATTTTACCAATTCTCTTTCGCTTTATTATACCGAGGGTAATTCCCCCTCATTTAGGAATCTATGCCAGACCTGGTGGAATTCTATATTATTTGAAATTTGTGCTTTTCTTACTAATAGTCAAACTTAGAAGGTTTAGAAGTTCCAGATTATCAAACGTTCAAGGAGTAAGTGCTGGATATGGTCAAAGATCAAAATTTACTATTGAGGAGATGGATAGAGCACAGATCCTACCTAATGACGAACCCAAGGTAATACATTTACTATTTAATGTACAATAAGGACCCCAACACTTATCACACTAATATTCTTTTCCGCTAACAGGCGGTTGATGCTGTTTACTTTACCGGAGCTAACGAAAAAGGGGAATACATAGTAGCGGCTACAGCGCGACGACAAAGAAACTTAAATCAGGCTTTTCTATTTATTCGTTTGCCCCATATAGGCCTATTACAAATGCCCCACCAACCCGATACCCACTGTAAAGCTGATGATGAAAATAAGTTTTGGTCTAATGGCCTGAGGATAGATAGTATAGAGGCAATGAAAAAGTGGAAAATATCTTATGAAGGAAACATGAAATTATCCTCAGGAAAAGAAGTTTTTGTTCGTTTAGCAGCTGGCTGGGAGGCGATAATGCCTTATTTCGACTTTGACACTGATATTCCAGCTTCAGCTGTTAGTAGAGCAATTGCTCAAGAAAAGTGGACAAAAGATAGATTCGAAAGACTTCGAAAAGCTCATCAAACACACCACGAACAATTTGGCAAATGGACAGTTAGCCTGGAAATAGATGGTGAAAAACGCGATACAATCTTATATGGCGTTAGAGATCACAGCTACGGAAACGTAAGAGATTGGAGAGACATACATCGATATGCGCTTCAGTATTGTTATTTGGAAGATGGTACATGCATTGGTCTTTTGTGCATATGCATGCCAAAAACAATGAGTCGTCTAATAGCTGGTTATGTCTCAAAAGATAACAAAATTGATTCTATAACCGATTCCAGCCTACAGCTATGGTCAATGGGAGAAAATGGCAAACCTCCAAATGATTATGGTTTTGAAATATTCACCGAGTCTGGTAAACAGTACACCTTGTTCTGCAAAGTTATTGAATCACCAACAGTGTATATAGACGGTGAAAACGACATTAGACATGGCAGAATTCATGAAAGGATGGCAACATATAATTTAGATTCATTAAAAGGTTGGGGTATCAGTGAGTGGGCATATGGCTTAGAAGAAGACATTCGACTAAAGACCGACTTTATATCATAAAGAAATCATAACACATGTTGCGAAATTACAAAACATTATTGATTCAAAATAAAAAGATAACTTTAAAAGTCCTAAATTGCCATAAGAGATGTTATTATGAAAAACATTAATAGTATCGAAAATAGGCGAATTTCTTATTATAATCATGAATTATTTTCATTACTGATACGTCATAGGCTTCACAAGATTTAGTAGTCTAGATTAGATAGCCTACTGTTAATTCTATTTTCCGGATTGTAGATGGCTCTATTTTAATTCGTACATTATCTTTTGTCACACTTCTGCCAGATAGTACTGATATTAGAAATTACAATTACCTCTTTATTTGAAAAGAACCGCCCTATTTCTTTTAGATTCCTGATATGAAAACTTAAAGAGATAAATGAAATTTTAAAAAAATCTAAAATATTCAAAACTATTGTAGAATCTGATAAGGATAATGCAGTTAATGTAATAAAAAAATTAAGGGTAATTGGTCAACAATAATTTATTGGTCTTCTTTGTCATTGATAACAAGATCGTCCCAAATCAGATATAACGCTCTGATTGCTGATTAGGTAAACATAAGTAGCTTATCTTAAATAAATCGTTTAGAGAAAACACCATGAAAAAGATATAAAGAGAATTTTAAATCAATCGTTACAAGGTTATAATGATATTCTCTTTCCTGTATTAAAAAATTAATGTGCTCAAACATCAGTTTTAACAGTGATAAACAGGCTATTCTGTACATAGTTCAAAGATATTTATATAAAGCACGATTTTAACTATTTTTACTATACTAAGAGTATATATTTCCATTTTTTTAACATATTGAAAAATTTGATTAGAATATTTTACAATAATAATTATATTGTCACTTTATCAGAGCATATCAAGGATTCTTAAAAAAATTTCTTTCAATCGATTTATGAGACAAAAGTCGTAAAGTTTAGATCAAAAAAAATAAATACATTTTATATTTTAGACTTGAAAAAGTCATTGTATTTTTCATAGGTGTTGTTATTTTTCTTTAAATAATCAAAAGCCTTCAATAAGCCGTTCAATATATTTTTGTCATATAATATAGCTATTCGCCCTACAATACATTATTCATCGTTTTGTGCCTATTATATAAATAGGCATTTTCAATTTTCTCTAAATCAAATTAGAATGAGCTGAATAAGAGAACTGTGGGTGAAAAAACTGAAGACAAGTATATTTTTCATATTGTATGTGTCGTATTTTCATGTTAATTTAAATACCTAATTGTAGCAAATTTACTGATATAATATATATAACCCTTATTACTGTACTTATGTAAATGAATATATATTTAAGATATATTTTTATATCGTATATTAAACATACGAAATATACAAATGTTGAGAGCGTATTAACACATATAGTATTAAAAATTTGTATATAACAGCATAACTTGTATACATAACCTTGTAGGTAATGGATTAAACTACGATACTCATATGCAATAATAACTCATTCTATATTAGATATAATTATTTATAATGAAAGTCATAGATTTTTTATCAATTAAATTATTATTTCCAAGTTATTTATTACGCTGTCTTTGGTCGACATTATGCAGAAAAATTTTCAATCTCGTATAAATTTATTGTACTAAGCGGAAAGATTCTTTGTTTACTTTTCCTAAAATAACCATTTCTTTTTTGAATTTGTGCGCAGTTTATTTAAATGAAGTAAATTTTTACCTTTTCAGTAGCACAATAGAAAAGAAGATACAGATTAAAATAGCATTCAAGGCCTAGTTATTTACCAGTCCGCTATATTTCTTTTCTTTAAAGAATTTCTAATTTATCGGTTGTGTTAGATAGGTTGATAAGGAGAAATATCTAACTGATATATAACAACGGTAATGAATAAGCGAACTAAGTCCAGATTTATAATTTGTGCTTATCGTCACTTGTTTATCCAGTTTCAGAAATGTACTTGCTGCAGATATAAAGTTCATACACCTTTTTTTCATTTGAATATTTTGTAGCATGGTCGAACAGAAGGCTCTACCGGTACCTCCTGATGGTGGATGGGGATGGGTGATAGTCATAGTTAGTTTTTTTTAATTCTTCTTCCTATTAAATTATTCTGTTATTCTTAGTTTGTGTTTTTTTATTCCTTCGCTAATTTGAAATCTCATTCTCTGTCTCTGACTTCGCCTTCTCTCACGTTCAGGCTTCTCATATAATTAACATAATCGTTGATGGAGTATGTTTTACTTTTGGTTTGTTCTTGAGAGAATTTCAAGAACATTTCAATGCAAGTTTCGCAAAAACAGCCCTTATTGGAAGTTTAATTCCAGGACTGTATCTCGGAATTGGTCCTATTTCCAGTGCTCTAGCCAATAAATTTGGTGTAAGACTAATATCAATTATCGGGGCCTTAATAGCATCAATGGGATTTTTTGTATGCGTGTATTCAAATAATATCAACACTATGATCTTTACGTATGGAGTCCTTGGAGGTGTTGGCTTCGGCTTAATGTACCTACCATCGATCGTTATCGTTAATTTTTATTTTGATAAGAAGCGAGCTACTGCGAGTGGAATAGCTGTATGTGGATCAGGAGTAGGGACATTTATCTTCACTTTTCTCACAGAACCGCTTGTCAATAAATACAGTTGGAAAGGTGCAATGTGGATCATTTCTGGTATTGTTCTCAATGCTTGTGTATGCGCGTCTTTTTTTCGGCCACTCGAGGCTCCAAAACCACCAAAGTCAAGGAGAAATTCAAAGAGCTCTGTGATCCAAGAATCGTTTATAATGAGAAAAATAACTGAACAAAAAGCCAGAGATAGAACCATTTCGACAGGATCGACTGATGGCATGCTTATCACAAAGGATAATCGGATTATAAAAGACAATGAATTCCTATCACAAAGAAATGGTTTTGAACATAGAGCCGTTACAACTATTAAAGAGGAAGAAGAAAATGGATTATCAAGAGCATCCTCTCAATATACTGTCTATTCAAACGCTGCGAAAGATAAAGTTGATCCAGCTGACGCTTCTCGTCCAATGTACAGGCAAGATATCTTCTTCACTGGAAGCGTTAAATCCATTCCCGAATATAAATCACAACCAAATATGCAGTCATACGTCGCTTCTGTTACGTCCATACCGCAGCGTGATGTCGGAAAGAGATCATTATGCACTCCTGCTATAGATACTTTTAAAACAATGTTTGACCTCTCTTTATTTAAATCTATGACATTCAATTTAGTATGTGCTAGTGCGCTATTGTACATGATGGGATTCTTTGTACCATTCACTTATTCTCCCGCTTTTGCCATGGAGGAATGTGGTGTAAGTGAATCCCAATCTAAAATACCACTACTCGTTATGGGAGCTTGTAACACAGTAGGACGAATTATAGCTGGGTGGCTATCGGATAGACCTTGGATTAGTAGCATGATACTCCACAATGCTGCCCTTTTAATAGCTGGAATAACGACTATGTTCTTACCCTTCATAAAGTCGTTCATTTTTCTTAACATCTATTCAGCCTTGTACGGTTTATGCGTGGCGACCTTCATCGCTTTACGATCAATCGTACTAGTTGACCTACTAGGAGTTCAAAGATTAACCAATGCTTTTGGAATACTATTACTCTTTCAAGGAATAGCTACCGTTATTGGTACTCCCATTGGAGGAGCTATAAAAGATAAAACTGGTTCATTTTGGGTTGTCTATATGTACGCTGGCGCAACCTTGCTTGGAGCTAGCTTAATTGGGATAGTAGCCAATAAAATATCTTCCTGGGAGAGAAAGAAAGATGAAGATAATAGCGATTCGTTAAGCCGTGAAGTACCAAGTCTTCCTAGTGAAACTGCATAAAGTTCCCTATCGTTAAATTTCCCGACGTAACAAAAAAATATTTAGAAGGGAACTTCTTATTTGAAATTTCGCACTGCAGATGGCGCTGATAAAAGACATGGGATAGTGCACTTTCGAATAATTTTTTAGATGAACACATGGGGAACCTTTGAGGTTTAACTCACAATGTCGGTAACGATAGCAATAATAACCTATAGTTGTGCAAAAGTCGCTAAAAAGAGATTAGGTAGAAATGGCATTCACTATGACCTGGTTTACGTATGTGTTATCTAAATTAATTATTTTGATTCAATTACATGGATGATAATAGGAATGATAACTTTAATAATTTTATTTGTATCTTCTAATAATATTTCCTTTGTATTTAGCGTCATCTGTTGCGGCAAAATTTCACATATTTTTTGTTAAGCTTTTAAGTTATTACAATAAGTTCTTAAGTTTAAAAATTAAACTTTCTAACATCTTTCACTTTTTACTAGATTATTAAATACTTAATTATACTTAATATATATGCTGTATATATACAGTATAAGATGCATATAATATACAGTACCGGTCAACAGTCTTTGTTATACCATGAAAAATATATATTTTTCTGATTTTCTCCCTTTGCATACTTGAAAAATAAAAAGAAGGCTATTAATATATTGTTATTTTAGAAAGAAAATATTTGTAGTTAGCTTTATATCTCAGAAGTATGCTTGTTTTAATGGGAGGGGCCAACTTTCGATGGGAACATAGGTAGCTGTGAAAATCTGAAAATTTCATCTAAAAACTGTTTAAAATATTAAAACATTAAAATGTATAATATTTTATCAAGTAAAAGTAAAAATAAGAAAAAAAATATTTTTAACAGTTTTTAGATGAGATTGAAGACAAATATTCTCTCTAGAATGATAAGATTTAAATGAAAATTTTCAAAAAGTATGCAAAGAGAAAAATCAAGAAACATATATTTTTCATTTTGTGACAGTGACTACTGGCTGGTATATATGTATATTATTTACATGTTTTATTAGTACGTAATTTGGATAATTTCTCTAAATTAGCAGAGCTTTCTCTACGCCAATTTTAAAATATTGCTGTCTATTGTAGTGTTTAAGGAAATTTCGATCAAATATAACTTTACTTTTTCTAAATAAATTCATTTTAAATTAAACATACTATAAATTATATTCACAGTTATATAATATTTTCTTTGAATTACTATTATGATCACTAAGTCTTGTTGTTCGTACTTACAGTTGTAAAATGTGTACTTTATGGGGGGAAATAGATTATTAACATTCAACTTATATTAATTTCAATACTATAATGAAATACTAAATACTGGAAAAGAAAAGAAAGAGATAGGTGAGAAAATAACTTTTCTCTTGCAAGAGCAACGAGAATCATCAAATTTATCTCATTTAGAAGTATATATTTCACCATTGAGAATTATTATTTGCTATTTTAATAAAATTGTTTGTACTTTTATTGAATAATACGATTTTAGACTTGTTTTGTCAAATACTTGTTATCTTTGTTGCAGCTTTATATATAGTAGTTTGTTTCAGAAATAAATATTTATTCTGTTGATTAGTTTCGTTACTGTTAACGAGCGCGTTATCGCACGTTCTCCTTCATTCGCCATGATTCGCAAAGCTATTAAGTCCTTCAATTCTATCCCTCGCATTAACTACGAAATCGATGGAATATTATCTCCTGATCCTCTTGTATCTCATATGGCTAAATGGAAAAACTATGGATGGATTGTTAAGGAAGAGCTGGTTCAAAATTTTCCGACAGTCACGCTTTTTCATCCGGATTTTTGCGCTCAGCTTCTGAAGCAAGAAGGTTCTCTGCCCATTAGACCACCTCCTTTACCACTTGTATACTACAGAGAGAGCAGGGGATTGGGCTCAGGTCTCGGTGAATCAAACGGCATGGATTGGCTGAATATTAGAAACAAGGCCCAAAGAATCTTGCTAAAACCAATGTCTGTTTCCTCATATCTGCCAGCTCAAAACGAAGTTAGTCTAGATTTTATACAGAGGCTTAAAACTGTTAGAAATTCAGAGAATATTATTCCAGATATGTATAAAGAACTTAAGAGATGGTCATTGGAATGTAATATGAGTAACTTTTCAACTGTCCTAAACGACTAAATATATATACGTTTTTTTTGTAGCAATGGCAACGGTGTGCTTTGATCAGAGATTAAATTTATTGTCAACAGAGCAAATTAACGACTGTAAGAGCTATTACCCTGAGATTCTTTTAAACAATATAGAACACATTCACAAGGGAATTTCTGAGTTGATTTTCTCAGATTGGAATGAACATATAAAGAATCAAACGCCTCTTTTCAGAAATACAATGGCTTTACTAGATGAACAAACTGAGTAAGATAGATGTGTCCAATATATCCATGTATTGTATCACTCCAACTAATTTTATTTAACAACAGGATTACTATGAAACTTATAGAGAGTGCAGATAAAAGTGGTGCTTTGCTCAATCACCTTTCGAGAGAAATGTCTCCTGAGAGCTTGAATACATTAATAATTGATCTATTAAACGCCTCTATCGAAACAACTGCAAATGGTGTTATTTTCCTTTTGTATCTTTTGTCCAAGAACCTTCTTGTTCAAGATCGTCTAAGAGATGAAATTAATGCAATTGTAATCAATCAACCACTTAAACAAGGTCACATAGACGATATGCCTTATCTAAGGGCAGTTTACAAAGAAGCAACTCGACTCTTTCCTGTTTCGACATTTATTGTTAGAGTTCTTCAGGAGAATGGAGTTATTGGAGATTATGAAATACCAAAGAATATTCCCATATTTTATTCTAATATGGTTGCTGGCCATCTCAACGAATTTTTCTTCGAATCCGACAACTTTAATCCTAACAGATGGCTAAATTCTAAAAAAAAGCCACATCCTTATGCTGTTCTACATTTCGGACATGGTCCAAGAATGTGTATAGGGAAAAGATTTGCAGTTCAAGAAACATTTCTAGGTTTAATTCAACTAGTCCGAAATTTTAAAATTGAATATATTGGTTCAGATATTGGATTAAGGATGAGATTATTCAACACACCAGATAGAGAAATGAGTTTTCAACTAACAGATGTCGTTAGAAAATAAAACAACGTAGCGAAGTGACATCTGGCGATTACTTGTTACGAATCCTCACAACAAGATGAATAATAAGCACTTCCCTGGTGTAGCGATTGTAAAGTATTTCATTTATAATAGTTTAAGAAAAAACAGTGCAGTATTATTTGTCATCCCAAAATCCCTTTCTGCCAATGATGAAACTCCATAGTATTAGTCTACAGTATGCATGTATATATACTGAACATGCCTTATTATATAATATATATATTTCATATCAAATACTATTTAATATCTAAAATATTAGTTTTATTTCTGAAACAGTTGATATTTACGAAAGAAGTGCTTATCGCATCAACAGTTTACTTCAATTATTCATAATTCTTCATTTTTTGTTTCTCTTTGCGTGTTTTTGCTTTCTTAATAACTATGTACTTGAACGAGATCAGAAAAGAAACACACCCAAATTTAATGGGAAAGATACATGCCTTTAAATTTATGTACTAGTTGTCTAAGGAATTCTTTTGATTTGTCGTCCTGCTCTCATTTTAAAATAGATACGACTTTTTGTCCATAATATAATAAATATATTACGTTGAACATATTCAACATATTGTCTATTGCGCAATAAAGGTCTTCAATGCCAAATAAATTTTCCCATGGTTAAAATTTACTGGTTTACTCATTAAACTACCCTAGGATGGAGAAAAAAATGCACAATTATATATCTGCCTCGGCTGGTAATTTGGCGATCTGCCAACATGGGGAGCGCTATCGAATTGTTGTAAGAGTGCACAAAGTCTGGCCAATGGTTAGCTTGGATTTTAACTTGTGAGCTATATTTCTTGTAATAGCAAATGATTAATTGATTCCAAAATCCTTCGCTGAGAAGACTTTATTATTTAAATATTAACCATATCTTTTGGATATGAATTTATAATTTTTTGAAGGATAGGTGTTAACTTGAAAATGTAGTCTGCTCTGAACATTAACAGTGAAGTTTAATTATTCATAATTAGTGTGCTGCGTTAGATTATACTTTGGAATTATGACATTGCAAACAGAGAAGTTAATTATGTATTTTTTTCACCAAAGTATCATTCAGGATATTTAATAGTATTGAAATATCGAGGCATTTCATTTATCAAAAAGAACATAAGTAGTTTATTATGGTTCGACGCCCTGTTCTGAATTATGGACATTTCTTGTCCGAGTTCCTTGTTAGTCATCAGAGGGAAAATTCCCTGTCTGCCCTCACACCATCAAAAAGCGATTAACAGAAGATGGTTACGTAATATATGCAATATGTTATCGTATAAAGTATAAAAACGTGCGTAAAGGGAGGATGAAATAAGGGCCATGATAATCACGTGACCAAGCAAATTCAAAAATACACATGAAAGTAAGAGACAGACTGACCAGCAGACAAGAAAGGCGGTTTAAGTGTGATTCGGAAAACTAAAGAGGGAGACGGAGGGTGGCAGCCGGGAAGGGGTTGAATATAGTCTAAAATCTTCTTAAAAGATCGCTCACATTTCTTTTGCTAAATAAGGAAAAATAATACTATTGTAGCTTAAAAGAAGAAATATATATAAACGATTTAACGGTTTAACACCACGTTGCATTTTGTCTAAAGGTATTTGAGGTAACCTGAGGATATACTGTATATTTCATTCTTTTCATTTTGACCCACTGCTGTCTTTAAACTACGTCCCCAGTCTAAATGAATTACGCAATCCTACATCACTAAAAAACTTTCCTATAAACGATTGCATATTCTTATGATAATCATTACACAATTTCCATGAAAATTTACGAATAAACTGTCGACACCTAAAGAAATATATTATATATTCTGTTCAATTTAATATACATACTGTAGACAACTGCTTCAAGAGGAAACTACGAAGTTAAAATTTTGTTTTTATTTTTTACGCACTGTGTGTACATTTCGTTTAAAAATAAGAATTCATAGAAATATTTTTAATGAAAAACTTTATAAGAAAACTTACAATGAACATTGTTAAAATGCCATTTCAGTTTGTTTTTAAAACAAAAAATTGTCCTGTTGAGAAGAGGTTTCTTGAATTACAGTTCATTCTCAATTGGTCATACATATAAAATATATAAATATACATAAGAGAAAGAGATGGGTTAATTATAAGCATTTTTGGTTAGTTGTCCAAGGATGATTTAGAATGTCCTTTAAACTAGGTCGATCTATCCATTTAACAGACAGGCAATTTTCTATTAGGTTCTTACACTCTTTACTCAATTTGCCGCGGAATTCAATATCTGCCCTGATTATCTGTTCGTCCTTCTCGAAAGGAATGTCTCCACAGACCATGTTATATAGTAATATACCTAGTGACCAGACTGTCATAGGCCCATAGAAATATCTCCTATGAACAATCCATTCTGGTGGACTATAAACTCTTGTACCTGAAAAAGAAGCTGGTTTCAGTCCAAATTCATGTAAATTTGATATTTTTCTGTTATAATCAATTACTAAAGGTTTTTAGGGTATATTCTCAGATTTTCTGTTTTAGGTAGTGGTCTTAAACTGGGTCATATGCTAATTGTAAAAATATACTTCATTGGAAATGTCAAATTTTTACATTGACAGCAGAATATTTAATATTTTATATAATTATTTTGTTTGATAGGAGAAGCAGATTTTCTCAAGCACTTTAATTCAAAATTTAACATCATTGTCCGAAATTAGGGTCAAACATGTATGTATATCTATTTAGTCTAATGACAAAACAGGAAATACAAAACAAATCAATACCTTCGTACTCGTCGTAAAGCGTTTCCTTTGTGTATGCTCCTGATCCAAAATCTATTAATTTTAATTTACCATTCTCCAAATCGACCAGTAGATTTTCGTCTTTCAGATCGCGATGAGTAACTCCTGCTTCATGACAAGCTACCAAAATTTTGACAGTCTCTTTCAAAAATCTCCTTGCTTCATCTTCGTCAATCACTAACTTTCCTGATATATAATCGAAAAGGTCAACTACCGATTTTGGTCTTTCCAAAACTAGTACAAAACACTCCTCTGTATCAAAATATTCAATCAGTTTTATTACGCCATCAACGTGTTGAACCTTTTGAAGAAGCATAACCTCCTTTGGAACCCTTACTCCTTCAAACTACAAAATGGAAGACCAAATAAGAGTATAAACAAATGAATAATAAACAGCTATTTTCGCTGTTAAATCTTCTCACTTTTGCATAAGAAAAGACACTCATTATTATTATTATTATTATTATTATTTCATTATATTATTATCTATTTTTAACATGATAATGTTAGTTATCAACAAGCTAACTAAAAAGTATTTAAAAAATATTAGTGAAGTATCTTGTACAGCAATTTAAGTATCTATCATTAACTTTGCATTTATGTTTATTGCAAAATACTTATAATATACCAAAATATAAGAAAGTATATATAAAAAATAAAACAGTATAAAATCCCTAAAGCTTCTTACCTCGCTCCATTTCGTTATTTTTGACTTTATAATCATTTTTAGAGCCACCTATTTAACGAAAGAATTGTTGTTTTATATGTTTCATTATTGATAATACATGTAAAAATATGTAGTTCGATGTCAAATTTAGAAACAAAAAATATGCTCATAAAAATAACAATTAAAAGCCTAATCAACTATAGGACTTTTGCTAAGTTTTTTTAGCACAGACAAGGAAAGTCAATGAACTGTCGGATGAGACAAACTTTTTAGACAGAAAGAATTGATTTACCATATTTACACTTGTATATAAAATATATATTGCTAAATAAAGACACAATTTAAAAAAAAAGTTATTCTTACAACAACTATACATGAACTAATTAAAACTTTTGTCAATAGGATATCGAACACCTCATCCTCTATATATGTAATTAGTAACGGATTTTGTTGTAAAAAAATATAGTAAGGAGGCTGTAAATATGCGGCTCCTTAATTATGTTTTCCTACTCAGTTTAAAAATATTAAGCATATTATTAATATAGAGGATTGTATAATACTTACAATTAACCTATCCTTCTTACGAGTAGCTGAATAAACAGAAGCAAATCCACCAGAACCAAGCTGTTTCTTTACTGTATAGTTAGCCTTTAAATAATAATCTGGAGAAAAGAAATCAAATTAGTATCCAAGTTGTTTCAAATGAAATATACGCAACACATGCCAGAATAGATTACAGAGTACCTCACAAAATTGTCAAGTAATTCATTTATAACACAAGAAAGTATAGTATAGTACTATGAAATAAATAACAAACATGATCTATTTGCATACGATAGAAAACACTCATTACGTAATAGTTTAAAAACAAGTAAGGAAATGAATTCTCCAACATATATTTATTATATTATATTCAAAAAATTGTATATAAAATATATTACTAATAACATTGATCAGTGATTTCACTTACTATTAAATAACAGATATATTTTGAGAAGATAATGACAGCATAAAAAGAAAAATTAAGCATACATATACTCACCACCCATGGTTGTAATTTTGCTTCAATTTTGAATTGACCACTTTTTATTATAAATAAATATAATATATAAATATACATATATACACTTGAATATTTATATATTTATATATATATATATATATATATATATATATTTATATATATATATATATATATATATATATATATATATATATATATATATACACTTACATATATATTATATTATATATATATATTATATATATATTTTATTATAAATATTTAATTAAAAATATCAACTTATGATCGAGCTTATACTCTGACTCTTTCTGAAGCTATACGAACTCTGGTAGAGTAGAGTGGGAAATCCGTTCTTATTAACGTCTGCATGTAAATATTGAACATTTTTTCTCCGATAGATGGCAGAACATAAGCTGTTTTTTTATAAAGACAGTTTTTGTTTTTAACTTTTTTAGTGATATGCTAGCTATATTAAAATCATAAAAAAAACAACTTTCTTTTTAGTTAACTTTCCAATTGTTGTAAATAATATACTATTTATAGATTTAAATAAATTAAATTGCGTAATGTTTATTCAAATGAAGTTTTGACATAGGTGAACTTCATAAAAAAGTTACTGAAAAGTCGAAGACAAGATTTCTAATCACATGTTTTTCAATGGTGAGTTCTCTACTTTGTTTTCTTTATTCGCCTTAGTTGTATATAAGCGAGAGCGAGAAAGCCGATAATAAACCCGCTCAAAGCCAACGGATAGTGCCACATATCCCATGTTGATTCATACCTTATATTGTTTAATTTGAGATATTCAATACTTGAATTTCGATTACTGATATTTGATCAAGTTGTTAGTCAAAATTAAATCTTGAATCAGAAACTACACTTACCAGTCTATTTCTGCTGTTATTGGATTAGTTACACATATACTTAGATCTCTCAATTCCTTCGCAGTCATTGCTTGTAAACCGTATCTTAATATGCTAAAATATTGTAACCATCGCACAGCCTTCGTTATGGTTTCTAATTGTACCATAAAGCCACTAAAAATCATCATAACAACAAAAGTAATGGCAATTAGCATTTGAGCCACAGAAAATACTCCAACAGACGCGCTATAAAAGAAACATAATGAGCTTGCGGCGAAGGTAACCAAAAGACAAATAAGCAAGAAATAGAAGAATCCATCAGCCGATTTTTGAAAGCCAACCATCCAATATGTTATGACCAAAAATACTATTGTAGGAACTATTCTCAATGGCAGTATATCAGATATAATTTTTGAGAAGAAGTATGATGATACTCTATAGAATCCTCCAGCATTCTCATGACTAAATGGTTCATTTTATATCATGATACTCAAAAAATCTGTATACTTACATAAAAATTGGTCTCTCTTTTATGAAAAGTTCGATTGCTGGCATATTTGCAAAAATCATATTCATGGTCATTTGAAACATTGCTCCTACCCTATTTTTATTAATTATGTGTTAGTTTATATAGTTTCATCACTTTCACGATAGTACCTATTAAATAAGCCGGATGCATCATTTTTCACTTGCAGATAAATCAATCCATTGAATAGAGCCATGAATGTTAAACCCATTATCTGTTAAGCAGAAGAACGTAGTATTGAATGTATGTCAAAATTTCTATTTACTCACAGCTGCCATTCCAGCTTGCGGATTTCGTATTATACTAAGAAATGCTCTTTGGGATAAATAAATGAATTGAGTAAAGAAAGATGTGACATAATCGGGCTGATTTTCAATTTTATAGGTGCCTCCATTTGATCTCGAAATATCAGCTAAATTTTCTTCAAGTCTTAAAAAGATAGGCATCGAAAAGAAGTTTAATTTACAAATTTATTGTATGTAAAAATAAGCGTACTACTTTTTATAGCTTTGAGATTGTTCAAACTTTCTTGCTAAAACCTTTGAGACTTCGAATTGCAAATTTAATTGATTTCTATCCTGATTGCGGGCTGAAAATGGAATATGATAAGCTCCTTATAACACCAATCCTATGTTGATAATATTAGTGTTCTTACCTTCAGGTATGCTACAACTTCTCGTTCTGTGTATTGTTTTATTTTCAACATATTCATATTCTCCATTAATAACATCTAGAAAGAAATCAGCAGGATTGTTGTGCTCCTCACAATGATAGCCAAGCTCATCAAAATAATCTAGGGCATTACTAGCAGATCCTTGATAAATCATTTGACCTCTACCTAGCAAAGTTAAATAGTCAAACAAGGAAAATATTGTAAATCTTGGCTGATGTATTGAAAATATTATTGTTCTCCCTCTTTGACCAAGTTCACTCAAAAGAGCGACAACTGAATTAGCTGTGGAGGAGTCTAAGCCAGTGGTAGGTTCATCTAAAAATAATACCGATGGTTTAATAATCAATTCCATTCCAATATTTGTTCTTTTTCTTTCTCCACCCGATACACCTCTGATCATTTCAGTTCCCACTTTACTGTCAGCAACATGAGTAAGTCCGAGTTCGGCGAGAATGTCATCAACTCGTTTTTTCTTTTCAGTAGTATTGATAGATGAAGGCAGTCTAACATTTGCAGAAAACATAAAATTTTCCCTAATTGTCAGAGTTCCCATGACAACATCATCTTGGGCTACATAACCAGAAGCGCATTTGAAATTTTCAGGTTGCTTTTTGCCATTTACTAAAATGGATCCGCTCAGTCCCGTTTTGTCTTTTCTTCCAGCCAGAAGGTCTAATAATCTGTAAAAATAAATTAACAATATGCACTACCTATTTTGGAGTCAGTTGAAAAAGACGAAATGGCGATGAGTTAGCAATTTAACATTGCGCAAATTGACTCTTAACTAGTGATACTGATAACCGTGATATATATTTAAACTCATTGACCGTAAAATTAGACACTGTATAATCAATATTGTCAGTAATACTAACGATGATTTTCCCCCTCCAGTGGGTCCCATTATAGCTGTTGTTCCAGGATGGAAGACAGCGCTAGAATTGTGAAGAAGTATAGAGAAGACATTTTATAGTTTATGCATTCTACTTACTTTATATTCTTCAAAATAACTTTCTTTTCTGGTTTCCCAATACAAGAAAAAAACCCTTTTCTGGAGTCAACTTCATAATTTACATCATGACATGATAGAACAGAACCCTGCTCGATTGATTTATTTCTGGAAAAACCTCGAGCTATGTTATTTGTTCCATTTGGTTGAGAAACTCTCCCATTTTCAATATGAGAGTTGGCAATTGCTGGAGAAATTTTTGATCTCGATGCTGACCCTAAATCGGTAACATCGTGCATTTCATTTTCCACATAAAATATTTCACTTTTGCTCATTCTCGTATTACGTTATAACGTCTTCTGCAAGTGTTCTGCTTATATATATATATAGTAAAAACACGACCTACAAGTCCCGTATAGATGTTGCTGATAAGACAAGCGAGCAAATAAAATTCAGAGACTTTGTAGCTGACAATGTTCGGCCTGACCTATGTCATCTATTTCTTAATGAGCTTTTATTACATGTATAGTTCATAGACTGATATAGTTCGTTAAAATTTTAGATATCAAATTTTGACTTAATTATGCTGTAGGATTATCAATTTCTTCTGATTTTAGTAATATTTCTGAAGAATATACTATGTAAAATGATTTTCTTTTAAAATTAACAATCAAATAAAAAGACTTTTGTTTTGATTATAGCTTCCGATATTACCCCATTTCTTTCAATTCGGCAAACAAATGTAAATCTATAGCATATAATTATTCTTGTAATAATATTTTCTTGGAGAAGAAAATAATATTAAAACGTTTCCTGCATTGTGTTAAATTATAGAAAATCTTTAAGATGGAATAAATCGACTTATGTCTATTTATAAAAATTCATATTATACTTCCGAGTTTGTTCAATTTAGAAAAAATATTTTATATTTTAATATTCAAGAATTAGCACTATTTATCGTTCAAACTGATTGTGCAAAATTGTTACCAAGCTCGAAAACGCTACTCTAACAATAATAAAGGAAAGATTTTATAAGCAACTTTTATCATTGAACAAAAATAAATCTTATCACTTCCTCTCCCTGATTTGTTACTTTCTTCTTAAGTATATCTTGCTTAAACATTTATCGTTATGGATTTCTCGTCTTTATAGACAGTTTTTATTTTCTTGAAATTTCTTCTTTTCGCAAGTCAATCCTTAAGCTGTTAATAAATAAAATAAGTAATAAAGTCAGCAAAACATCTGCAAAGTATCCTAAATTTTCTTAGTTTTGGTACAATCTCTAGCTTTCTTAACATAAATTATTTTCTGAATATATTTCAGGAAGAAGTCTTATTAAAAATATACATCTATAAATATAGACCTGTGTAAAATGTGTTATCTTTTTTATCTTATATCGATTAAATCATTAAAGGCAGGTAACAGCCAAAAACATGAGAAATAAAACTGATAGGGAGGAAAGGAAGAGTGACTCAACAAAATTCGATAGAAATTGATTAATATCACTTATTTAAATGTAATTTTTTAATTAGAAATAAGAGCTATGTAATTTTAATATAAATATGATTGATACATGAAACTTACATGGTAAGGAGATGCTAAGAATACAACTACTGCCATGATTATCTACGAGGTGATTAATTAATTTATCCCTGTCTTTTTCTCTCACTCATTCACTCTCATTTTCTATAATCAATTAAGTTTTGTTCAATAAAATCTTATTCTATTTTTATAAGTTTTATCTATTGGCAACGCAGTCTTTTAAACATCACATACATAGTTTATACCATTATATTATTCATAATTATTTAACTTCTAAGAAGAATTTGAGTGTTTTATTATTGTGATATTATTTCATCTAAAAATAATGATGTAATTGTTTTTAGACCTTGCTATAAATGCTCAATTAAAAATCGTTAACGAATTGTCTCAATTTTTTTTGCAGTATTTTATATAAAAATGATAACTGTACCGCCTAAGGTTACCATTCATTTGAACAAGCTAAAAATTGCTTTAAAAAGTTCAATGACCTTGCAGTTATTGTAGTAAAGAGCTAGTTAATTAAAAAATACGGTAGGTATGATAAGTAATTAATTAAATGGCTGGCTATTACATTGTAGACTATTGTATTTATGACATAATTCTAAGCCATTCGAGGTTATCTAAATGATAATATATAGTAACACTTTTACAAATGTAGGATATTTTAAATGTAATTTAACGTAACGAATAAATTTAGATTAGATTATTATATTGAATATAAATAATAATATCAGTTATTATGTTTTCCTTATTATTGTGTTTTATGCTGTTTTCTTATCTCAAACTGCCCCAAGGAAGACAGAATATAAGGACATCTTTTCCCAAAGAATCTTGCTCGGATGTAGTTAAAATTTCTGTTGATGGTGAAACTGGTTTCCTAAAGGCAGATTTTATTGATTCAAATGATTGTATGGTTATTTGTAAATCTCATCTAAAAGGAAGTTGTAAAGGAGAAACAACCGCTTGGTACACTTCTTGTCCTCTTAACCATCTAACTTGGCAAATTCATTTAGACTGTTGTGGAACAGAAAATTCAGTATCAGAATGCGAAATTAAAGGCATTAAAAAAGACAACGACTACTGCAACGGCTACAAGAAAAGATTTATCGCTGCTTGCTCTTGTGGCATGGTAAAAAGCATCCCTCCAACCAAAGGATATAATGAATCAAAAGGTATTGTGTAAAAACTGCTAAGTACTTTTTGCGAGTACCAGTAAGCCATGTCCTGAGGAAAAGTTATCTTGTCTCTTTTCAATTCGTTTTCTTCCTTCATAGAATCGAATTCTAAATGGACTCCTCAAGTCACGAGGGCTTTTAAAGATCAAAGTAAAGATCGCTTTCATTTAGAATGTCACAAACAGAATATGCTCATTAAGTTAATTATTAGAGAAAATTTTCTATTTACTCTTTAATATTTTCTTTTTATTTTAATTAATTGAATCATTTAGCTATAAAGTATTCAATTTTCATAAATTGCCTAAGAACATTTCAATCAGTCCTATCTGCCATGATGTAAGAATATCTAAAACGAATCAGGATATTTCAGTAAGAATAAATATGGAAAGCTGTAAACCTCTAATTATTAACGATTTTAAGGGTATTTATTCCTAATTTAATCAATATTTGCATAATATTCTTATTGCATGTAACTTTCACATAGTCATGATTTCATTTCTATCTTTATAAAAATAACTATTCACAAGACATATTTCGTCATATTTTTATTATTTTCATAATTTACTATTAATCCTGTAAGATCTTAATTCATTTCTTCTATAGGTCATTACCTCCACTATTGTTACAAATTATCAGCTAATAATTTTAGGACATTACATGGTATATTAAATATTGGCAATGAACTAGAAAAAACCTTTTGTTGCAAGATTCCCTTAACATCGAATGCAGGGACTAATTTTGAGATAAAGAGTATAATTGAAAAGGGAACTATAGTAGTTGATGAGAAAATGTCCTTACAAGTCGAATGCTCATCCTCGTCAGCCTTTGGGGATTCCATTAGCATAGTTCAGAGGGGTTCAACACTTTATTGCCGAATATGGATAAAACATTTATGGCAAAGATATTTGACATTAATCGTTCCACATTGCTTTATTCACCCCCATCGTGAAGGCAAGAAGAGATTCGTTTTGGTAGAAAAAAAATGTGTACCTCAGCACATTAAGAATCTTCTCAACATTTCCTTCTTTTCAGTCAGTAAAAGCATGTGGTCATTAAATTTTACGGTTCCAAAATTTGAGAAAACAATTGACTTATACCTTACATGCAAGAGTATCTTATGTAGACAAAAAAGCGATGGTTGCAATACGCGATGTACTGGAAGGGAGAGGAGATCCATTACCGCCTTTAATCAAGCAAAAGAAAAGAGAGTAAAAAAATTTCAAGTACAGGATTATGGATACGGCCCTATAATATGGGATAATGGATCAATAACAGTAGTACGTAGAATGTCAAACATTCCATTATATTTATTTAAACATGAAAATAAAGCCCTTATAAGAGACCCAAAGGCTACACATAATTATTGGAATAGAGCCAAAAAATCAACTCAAAATTCCACTTTTATTTTTTTATCACTATCTCTTATTACTTTATCTGATAAAATAAAACTCTGGTAAAATACTTGCGCTTTTTAATTTAAAAAATTTTCCTTCAATAATTATCCTTCTACAAGCATCTTGTTAGAAATTTTATACTGTTCGATTTATCCTTTTTTTAGAAACAACATAATTTACAAAAAAAAAGATCATATTCCGAAAAATCGACAGTATGCGGAAATAAAATATATAAACCGCCTCGAATCGCTGAAGGTAACCTGATATTATTCATCGACTCTTTATATACTGAAGTGCTATTAAGAGAAAAGGGCTAAACATCGAAGGAAGCAAACGCCCATTCTAATCTTATTTCGGAATTTGAAATGTCATCTGTTTAGCAACTCTATAAATTATTCGGGACGCATGATGAAGACATTCTTGAGTACAATTTGTTCTTAAATTAAGATAATAATAATAAACTATGGAATATTTTAAGTGGACCTGATTTATTTTCAAATTACTTTTATAAAAATCTTGTATAGGAATCTTTTCTGAATCGAACATCATCATTTTATTTATGAGTCGAAAATATATATTATATAGAAATATTAAGATATATTATTTTAATTAACCATTGTCCAAACTCAACGAGTGTCAAAAACAGACTGAGAAAAAATTTCACTGATAACTATTGTTTATATATTCTTTTCATGCAGGAAAATACACTTTCAAAGTCACAGAAATACGTAAAATAAACGCTGCAAGCACGAGGTACTGTTATAAATATTATTCAAAGTAAAACGTCCAAGAAGCTGCCTCAAACGTTACTGTAAGATGAAATCGTGGTACAATTGTAAACTTGGTAGAATCATACAATTTATGCTAAAACACCTCCAATAAGGAAAAGAAAAAAGGAAGTTATTGATACTTAATACAATAGCAGGCAGAAATAAAATATAACTGTTTTTGAAGAGTTTTTTTCCAAGATTTACAGCCTGCAAATATTTCTAGTATATATTTGTTGCAAAATGTAATAGGTATAATTTGTTTAAAAATGTATGTAATATTTATATTGAATACATAATAGTTTAAATTTTTAAGGTTTTCATTGTATAGAAAACGATTTTTTTGTTTTTAAGTCTCAGTCTCAATAACAGCGATGATACTATCATCCTTAGCTAAATCAAAATAATTGAAGATAGCACATAAACATGTGTCGTCTCCCATCCAGAAATTATTAAAAAGCCTTTTATTCAATTTGACCATCTTTCCAGTCTCTGTCTCTGATTTTTCCTTCATACATATTACATTCTCTCAAATTTTACAATGAAAAGACAGGAAAGAAATAATTTGCAGCTGCTGAATTTTATCTAACTACTTTAAAAGATGTAACTCTAATTATGTTATACGTTTGCTGGCTTTATGTCGAGTGTTACCTAATTTAAGTTTAAATTTTAAGACAGTGCTCTTGTTGTGCACGTGTATTCTGGACTAACCTAGAAGCCAATTTATCAAATGAATAATGAATCTCCTTTATTTCTGAACCAACAAATTCACCTCCATTGTTTAATTGCAATATCCTCAAATATCAAAAGCGTGGCTACCTACCTCTATATCAGATTTATATGAGAGGTCCTAGGAATAGTAACTTCAAAAAGCTAATCTTTAGGGCAACTTTCTATTTTGTAAAAGTATTCCCTTGAGATAATTTTTAGTTACTACTGTTTTCAGCAAAATTCGAAGTGAACTGATGATAGATATGTGTAATTAAGATTGATCAAATATTAATGGTCTACCTTATAGAATGAAATTACGCCCTTTTTTAGGTAGTGAGCACGCTATTTGCAGTATTTTGCAGATTGATGGTAATAGATCAACTACATGATTATAATTCAACTGACGACACTCAAATTATAAGTCAATCGTTCGACAATGACTGTAAAGCAATACAACAAAGAAGTTTGGCTAGGTGACAAATGATTCAACGGTCTTCAATTAAAACCGTAACTGCATAGTCATTGAATCTGCAAAAAGGGTTAGAGATTTTATGAATTACAGCTTATCAGCTAACTAAATGCTGTCTATCACCTAAGTTGAACCATTCTGTTTCATGCTCAGTAGCCATCCTTCCTGTCTAGAGTTATCTGTAGCTCTATTATACAAGTACAATTATTAATATTTAAATATATTAGTACATATTGAAAAACCTTTAAAAAAATTTTCAAATTTGTAGTCTCGAAGTGTAAATAAACTTCGACTTATATATAACTGTTGAGAAAGTAGCTAAAATACTTTCATTATACTAAAGAGCAACATTATTTGTTAGGAAGTGAGGCAAATTTTTTACGAATAAGGTTACTGTAAAATAATCATTGTTTTTAAAAATTGCAGTGTTCTTGTAGTCTCTCTATACAATCAGGGGGAGATACGTACATTTTGCACGAGGATATGTAAATAACACTTTAGATAAACATTGAAAATCATCACATATCTTCTTCATAATTTTCTAGTTCGTGTGCCTCTTGTTCTGTTTGACGGCTACATGCCCTGTAGACAAACTTCTTATTGGAGTTTCTTAAAGTCTTTTTGTAGCAATGGCCAGTTATCAAATTTTTTAGGTCTTTTCTGAATGGCTCAGACAGGAAAGAATAAATAAATGGATTAATTGCAGAATGAAACATTGCTATAAAATGAGCAATTGAAAAATAAGATATAAAATATTCTCCCTCAGGAGATATGGCATTAGGCCAAAGATGATTTAAAACGTTGAATACATTTAAAGGAGCCCAACAAACTGCAAAAGCTATAACTACAGCGACTAGCATCTTGATTACTTTTTTTCGAGAAGTTAATTGAAGTTCATCCCGAGACCTTACAGCAACTCCTGGTAATCGTCTACGATAAAGGGTAAATGATATTACAGAGTAGGCTATAGATAAAGCAGTCAGAGGTACAACATAAGTTGTTAGTGATATAGTTATTGTGTAAGCATTTCTATAATAGTGATTAGGCCAAAATTCATAACAAATTGAATCTGAATTGTTTGGGTAGATTCTCATTGCTCTTGCAACAACCAACTGCGGTAGAGCTAATAGAATTGAAGCAAACCAAATAAGAATTAATATAAAATTTGAACGGGTTGTAGTTAATCTCGTTTTCATAGGTGTTATAACAGCAATTAACCTGAAGAGAAATTAACTGATTAATTGTTGTAGTTTTAATTGAATAAGTTTTTATACAATTAAAAATTTATAGTAATATAAGTTAACCCTTTACTTCCCTTTACAATTCTAATTGTAATGCAATAATTTCGTTAATTAGAAGAGAAAGAGCACAGCGGCTTTTTTGTAGACATTTTAATTGATTTCATGATCCAATATGTTACTATTACTATGTTTCAAAGCGTTAACCAAATTAATTCATAATTGAACAGCAGAGCGTAATATAGATAGGTATACGACGATTAATGGTGTTTGCAAATCAAACTGGTATAAACGTCAATCAGCTACTACAACAACAAGACGCTTTTACTGCAATTGAGAAGTATCAAAAAATAAAGATGACATATCAGTATCGAATGCATGAAATGTTCAATTTACGTATTAATTAATAGTATATAAGATAAAATAATTATTGTATCAAAAATAAACCAATTTTAAAGATACTTTTTATAAATTCTTTTATAAAGCAGAGAAACAATGCTTTTTCACTAGAAATAGATGACTTAATTAATAAGAAAGTGAGATTGCAAAAGAAAATCGAATCTATCAGATTTTCCTACTTAGTCTTTACCTACATCATATAGTAAAATAACTAAACCAATAAATAGATGAAAATGTAAAACAAATTGTGCTAAAATACGAATGCTGTCACATGGAAATCTAATATTTATCTTTCTTGTCAGTTTCTTTTGAAATGTAATCATTGACAACTTTTATTTAATATTTGAGACGCTTTTAGCGAACTGAATGACCCACGTTAGAAAATATTGTCTTATGTCTTTTTTCATTATGTTATGCCATTATGCTAGTTAGTCTGTTGAAGGCTAAACTACTATCCTATTTGTTAAAAGGCGCAAACAATTTATGTCCAGACTCTATTTAACATTTAACACATTAAATTATATTTGTTTGGAATGTAATACTCATTTACAGTTGATTAATTTAATTAATTATGCAAGTTTCGAAAGTTCTAATATATGTAAAATGAAACTTTGAGTCAATAGCTTTACAACTTACCTATCTATTCCGATAGCGACGTTTGTGAAAACACTAACAGCAATTCCTAGACATTGTAGAAAGAGTATGGAGGGACAAGAAAAGTCACCAAAGATCCAGCATTTAAATATAATTGACGTATATGTGAATGGAATGCAAAATACTGATAAACTGATATCTGCTGCAGCTAAGTTCAGCAAATACTTATTCAATTCCGTTTTACATTTTCTTCCTGCAGCTAGGACCCATGCTGACACCGCATTACCCGTTAGTGCTATAATAGCAGTGAGAAGATAAACACAAGCTGCTGATATCTCCAGAATTCCCCAGTTTACACTACACGTGAAGAAGTTGTCAGAACTGTTTGAGAAATTAGCCATTGAGATTGTGCCGAACAAGGTTATTTCACGACATCTAGTGTTAGACTAACTTTTATAGAAAATCTATGTTAATAAATGTATAATATATTAGTATTTACAGTTTTAGTGAACGACAATCCTTTAAAAAAAAAACTGGATGATTCTTTATAAAAATGTAAAAAAAAAGTATTAAGATAATTTCTTATTTTAAAAGCAAATACAAAATAACGCCCTTTGTGATTGTTGTCCATATTCATCCTCTTCTATTCTTCCTCAGTATTTCTTTAATTGTTACTTGACATGACACTTAATGCTTAATACTATTAAAGTATTGTTTGTTTTAACATTTGCAAAAACTAATTACTAATAAAGGTAAAAAGAATGAAAAAATACTATTGCTTTAATTTTGAAGACAAATACATCATGGTACATTTTATGTTAGCAGTCATTTATGATTAATGAGGTAAACCTTATTTTAAGTTATCCTTCAAAAAAGTGGATTAGCTAATAACAAAATTTAAAGTGGTAATCACTTTTCTAGCGACAGAATTAGTTACGGTTTGCCGATTTTATATCTGCTTGTCACTTTGAAACCTTCTAATAACCCAATGTTATAGTAATAAAATATAATAAAACCTAAGCATATTAAAATAGTATTTGGTGGGCAAGACTATAAGAGTTTTATAAAAAGAAAACAAAATTCGTATGCGTGCAACTGTATTCTAATTAAGAATAATAACACCTAATAGAACAACATTGAACATATATTGCATACATCGTTTCGTATACTCTATATGTAACTCGTTTAGTAATGAAAATTCATCATTCGCAAGTAAGGGAAAAATTAAATACATTTACAAAACTTCATATATTAGTTGAGAATGTTCGTTGTAACTATATATAACTATATATAAAATTTTTTATATCAGCCAAAAACACTGTCCTCTTATTAAATGTGACTACCAAATTTAAGCTACAAGGTTATACCACTTACGTAATAAATCTATTGTTATTTTGTAAGCATAATGTGAATTTCTTGATTTAAATAACTTAAGAGTTTAGAAAATACAGAAAAATGTAGAACAATAATATCGAAGTGTGATACAAAGTTATAAGAGGAAGCTCTTTTTTAGCACGAATTACTAAAACCAGTGCAATATACCTTACATGTATCGAGAATAGTCTTACTTGGGAGAAACATATACTGTATATATATATATATATATTAATTGGAGTATGCAGTATATATATTCTTATTCCTTTTAAAGAAAAGAAAAAAGAAGTTTCTACACATATATTTCACGATAATTAATTAATGTTTTATACATGTTAAAAGTTGCTTATTTATTATTAATATGAGTTGTCATAACTCTATTATCATTACTTTTATGCTCCTAATATTAATTTTTTTAATTACACAAGTAATATATTAATTTATAGCTAATAGTGACAATGTACATCTACTATGTGTAATGTAAGTTGAATAAAATATTTAGTTGTCACTCTTTTCCAATAGGTGGCGCAGTAGTTGAGTTTGAGAAGATAGTGCCACGGCAGTTCTATGCGCCAAGCATCCATTTTTCAAGACCTTTTCCTCCCTTTTTATACGTTTGCTGTTTTCAGTTAATCCCCAGCATCCATCGTCATATTGCCAATTAATTATTTTAAGAGTCCATTCCTCTTTGCAAAAATCTTCACGAAATCCTTCCATACCACAAAGAGCAATTTGCTCCATGAATAAATCGTGATAGCGTGGCGAGCTTTGCTTGGAGAAGTATTCTGCTTCCACCAGCATGTTGGAACATATTCTCTTATTAAGCTCTTTGATGTGTTTAAGAGAATTATCTTTAAGACAACCTGCCTTTTTAGTGAGCTGCCAGAAGAAAAGTTGATGAGATAAGGAGTATTTACTAAAGCCATCTATTGTCATTAAATCAAGGCAGAATTTATTAATTATACATTTCCTCTTTGGATTATCATTTGTTCCTAAAACGTTCGCGACACATTCATCAGACTGGCTCTCTTTCATTTGCTCTCTAGGGCTTATAAAGTGATCGGTTACTTGATATGTTCTTTGTAGATCTTCATTCAATTCCCAAATTCCTGGTTGAATGGAACCTTGTAAAGTATTGTAGTATTCTGGCTGGTTCAATTGAATGTAGGGTATCGATAAATTACTGATCAAAGCGGCTTTCTCTATCAGATTGGAAATTTCCAAACGAATTCTGTTAGGTATTTTTCGATGGGAAATGAGAGCTTGATGTAATTGACCTGCCATAGAGGATACCAGTTTTATTAAATTAATACTAAAAATAATATATATATAAATATATGCTGTATATATTCTAAGAATTAACTTGTTTTCAAACTAAAGAAACTATTCAATGCATAAAATATTTTAGATTCTATAGATTCATGTTCAGCAGATAACGATCTTTTTAAAATATTAAATATCGCTTTATCGATGAGAATTCCTATAGTTGAAAGAAAAATAATAATTGATTATTGGAGAAAAAGAAGAAATAACTTGTAGTTGAAATAAAGTACTTCGCAAAACCATCATGACAACTTGCGTATTTAAGAGAAGAGACAAATCTATACTTTAGAATTTCTCAAAGCCATGTTATATTGTTACTTATAAGAAATTAAATATTTGAGACATATGCGATATACAGATTACCATTTTAGTGTTGGTCCTAGCTAATGTCTTTGAAAGTTAAGAAAATAATTTAATTAACAAAGAAAGACTAATTTATGTCACATTTGCCAAAAGTTTGTTTTTCTCTTATGGAAAAATGTTACTAATCCATTGGGATGCTAATTGAACAAAGAAACTCAATAATATAGAGGAAAATTACTTTGAAAAGTATATACAAAAATTTTAACTGATTAAGAATACTCTTTCATTTTAGCGTATATTATTTTTTTTTCATCTTTATTTATAACCTTGAATGTCTTTTTTTGTCTTTAAAAATTGCTCACCGAATTTATACCTTTAAAGTAATAAACCAAGCACAATACAGGTCTTTGAAAAAAGCATTTCAAAAGATTTCTATATTATTAACACAGAAGAGTATATGGAATACAATATATGTCATATAGTAAAAGAAGTAAATACATGAATATAATATTTATTACCTTCTACAATCCGTGTTCCTATGACGCTATCCAAATTCAAGTTTTTCAGCTCCAAACGAAAAAAGTCCAATCCTTTTCTCATTGACCTCAGGACGTTGTCTAAAAGTTCAATATTCTCGGAGGAGACAAAAAGAAAGAAAGCAAAAATGAAGAGCCTGATCCTCATATTTTGAAAACTCTAACTGCTGGGTGTAAGAAAGAAAGAATATACTACGGACATTACTACCACTCCTCTCTAGCTCTCTAACTCACTCTCTTCACACTCCTTATATATAAAACTAGTATACTTCAAATATATATTACCTGAAGAAGGAGCTGAGTTTGTAATATTAGACGATATTAGACTACTTGCTGTCAAATACTTGGAATGCATCAACTGGTCGATTTAGGACGTGGGAGTATAAAAATAGTGAAAACTGGACATACAAATATGAATTATTAATATACATCTTATAATATATGCAGAATTTTAAATTGCTGAGTGCTTTATGGTTGGATTTACTTTTTCCTGTTATTTAAAGAAATTTTATGTAATTTCTTTCTAGTTTATATTGGCAGTGTTCATGTTACATACTTTTTTTGAATGCTTCAATGTTGGAAAAATATACATAATTAAAAAGATACACCTCTTAAATCGATAAAAATTAAATTTACTAAATATAATTTAATTAACATGTCTTATTTATTCTTTTGTTTTAAAAAAGATAAATGGTAATATTCAAAGTACGAATTGTGATACAGAAAACTTTAAAAGTATTTTGAAAAGCAAATACTATAAGTATATCATATTTTCCTTCTGTTCTACACTATATGTATTTCAAATACATAAATTACAAGTTACTTCAAATGACGAATTTTCAAAGGCTTTCAGCAGTTTTAAAAATTATATGTAACTGAAAAATTCGTAAATGGTCAGAGGAGAATGAAGCTTGGGAGGATGCCAAAGCGAATGAAAGGAATTGATACGTTTATATTTTTTGTATGTGTGTGTATTGTATTCAACTATTTTATTCAGGTTGATAGAAGAACGGAGACATCCAGAAGAAATGTTTACATGTAGTCGAAAAAAAATAATAATTAACACTAAAGTTGCAAAAAATCCCTATAAATCCCTTTCAAAATAATCATGATTTAGGCCTTTTTTAAAACCTCTACTTGTAATGAGTGCACACAATCTATATTTATAAATATTTTATTAGCTATTTCAAGTAACAATAATGATTTGTCAGGGGAATAAAAACTTGTTTATTTAATTATTTCCGTCCCTGAATATTCAAAAAGATGTCCTTTTTGAGTTCCTTATCTTTCTTTATTAATCAAAACAATCTGATTTTCTTTCAAAGGAATTTCTAATCATCCTTAATACTCTTTGAAAAATATTTTTAAACACATACAACTTTTAGCAACGGTGTAGAAAGGCCATTTGTACAATATTGTGAATTGTATTCAATTTTGGACAATATTTAAAAGATAAGATAAGAAGGCTTTTTGTTAAAAAAAGAATGCTGTTGTTGAGATTTTCAGCTATTTCAATGTCAATTTTCTTCGCTTTAGCAGCAGGTGTACAGCATAATGACAGAGATTGTTACCTATGGCTCTATGTGTATATTGTTCCTTCATCACTTACTGGTGTTCTCGTTTACGATGAGAAAATCAAACATTCACGATTTTGGTTATCTTTCTGCATGCTTCACTCGTTGGTTTGTCTCATTTCCGGCTTAAATATGCTAATTAAATACAATACCAAGTGCTTTGATCTACGATTCGAAGAAGGAAGAGAATTCAGCGGTCTTATGTTGGTTGTTGTATGGTTAATACTCTTATCACTAATAGACGAAAGGAAGAAAATATTATTAGTGTTGTTGACTATAATGTCCATTTGTCCTCTGGTATTGTGGAGTTTAGATGTTATCAAAACTTGTGCTGATTCTCTCTAGACAAATTTTAAAAAAGTATATAATTTTCGAAATAAATCGTCTCATAATTATAAACACAGTCCCTGCTTAATCAATAATTTATTTTCTGACGCTTTTTGCTTTTCATTTTCCTTTTATCATTTATTGTGTGCACGTTTTTACGAATTTTTTACCTAAAATTCGTGTTATCACAGCAGAAAGAAGTAATGAACGAATATACTGATATCAATATTTCAACATCGACAGGTTTTTTTTAAAATAATTATAAACAATTCGTGTTGCCCTTTCTACCTTTTTTTTATACAGTACAGCAACAAAATCGACAATTTGAGTCGCATATTTCTGGTGTATCGACTACAATTCAGTTGTTTATCACCTTTGGATTAGTGATATTTATTGTAATTATAACTGCAATAACGAGTTTTTTTGTTAATTTTTGCAAAAATAAGTATATTAATCCTCGTAAGAAATTTTTAACTCTTCAAAAATCTTCTTTTAAAAATCAACGTTACTTCTTCCCTGTAGTTTCCAATGAAGATATCGAATTAGAAGATTAATGGAAAATTATAAAATCCTCTTTCGTTATATAAAAAAGTGCCATCTGGTGTTTAAGAACAAAAACGTATAAATATATTCCAAGCACTGAATATTTCTGAAACAAGTCAATATTGAAAAAAAATCACAGAATATTTTTTGTTTTAAAAGTAAATGTAATAAACAACAGATGACAAAACTATAATTTTGATTCATTTGTTTAAAAAACTAGATTGTACTGTTTTTTATAATATTACATTATTATTTTTGTAGAAAAAAGAAGGCTAAAAAATACCTTTTTGATTGTGGTGTTTAGACTTAAAAGATTTTGTTAATTTGGGTCTCTAAAAATCCCAGACAAAAAAGTTAAAATAAATAGTGGATATTTGTAACAAGAACACGTTTGACATTATTGTTTTGTGATAAAAATTTTGAATATAATGTCTTGAATATGGCGTGAAATTTACACGGAAAAGTCCATTACTTCAATAAAAAGACTATTATGAAAAATAGATCGCTTTCCGGCTCAGTAATCGCTAAACTTATCAAAGAAGCGAAAATTTTTAATTTAAAAAAATGGAAATGTATATATCTATATATATATATATGTGTGTGAAATTTATGATATGTAATGCATAAACATCCAAAAAAAATGTTCTGACTTGAAAAAATATCAGGAATAATTGTGTTTTAAAAGCAATCTAATTAGAACATTGAAATATATATTGCTTTTCCTAACAAGTCATAAAATATTAGAAGTAAAATCTTTTTTGAAATGAATGATGAAAAGAAAAGCAGGTGGTATTTTTTCGCGAGTTTCCTGACGAGAGGAAACGTGGATAATTAATGTATAGTTTTTTCAATTCGTTCTAATGAACAAGTTATCATAAACTTTATAAATTCAATGATTTTCATTATACTTGATAAGTTTCGAAGAAGAGAAAAGTTATGAAAAGCTTTTTAAGATTAACTTTTTTTTATCTAAATCCAGCTTTTTTCCATTATGTTTGAAAACTTTTGATTCGAAAGGATAGTTAAAACGTTGATTTTGACAGTTATGAACTAGTGGTGATATTTCTCCCAAATTATTTTTAATCTTCTGTAATTTGATTGTGTTTCGTTTTTGGATATTTCCACGAACAATAAGTCGCCGCATTCTAGGCGAAGACTTCCGAGGTCGGAAACTAGTCATACTATTCGTGGATGTCCGTGAGCAATGAGTGCATTTACATATTTTAATTATTTTTTCTCCCACATTTGTGCAAATCATTCCTTGAAAGTAAAATGAAGACAAACATTGCAAGGAAATTTTCGGTTGGAGAATTAACTTACCGTATATAATTGGATTAACGCATGAGTTTGAGACTGCTAGCATATACATAAGTTTCATTACTTTTGGTGGTAAATACTTTTTCGCACTTTTTCTTCAAAAAAAGAGTTTAGATACATAATAAATGGGAAATTTTACAAGTTATTGCAATACTTACAAATCAATTTCCACCCACATTGCAACAATAAAATATGGTGTCCAGCAGAGAATAAAAGCCAACACTGTTTACAAAAAATCGCCCAATGAATAATTAATCGATTACAGTGTAAATTTGTGTAATTTCATTAGAAAAAGATTTAAATGGTCCATATGATTGAAATTCTAATGAAAATCCTCTCAAAATATTTCAAACGAATGACAAAAACTATTACAACATTAACTATTAAAGCAAAATATTTAACATTTATAAAGTAAATTTTTTAACCTATGATAACTGTCATTTTCAGTGTTCGTTGTCTAGCTTTATGAAAGAATGTAACTGTTGTTAAGGGTAAGGGGCTTGATTGTCGTGTTGGTAAAGTGTTAGATGACAATTTCAAACGTCCTGAAAAATGTCGAAACAAAAATTATATTCAATCGAAAGTGAAATTCTTTTGAATTTCATGCTTGACTTTTTAACAGACATACTTGAAGGTTTGTCTGGCTCGAAGTCTTCTCGCCGCCATATTTTGCACACAATTAATGTGTACGATAACACAATCAGCAAAGTCGGTAGAGCATATACCAAAAGTAAATGTGTGATATTATATGCCATTTTTAGCGAATTTGATTTGAATGAGTTAAGAGCTATACATTGTTGAAACCAAATATAGTGTGGATGATTCTCCACATGAAAGATGAAACTCTAAGTAAATGATAAAGAAAATGGTGATCTGTAAACATTATCTCTTCCCACCATTTTTGTAATGAATTGTAGAATTTTTACATGAATTTAAATGACACCATAAGTCAATTAGTAAATATTTGATTATAATCAGAGTTATTATTACACAAACTTTTTTTAGTTAGTTAATTGATAGTACAAAATAGTTTTGTGAAAGCCTCATACTTTTTGGGAAAAATCCATCAATTGATAATATTACAATTTTTTGCAAAAAAAAGATGGAAGAAAAAAAAGCCACTCTGAGCCATGAAATAATTTAAGTACAATTAAATGTCAAAGAAAAATATTCCTATCTTTTGCAAACTTCATTAAATACTATTGATTAAAAACCTTATAGTAAAAATAGTGAAACGCAAAAAAAAAAAATTATAAAACTGTACCTACCTGAGGGAGACTAGCGAGAAAACTTAGAATCCATGTAATGACAATCATATACTGACTTCTCTTTTTGTCTTTTTTTGAGCATCTTGTGTGAGCCATAACAAAATATCGATCAATAGATATAATAACAACTATAAAAGACGATAAATAAAATCCAAATGTTCTGAAGAACATTAGTATTCTGTTAAGAAAAAACAACTTTACAATAATACAGCAATTAAAAATCAACATGTAGAAATAATTATTGACTTAGGTTTAGGTAATTTTTTTAAAAAATGTAATATTTACTAATATAATGAAAGAATGTGAAAAAATTAGTTATTTTAACGTAAAAACACTGTACTTTTACAATTTTCAAAACATATTTTCTAAACTATTTCTACCTGCAAGCCAAATCTCCTGCTTTCCATTCCACTGATACATGCCAAAAAATTTCGGAGGGTACCATAATAAACGTAACTATCATATCGGCTACTAATAAATTTATAATATACAGCTTTATTCGACGACTTCGTCTCCTGGATTTTATTATGTCATAAAAAACGACCAAATTGGAAACTGACGAAATACAGAAGAAAATAACTAGGCCACAAATAGAGAAAATATGATGTTCGTTAAAGGTTAATTCGTTGGGTAAGTTTCGAGAACCGTTAATGGTTGTATTCTCCACTGAGAAAATTGATAACATCCTACTGGTATCGTAGTCTCAGTTTCACTAATGATACAATTGAAATGAATCACACTAGGGGGCAGCTTGTCAAAACAGCTCAAAAAAATTTTTTTTCCGCTTCTTTTACTATTTATGATAAAAACATGACAAAATATATTTCCTTGCAATTAACGGAAAATGAAATAAATAATTCATTGTTGTACACATCTGAAACAGCGATTGCTTTTTTGTTCTATTAGTTGAATTTACGAGATTGATTGCTAAAAAATTTTTTGAAAACATTTTTAGTACTCAGTTTTACCCAAATTTTTAAAGACTGTATAATATTGACGAGAAATTTAAGTATGAAAAATAAAGGTTTTTAATAAAAATTATTTATATAAAATCCTTCTTTTTTATATCTAATGTAGACTTAAAATAATGGAGTGGTTTTCAACCTAGAACAACAGTATGTTAATATTATTTCATTCCCTGATTTCTTTCTCTTTAAACAATAAACAATTAGAATCTAAATTTATATATTAGAAATCTATATAGTTTTTAATATTTCTTTTAAATATGAAGTATAACACTTTCAACATTCAAATAATTAACGACATTATTTAAGAACAGCATCATTATCATATATTTCATATAGTGGATTAAATGATACGATTTTTTAAGGAAAAAAGACTTTTAACAGATGAGGCCTCACTAGACATGTAATAGATGAGTATTTGTATTTAATTATTATCCAATTACACTTTCCTTCTTGAAACTTAGGTAATATTACTTGTTGATATATCGCAGAAACAATATACAGATTTTTCTGTTTATGTGAAATTAAGAAAGAAAAACTAAATGATTATTCAAAACACATTTCTATATAATATTTATATATTTCTGTATAATTCTGTATAATTTCTGTATAATTCTGTTTTTATAATATTCTCTATATAAAAGAAAATGTAATGATTTCCTTATTAGACATTAATAGTTAATATGTACTCTATACTATACTGAAGTATTTCTAATTACCAGAATGACTAAATTGTGTAATTATTAACAATTAGGATTTACATATACCAATCATTTAGTCAGTTTCCGTTTTTTTCCTTTATTGTAACCAAGTCTCTCTTGTCTTGAAAAAAATATTTAAAGGTAAAACTTAAATATTAAAAGATAGAAGCCAAACATAATAGCTACATAGATTAGAATCAGTCATTGTGAAGATACTACTTTTTGATTTTTTTTTATATAGCTTTATCAAATTTATTAGATTGTCTTCAAAAATGTTTAGTTTCATTCGTTGGGAATTAATATTAACTTTTTAATTACACTACACAAAAATTTTTTCAGTCAGCCTACTATTAATTCCATTGCAATGTATTACAATTTTAAAGACAATGTAATAAATGTTTAACTTCAAACAATTTGAATTTAATCAAAAAATGCTCTTAAACAACTATTATTAAGATCTTATTGCCTAAATGAATCATCTTAAATGTTTTTCAGCACCGAAAAAAAACAGAATAAAATTATAGAAAATATACATTTAAGTTGTATAAGCGAAACCTATTATTAATGACTAAATATAGCAGAAAGCTTCAGATTAGAATGTATGTGACATATCAATTGCTTTTTCTTGTTTCTTTTGAATGCTGTGTCAAAAGAAAGAAACTTACTCGATCCCACGACACTACAAAGACATTTCTCAAAAGTTATCATCATCAACCTTTTTTAATGTTATAAATTCCGAAGAACCTCTAAATTTTCTAAGACTTTGTTACTGCCTAACAAAACAACTGACTTTTCACGCGTTAAATTTCAGAGAAAATTATTAGATTAATTTTCAATGCTCAATTAACATAATAAGAGATCTATCTATATTACCTATGAAAAATTGATAGTCTTTAAAACTAATCAGATTAGTGAAGAAACGGAATATATTTCAATCGTTATATTTGATGAAATATTGGGAGGGTGTATGATTGATGAGTTTTGAGTTGACATGTTTTAAGGTGAAGTATGTGTATGCATCAGTATAATTTAGCAACATTTTAACACTAGGCGGCGTTTTCAAATGCAATATTTATTCAGAATGGCAATTAGTTTTTAAGCTGTTATTTATTAAAAAAGTGAATATTTTCGTAATGGTATATTTTCATCTAACAGAAGTTGTTTGTAATTTTTTGATATTTCATCGAAAAAGAATAGCTTTCTCCTTTTTTAAGAAAAGTAGACACTTTTTATCGAACTGTTTATCGAATTAAACAACGACTCCAATGCATTTATCTCTGACCTTTAAAACATAACAAATTATCTCTATAGTTCAATTTGATATTGTTTTTTCAAAAACAATATATCCGATTGCTATGTACGGAACATTTGCTGGAGAAACGTCTTCTTTAGAACCTAATCAGGAACATTGTAATCAAGTAATATCACTAAATCAATTAATTTCATTGAAAAAGAAATTCAAGAATTGTTCTTTTTTTTAATGATTTCTAATTTCAAGGAGAATGTCATTACATGTTCTAATCTCAACTATCGTGTAAATGTAAGAGGGAGCTGCTTTTCTCTTTTTAGTAAACCATACGAGAAACTTGTACTGAAGAGTGTAAAGTCAGTTACAATTCAATTTTTTTTAATTTCACGGCACCTAATAAAATTATTGTTCTTTAGTGCTTTGTTTAAAAACGGAACAACAGCAATAATGGGTCCAACTGGTGGAGGAAAATCCTCGTTAGTAAATGATTAAATGTTTAATGCATATCTTCAATGGCATAATTTGAGTTTCACTTTAAGATACTGAATAACCAAAAGGTTTATTTTGTTGAATATTTTCAGTCTACTTGACATCTTAGCTGATCGAAAATCTACATCTGGTATTGAAGGAACTATTTTAATGGATGGAAAAGAAAGAGGCCTAAATTTTAAGTCAATAACAGGTTATGTTACTCAAGAAGATGTGATTATGGGTACTCTAACAGTTAAAGAAAATATCATGTTTTCCGCCAATATGCGTTTACCGTCGAAATTATCAAAGGAGATAAAGAAATTTATGGTTGAGGAAGTTTTAGACGAATTAGGCTTAACCGATGTAGGAGACAGTAGAGTAGGAACGGAATATCTGAGAGGGGTATCGGGGGGGGAGAGAAAGAGAACTTGTATTGGCATGGAATTGATCATTAGACCGTCTATTCTGTTTTTAGATGAACCTACTTCTGGATTAGATTCTTCAACCTCTTATTCAGTAATCTGTTTGTTAAATGAATTAGCAAAAAAAGGAAGGATAGTTGTGTTATCGATACACCAAGCAAGATATGGCATTTTTAAAATGATAGATAATTTATTACTTTTGGGAAACGGGTCTGTCATATATCACGGGCCGACAGAAAATGCTCTACCATATTTTAATTCTATTGGATATCAGTGCGAAGAATTTAATAACCCCGCGGATTTCTTTCTAGATGTTATTAATGGAGATTTCGATAAAACCAAATCGTTTATTGAAAGTTCCAAAGAACACAATATATCCATTTCTAAAGGTTTATCATTCAAAGTTACTACTGTTGTATTTCACAATTCTATCTTGTTTTACATCTGTGTATTTTCTGACAGCTTTCGAAATGTCTGATAGAAAAAGTAGATTTATCAAACAAAGGAGTGATAAGTTAGCTCGACTTTTTGAAAAATCAAAATACTACGCAAGGTTCATTCATATCTTAAAATATTATAATTCGAATATTTATACTATTTAATATCATGTTAAAGAGTTGTTGAAGAAATTCACCAGCGAAATGCATCAATAAATCAGCCTAGCTGTAAGAAGATCCAGTATATAACATCATTTACAACTCAAATCCTTCATCTAAGTCATAGAACAATGATAAATTCAAAAAGAAATCCAGCCTCAATGTTTGCCCAGATATTTGTCATGATTTTATTATCAATACTGAATGGGCTTGTCTACTATCATGTTGAAAATAATATTTCTGGTCTAACAAACAGGTGAATCTGTGCCAAGATCTCATTATCTCTTTTCGGATATTTATATATCGAAAAAATATATATATATTGGCCATTGAGCAATCAGCTAAGTCGCGTCATGGAATCAAAGGAGTCTAATGAAATTTTCTTTTCTAGAGTCGGTTCCATTTTCTCCACAACGTTGAATATGGTTTTTATTAATTTGGCTGCAATTGAACTATTCATCAAAGAAAAACCTCTTTTCATGTAATTTCTATTTATTAATTTTTCAAAAACTCTTTTTTGAGAATTCTTTAAACTTAAAGGCATGAAAACACAGGAAGATATTATAGGGTTTCTTCATATTTCATTGCGAAGTTTTTCTGCGACATCATACCGATTAGAATATTTCCAGCTATGGTTTATGGCGCAATTGTATATTGGATGATCGGATTGCATTGCAATTTGGCGTCATTTTTTACATTCTTAGCATTCTGTTGTTTGACTTCATTGACAACTTGTAGCCTTGCATTTGCAATAAGTGCTGGAATAAAGAATTTTACTCTTGCTCAAGTAACCTTGGCTTTTCTCTGCGTGGTAATGATGATATTTAGTGGATTTATGGTTAATCTGGATTCAATAAAACCTTACCTTCAATGGATAAAATGGTTAAGCATCGTCAGATACTCTTTTGATGGTTTATTAATTAATGAATTGCAAAATCTAACAATATGCCAAAATTATCCGTTTTATCGAAAGCAAAAGTTTTGGTAATAAAAAAAATTAAAATTTTTAGAATTCATTCCAAATATAAGTACTTTGTAATAATTGTAGCTCGAAAGAAATTGCACGATACTATTTAAGAAACTATCAAGGTATAACATATGAAACAAATTGGGATTTATGGCAAAATTTTTTAGCTCTTTTCTGTCTGTTTTTGATTTTTACTGTTATAGCTTACGTCCAATTAAGACTATTGAGAAAGACAAAATAACATGTATGAAAATTGTAACTAAATAATCTTTTATATATCATTTTCTCGACTAAATAAAATTTTTAATGAATTATGTATCTCCTGTATACTACATAGACATAAAATATATTTATAAATGTATTATATTTAAATAAAAAAATAGTGAATAATACATACATCAAAGCTTTGACATATATATTTTACAATAATAACAATATTGAAGATATATTAGCAATGTCTTTTAAAAATGACTCTGAAAACGTTGTACACAAGTGTTTTGACAGTAAGTTCAAAGTTATGCACTAATTGTAGTTTAAATCAAACACAACGTCAAATGTTTAAGTTATTTCAATTTCTTCATTCTTCTCAATTGGAGATAACCAATAATAAAGTATCCAGTGGCCATTGCACATAAAGCTAGGATATTGACCCATTTAACGAGTCCGTTTTAAAGTCAATATCCTAAGACCCTAAAGTTGAAAGGTTACGGGAATTACACAACGTTTTAATTAATTTTTATCTGTTACTTTTCACTAGTACCATTCTTAAATTCGAGTACTTTAAATTCGTTAATCATCAAAGCCTGTAAAAATAATATAATAAAATATCATGAAACTTTTGCCAATATATTAAAACTAACCGCTAAACAATATCTCATGAGTGATAGATATTTGACTTATTTCAGCAAATTACCAATAGAATCAAGCTTTACAAGCATTTCACTGAATAGCTCTATACATTAAAACAAGAAATGAGACAGATAATGTAAATCTAAATGGAAAGAGTGCTTGTCATACCATTATTATAACAAAGGACATTGCACTCGCAATATTCGCAAAGGCAAAAGTTTCAAAAGTTGCATTGAATACAAAGCAGATGGCGCACACGGCAATAGTAATACAAAAAGGGGTAAGTAAGAAGAAAAAACTTTCCAGCATCAGAATCTATGGAAAAAAAAGTAAAATATGTATATGTTCAGATTAGAATCCAACAGTTGCTTCTCAGATTTTTACCAAGCATTCAATATACTATGATACTGAAAACAATCAATGCAAAGCTCACTGGTAGCAAACAGCAGATTATTTTTGAAAAATAATAAGCCGAACATCTGTAGAAGCCGCTAACATTTTCATGTCTTAAGACTATGAAGAAAATTATATGATAACAGGATTTTGGGTAGGAGTAATGTAATACTTACTTAAAAATAATATGTTTTCTAATTAAAAGTTCTAGCGCTGATAAATTAACAAACGCTTGATTCAAGGCGAAAAAGAAAAAAGCGCCAACTCTGGATAACATAAGGGAATTTTTTTAATAAATATCCTGTGATTTCAGTGAAAAAAATTTTCAAACCTATTTTCTACACCTCCTATGCTATTATCGGCTAAATCAAAGTAAATTGCAACAATTGCAATTATGCAAATGCAGACATTACAAATCCCTGCATTGTTGCTGCTGCCGGATTTCTCACAATATTAGTAAATGCCTTTCTTAACAAGTAATTAAATTGAGTTAAAAATCCAGTTGTAAAATCAATACTCGGTAAATTTTCACATGGATAGCCAATTTCAGCAAAATAATCGACGTTGTACTGGCTGGGCCGTGATAAAGAGCCAATCACTTACTTAGAATCATCAGTCGGTCAAAGAGCTTTAATATTGAATATCCTGGTTTATATATAGCAGAATATATTGATATGATAGCAGAAACTCCTCGGATAAATTGCGTGCCAACTCTTTCTTTGTGAGGAATTGTTTTTGAAAATCTTAAACTTGTAGAAAACATAAGATTTTCCTTAACAGTAAGCGTTCCTATAATCACATCGTCTTGCACAACATATCCAGACATACTTTTAAAATTATCTGGCTGCTCCTTACCATCAATCAAAATTTTTCCAGTTAAGCCCTTCTTTTCTTTTCTCCCTGGAAGAACGTCTAGAAGCCTGTGGGTGTAGTATCCAGAAATGATCAAAATATATATTTAAAAAATAGATGAAATCATATTTATATTCTAGTGCACTGATCAACTCCATTTACAAACATGTCTTGTATTTATTTAAACAATACTTACGATGATTTGCCACCGCCTTTCAGAATATTTGGGAGAAACACGATGAATATTTATATGGAATAAAACTTAGCCTATGTATGACTCGATACCATTAGAATAATATCTAATTAGCGTCTGGAATTTCTTATAAACGTGCTCTATATATCAGCACCAATTATATTGAAGTCTAAAAATTTTTCTACCGAAAATAGGATATCTTTAAACATTTACTGCTGATAAGGAAATGAGCGGTAATATTATAGAAGTTCAAATTATATTGTAAACTTAAAAAAAGCCGGCCAATAATGTCTTTTATATAAGTGTGCATTTCTTTAGAGTATACTGTATATTCTCATTAATTTGTTAAAATGAAATGATTGTTAAATGTAGATTGCTACATTTTTAAATAGGAAAAAAGAAGTATACATTTGGTTTAATTATAAGAAATAATAAATAAAGATTAAAATTAATGCATATTAAATTAAAATAGTCTATTTTAACTTCTTCATTCTTTTTAATTGAATACATTCCTGTGTGAGATATCCGAAACTTATGCTCATAAGGGCTACAATGTTGATCTGTTTGTCCCAAAGAGTTTCATAATCAATACCAGTATCTTAGAAGAACCTTTAGACCTTAAAATAAAAATAATATGTTAATACCTGTTTAAGTAATGTGTTTTCTTCAAAAGTATTTATACCATTGTGTTTCACCTATATGTTCTGATAAATTTTTAAACTAATTCATTGAAAGTTTCAGAACATGTAGGTGAGACACAATCGTTAAAAAGGTATGCTTTAAAAAGTGATATTGCTGCTGCCATCTGTGTGAAAATTCTTAAGGAATGATATGTTACCATTCTTCAAATTTTCCACTTTTAATTATAGTAAGTGTATACCAAAATTTAATTTAAAAGAAGCTTCTACTTATATAATTTTTATAATCTTATTCCTTTAAGAGTATATATTCACATTAATTTGTTCAAAGTAAATGATTGTAAAATATTAATTTTTATATTTTTATATATATAGAAAGAAATACATTTGGTATAATGATAAGAAATAACTAATAAAACAGAGAGGAGGAGACATGATAAAAAAATTCGTACTAAAATTCCAAAAATACAATTATTATACCTATGGTAAAATATATACTCTCGTAGATATTTTATCAATTAATTCATTTTATGTAATGGAAAAATACAGAGAAAAACTTACAGTTTGAAAATTGCTCAATAGTAATATCTACAAAAGGTAAGGTTTAAAAAACCACAAGTTTACTGGTCTTGATTGTAAGATAAAACAGATGCAATGTTTTAGTAAAATTATTATAAACAAAAAAAATTAAAATCAAAGAATATTAAATTAAAATTAATGCATATTAAATTAAAATAGTCTATTTTAACTTCTTCATTCTTCTTAATTGAATATATCCCAGTGTGAAATATCCGAAACTCATGCTGACAAGGGCTACAATGTTGACCCATTTGTCCCAAAGAGTTTCATAATCAATACCCATGTCTTGGAAGAACCTCTCTCCCGCTTTAGACCTAGAAATAAAAATAATATGTTAATGCCTGTTTAAGTAAAGTTTTTTCTTCCAAAGCAATTTTTATTACCATATTTTTGTTCCATTTGCATGGGTATCGTAAAAGTCCAATCCTTTTAGTTCATTTATTGCTAAACCCTAAATTTTTTAAAACAAAAAGAAACCATTTAAACTTAATTTTTTTTACATTAAGAATAACAAGTTATTTACAGCTATACAATATCTCATAAGAGAAAAATATTTCATCCATTCCAACCAATCTCCAATAGAACCTAAATCAACCATAATACCACTAAATAGCTGAAAAAAATGCGAAAAACTAGCAAAGCAAAGCTTTAAAATGAATACGATTAAAAATACCATCATGACGACAAAAGTCATTGTTGTAGATAAATTTGCAATGGCAAAGGATTCGAAAGTAGCGCTATATACGAATGCTATTGCACAAGCGCATGTGGTCGTACAGTACAGTGTTAAGAAGAAGAAGAAAAATTTTCCTGCATCGTGTTGAAAATCTGAAAAGTCGAATTTCCAAAAGTAAATATATACTGTATATTTCATTAGTATATATATTATATATATGTATGTTTTTACCCAACATCCAATATGTAATTACGCAGAATACCAGCAAAGGAACAATCCTAATTGGTAGTAAATCACAAGTAATTTTTGATAAATAGTACGAGGAACATCTGTAAAAGCCACTAACATTTTCATGTCTAAAAGAAATTCAACACTTCCATATTAAACATCAAAATCCAATGAAAAGTATTTTGTGCAGAAGCAGCTTACCTGAATATAACTCTTTCTTTTATGAACAGTTCTAAAGCAGATAAACTTCCAAAAGATTGGTTCATTGCGAAAAAGAAAAAAGCCCCAACGCTGTTTAAAATTGAATATAAAGAGAAAAGATTATAAGAGTTTTAATATTAATCTAATTCTTTTTCAAATATAATTATACTATAAATAACCTATTTCTAACTCCTTTATCAGAATCTCTCGGAATGTTGAAGTAGATGGCTCCAATAACTAGTGCAACAAAAGCCATAATAATTGCTTGCATTAAAGCAGCAGCTGGATCTCTTATAATATTAACAATTGCTCTTCTAGATAAATAATTGAATTGTACAAAAAAATTTGTAACATATTCAACGCTAGGTTGTTTGACAATTTCACCAGACCTCTGTCTTTTATTAAAATTGTCATAAATTATACTTGTTTCATTTTCCACACTGAAAAAGAGACAATAAGAAATCATTTATAACCTCTGTCAAAATAGTCTTATGTTATTAAGCTTTAAAACAATAAACATATTACTTATTTTTGCATTACTTATATTTAAGTAAAATCTAGGTGTGTTTATTTCTTGATATGACAGATATTTCATCATACAATGACCCATTAAACTATATCGAACTATTTGAGTCAATTTTGTATAGAATACATTTGTCGTTTGCTGTCTACAACGGAAATATTCAAATAAAATACTCACTCTTTTGACCAATTGGAAACCCTAAATTTTTCATATAATATTTTAGCCCGTGTTCTACTATCAATTGAAGCAGATCCTTTTTCTCTGTCAGATTCATAGTCTATATCATCAATGTGACTGCCTACCTCATTTTCACAGTTTCCATTCTGAACTGCATAATCGTTTAGAAAAAGTAATTAAGGTAACAAAAATACTTAAAGATTGGACTTACTCTCTTTTTCATTAACAATATCATCATCTCCATTGATAACATCTAAAAAGAAATCGGGTGGATTATTCAAGCTTTCACAAAGGTATCCTATTTTTGCGAAGTAATCGCATGCTTCGCTTGCTGGTCCGTGATAAACAGGCAGACCTTTGCTTAACAACATCATTCTATCAAAGAGTTTGAATATGGAGTATCTTGGCTGATGTATGGAAAATATAATAGTTCTGCCTTTTCTTGACAATCTGTGGAGAAGTCTAAGAACTGTATTAGCCGTATTTGCGTCCAAACCAGTTGTTGGTTCGTCAAGAAAAAGAACACTTGAATTTACGATCAGTTCCATTCCAATATTTGTTCTTTTACGTTCGCCACCGGATATACCTCGAATAAATTGAGTACCAACTTTAGATTTAGCAACATGTAAAATTCCAAGTTCCTCCATAGCTTCGGTAACCCTTTTTTTTTTGTCATTCTCTGAGATCGACTTTGATAATCGTAAATTTGCGGAAAACATAAGATTCTCTTCAACAGTAAGTGTTCCCATAATGACATCATCTTGAACAACATAACCAGACATACATTTAAAGTTATCAGGTTGCAAATTTCCATCAACCAGAATCGTTCCACTGAGACCTTCTTTTGCTTTTCTACCCGCCAGAACATCCAAAAGCCTGTCGAGTATTAATACATAAAACCGCTGTTTACTTTACATTTAAAAATGTATCACAATGTAGCTGAGAGGATATGATTGGGGCATTAACCGACAATAAGAATAAATATCATTTATAAATAAATAAAAATGATAAAAAGTGATTTAAGTTACTCACGATGATTTTCCACCTCCGGTTGGTCCCAAAATAGCATTAAGACCAGGTTTGAAAAGCCCTCTGTAAAAAATCTCATATTGGTATAGTACTCTTAATTTAAGTGTAATAAATAGGTCATACGTCATGTTCTCGAGTACTATCTTCTTTCTTGGTTTGGAGCAAAGCTTTGATTTAACATCAACGGTGTAATTGATATTATGAAAGCTTATAATGGCACCTTTAAGGTCCACATCATCTGTATGTGTCTCTCCTATGTGGCTCATTTGAAAAGTGTTTGCGGTCATAGTTTGGAAGACTTGGCAAATATTTCGTAAATATAGCAAAGGATTGGTATGAATTTCTCTCTAAAATTGAAAATTATATTCTTCTTTTTGTAAAAACTAGTACTGTTGAATATTTTAAAGGCAATCATCACCTTTACCAATGTTCCTTAAGTAGCTTTATAGTTACCTTTCCAAGGCAGGGTTCTTTATGACTAAAGGCGCCATTACAAATTCTGTCGAAAGTGCCATCTATTTTCTAAAAAAAGAAACCATACTTTTTCGTTTTTCATAGAAATAAAAATGTGACTGCAAGTAAATAGATAATTAGACGACAAAATTTCTGTAAAAATTATCTAATGAAAAAATAGCTAATGAATATAATATAAATTAACAACAGAAATTAATTTACTTCAATTTCTTCATTCTTCTAAGTTCAACGTATTATATTGCGCAGTATCCAATAAAAGTTACAATAAAAGCAAAAATGTCTATTTTTTTTATCTCAATCAGTTAAAAATGCCATCTATAGGCTCTTTCTGAAATAGTTTTTATATTTAAATAAGAGCTATTTAATCAAGGTAATTAAACAGTGTAGTTTATTTGTAATTTAAAATAAAAGTTTTATTTTATCAATTTTATATTAACATCGGTGACATCTTTTAAAACTTAAGGGTACTTAAGTAGCCATCTACATGGATGCATAAAGTATTACAAGATCGACAGTTTCTAAATATTTACAGAGTAAAAGTACCTTTCCGACTCAATATATATAAATTTATACATATATCCTAACGAGTATTTAGGAACAACGAGAATTCTGATACAGTAAAAACAAGACAAAATTTAAAAATAAAATAATTTATTTTAATTTTTTCATTCTTCGTAGTTGAATATATCCGATTGTAAAATAGCCTACAGAAATTGAAGCAAGAGCAACGATGTTTACCCATCTATTCCAATCTGTTCCAAAATCTATTTCTTGTTCTTTAAGGTATGATTCTCCAGCTTTCGTCCTTGTGAAAAATTTGTTTTAGATTGTCCGATTTTTTATCTAAAAAAATTATCAACTTACAACACATCAGTTCCATTTTCATTCTTTGTGTAATATTGACCTTCGAACTCATTTATTAATAGACCCTAAAGTATTTTTCAGAATAGTATGATTATTTAGTTTTGTCATTAAAATTATTAATTATCTATTACCTGAAGACAAAATCTCATTAGAGAGAAATATTTCAACCATTCTAGCCAATCAGCAATCGATTCTATATTCGCCAACATACCGCTAAAGAGCTAATTTTCAAAACAAAATATTATCCCTCAGAAATGAAGTTGAGGACTGTCATAGCTTACTGTCATAATAACAAAAATCAGAGAGGTTGCTATATTAGCAATAGCCAGAGTTTCAAAAGTGGCGCTCATTGCCAAACATATGGCACAGCAAGAAACTGATGTAAGGTAGAGAGTTAGAAGAAAAAAGAAAAATTTTCCAGCAGTGTCTTCCAATCCTATAAATATACATATATATATATACATTTATATATATATTAATATAAATTAATAAATATCTATCTACATGTTAGTTAAACTTATCATTTATATCAATAAATTTAAAATAAAAGCTTACCAAGCATATAATAAACGATTAGAGCAAATACAATAAGGGGAAGGGCTCTCAAAGGCAAGAGATCACAGAAAACCTTTGAAAGGAAATAAGATGATGTTCTATAAAAGCCGCTAACATTTTCGTGCCTAACAACAAATCGCTTGTTAACATTATACCATTTTTTGTTTGAACAAAGATTTGCTTACTGAAAAATTACTCTTTCTCGAATAAATATCTCAATGGCGGAGAAATTGATAAAAGCTTGCGTCATGACAAAGAAGAAGAAGGCTCCAACTCTAGAAGTAATAATGAACTTTATATATCTATGGTTATGATAAATATATATAATTACCTGTTTTGTACGCCTTTAACTTCATCCTTAGGTAGATCGAAGAAAATTGCTCCGATTAATAAGGCAAAAATAGTCATAACTACCATTTGCATTACAGCTGCTGCCAAGTCTCTAACAACATTTTTTAATGCTCTTTGGCTTAAGTAATAAATTTGAGTTAAAAATCCAGTTGCGAAGTCGATACTTTGTAATTTCGTCTTTTGACCGCTATCTTTCTTCTTTTTGTATTCTGTGAATATGTCTGAAGTTTCTTCTCTAACTCTGATAATAATATAAAAATATATTAATTAATACTTAAACTAAATGTTGTCCAATATAAATTTATACTTTTGAGCCCATGTAGAATTTAGGTACTTATTGTTGAAAATGATTGAGCGTGCCCTATAATCAACCGTTACCGCCTCTGGATCTTTCGATGTCCCACTCGCCACAGCTGACCCATCTTTGAAAAAAAATTCGCTATTGTTTTACATGTAATATATTCATATTAATAATTACTTTCTACGCTTGATACCGTTGTACTATCACCTATTATGACATCTAAAAAGAAATCGGGGGGATTATTCATTGGTTCACATTGATATCCTATATCAGCAAAATATAGAGCAGCTTCTGAAGACGGTCCATGATAAACTGGCAATCCTTTGCTTAAAAGCATCATCCTATCAAATAGTTTGAAAATAGAGAACCGTGGTTGATGAATGGAAAAGATTATCGTTTTTCCTTTTCTAGAAATATTATGAAGGAGCTCTAGAACTGTATTAGCAGTGCTAGCATCTAGACCAGTTGTTGGCTCATCCAAGAATAATATTGATGAATTGACAATCAACTCCATTCCAATATTAGTTCTCTTTCTTTCTCCTCCTGAAATACCTCTTGTGAACTGGGTTCCAACTTTAGAGTCAGCAACATGGGTAATGTTTAAATCTTCCATTACTCCATTGACGCGTTCTGCCTTCTGTTTATCTGGAGTTGTTTTTGGTAAGCGCAAATTGGCAGAAAACATTAAGTTTTCACGAACAGTAAGTGTTCCCATGATAATATCATCTTGAACAACATAACCAGACATGCATTTAAAATTATCTGGTTGTTCCAATCCATCAATTAAAATATTTCCTGTTAGTCCTGTTTTCTCTTTTCTGCCAGCCAAAACGTCTAATAATCTGTGAATAGATCCAAACAATAAATGATAATAAAGCAAACGAATAGAAGTGGGACATAAGTCATGTCAAGAGTTAAAACAGAATAAAAATTTTAGTTTCGTTTGTTTTTTCGTGGAAAAATACGTCATAAAAATTTCCAATGAGCTGCCAATTTTTTATTACTTATTTTCTCTGGTCTTTTAACTGACGTTTTGATGTAAAAAATTAAGGATTAAATAGAACGAACTTACGATGATTTTCCACCTCCAGTTGGTCCTAAGATTGCATTCAATCCCGGCTTGAAACATCCACTATAAACAGAGAGATAGTGTATATAAGCATCATAATACAATTGAACAAGTCAAACTCACGTCATATTTTCTAGCACAACTTTTTTAGTAGGCTTGGAAAAGGGAAATTTTCTCGTCTCAACAACATAGTTTATATCATGAAAACTAATAACAGATCCTTCAGCAATAGTATCGCTTTCCATAACATTAATTTTTCGAGCTCCTAATATTGACATTTTCGAATTGAAAATTATTGCGAAACTTTAAAAAATATTTAAAAAGTTTGTCTGTAGGAATAACAGTGAATCAATCCGGTTATTTACAACACTTTAATAATTCTTGCGTATCCTTACCTAATTCTCGAGGGTAACTGATAGAATATAGCAAGTTATAGTTTATATACGTCATATCAGGAACATGGAGGTCAGGTTAGAACAATCAATAGCAGGGTGTTTAGATGGGTAGGTGTCAGATGTCGCTCTTGATGCTATTGCTACGAGAGCGCCATCTGTCTATGCGGGAAATACATATTTCAAAGGAAGCAACGAGCTTTTTGATTGGTTACGTTTTTGATGAAAATGGCAAGTTACAAAGCCTTTTACAAAAGACGCTAAAAGTAGTTCCAGCTATTTTATGTATAAATGCGTAGATTACAAGTGTCAAAAATGGCTGGAGTGGGTGAAGACGACTACAACCTCCGAGAAGTTGAAAGCTACGTGAAAAAACATCAAATTCAACAGGTTTTAAAAGACTGCATAATTCAGTTATGTTTAAGTCGACCAGAGAAGCCACATACTTTTCTCAAAGAGTACTTTGAAAGGTTAGAAAAGGTTGTTAAACATTTTTTCTATCTAGTTTGTATAAAATCCGCGAGGTGGTGCCAGTTATAATCCTATTTGTTTTATTGAATGATTATTGACTTTGCGCCTTTTATATTCAATAGTTCACATTTTCTCCTCAAGTTTCGAATCAAGCTCAAAAGTATCCTTTAATATGTCTGACAATCTATAGGCTAATCACTAAGCATTTAACTGCTCACTTAAAAAAATGTAAGATAAATTAATTAAAATATATATGCACCCAAGTCGCCCTAACGATCAGGTGCATATGTTCGTTGTCATGACAGCAAAAATTCCTATACGCCATAATACTTTAAGAGAAACTAGTAACTTATCGAAGGCCTATAAAACCAACTTAGCATTCCTAACATATTAGCTTTAGTAAAGTTCAAATGTTAGTAGAACATATAAAAAGCTACACCTCATCGAATTACGATGGTTGTTTGCGGTTAATGAGGTTATAAAATCTAGTAACAAGGATCTATCATAAAAAGCAAGATGATTCCACTGGATTGCTCTTTGGTTAATTCTCTCTAAGACTTGCTCTTTTCTTTTCTGATTTTAATATTGTTAGTTTAATGGATATTCACAGTCTAACATTCGATACTGTCAGCCTTTTGATAATCTGGTCGAAAACTTGCTTTGAAAGATTAATAACTATCAATAAATGATATTATTCACTACACCAGTCCATTTGAATTATTACCTGTCTTTAGAAGGGTTTAAATGTAAAAAGAAATGAAAAGAACGGATATATGTGAAAACAGATCGACAACATATGTAAAAAGATATGGAAGGATAAAAGTAAATAAATGAAATAAGTTCAAGACCAGAAGAAAGTCTGTTGTCAAATAAAATTTTTCTAATGGACATTTTGGTAAATGTTATTGAAGGACTTATGGCCTAAATTGTACTTTATATGCACTTAACATCGGTTCTTATATATTTCTCCATCCATCTAAAAATAAAAACAAGTTTGGTGAAGGTCAGCATTATTTTAACAATCTTTCACTTTCGATAAACCGACAATCTACTCGAGAAAAACTTGTACCATCCAATTAATATACATCATCTTCTTTGTCAAACGTTTTCAGTAATGAAAATCATGTAAAAAAAGATAAATTTTTTATTCTTCATTTTTTACAAAAAATAACAATAAATTTTGCTCAAGCCTGTTTTTATATCTAAGCTAACAATCTCTTCAAAGTGTTATGTTTTTTTCGGCCGCCAACTATGTACATAACTCTTTCCTTTCTCACCCATTTTGTTTAATTATTTCTGCTAGGATGAAGAGTGTCTAATTGGGTAAATAAGAGCTGAAACTTGTTGAAGAAATAAAAAAAAACTTTAAAGATTATCTATAATCTCAAGTAAAATTAAAGTAAAAAATACTGCTACGGAACCTTTTGATAATTCTATTTATTTTGATGACAATATTTCCGATAGCTTAAAAAAGTATAGGTAACCTTATCAAGGAGTAAACTTAAACTTCCTATGAAGTTAACAAAATGTTAGAAATTAATGAAGTCTGACATATGCCTTCAACAGTTACATTTTACTAAAAAAATGCTTGTACAAGCGTGGTATTCTTCGCTAATAACTTCATAGTTTTGTAGAAGACCACTATACTTTTGTAAATCAAATACTTTTATCTATTATATCTAATTTATTTTTTTTTAATGTCGATCTAATGGTATAAAAGAAGTATACGCTAAAATTTATCTAGTAATTCGCCTCCTCTTGCCGAGGAACTTAGAATGAAATGAGTGTAAGTAAAGTAGATTTTTTACAGGAAATAGATCAACCCTATAGGGAATTTTAACACGTTTGCACTATTCACAACTCCTAGCATTCCGGTTTTATTTAACATCAAACGCAAGAACGGATTCTATTAATTTTTTATTATTTGGATTAAATTCATAAAATAATTGACATTTCAACAGGAGGAATCGAAAAAGGAAGCTGCCCAAGGACCTACACAAACTAAATCTGTTGCAACGGAGAGTGATGAAGACGATGAGCCCCCAGCTCAAATGCCTCCTAACAATAGAAATGTACGTTTTTTCTTTACATTATTTTTCAAAGCTCCTTAACTTATTTACACATATAATAAAGTAAGAAAGAATACGTCGTTAATTAATCAAAAGCTGCTAAAATTTGTAAATAATTTAACTGTCGTAACTGAAAAATACTTGTCATATAGGTAGGTCGCAATCGTTGAATATCATTTAATCACGCTAAATGAACCAAATATTGCACTTATAATCCCATGAACAAGTTGGATTTTAAAGGTATCAGTAATAAAAAATATATTTTCCAATTGGATATTTTCTAAAGGAAATGTGGAGAGCTAACAATTGGAAGTATAATATAGTATTGTGTTTCTATAATTTAAATTATAATTTATCTTTTCACTCATCTTCCCAGTCTATTTCAGCCTTTTTTGTGACATGGGTTAAGTTCCAACGACTTTCTTATCCTATTAATTTGCTGTCGCGTGACAAAATAGTTACAGTATAATAACAATTAAAGTATACTCAGGATATAATTTAATACAACGTATTGTACATACATGCTTTTAATTTCAACAACCAACAACAGAAACGCATCAGAAGAGGAGCCGTTAGTGCAGAAGTTTATACAGAGGAAGATGCTGCAACGTACGTCAAAAAGGTTATTGATTTTTTTCTTTTCTTTCAAATTAATTGCCTGATCTGGTATGAAAATTTAGATATTTTATAGACTGATTTATATCATAAGTATAAGCCTATTCTGTTTAAATCTTATTCCATTTTGACTATGCAGGTCGTACCAAAAGATTATAAGACCATGGCTCAATTATCAAAAGCTATTCAGAAAAATGTTTTGTTTGCTCATTTAGACGACTCGGAAAGAAGGTTTCTAATTTTGTGTAATTATTTAATTAGACCATTATTTGATGCTTTAATTTGATTACAGTGATATTTTCGACGCCATGTTCCCAGTTAATAGGCATGCAGGGGAAGTAATTATTCAACAAGGTTTGTTATATATTTCTTATATTTCTTGTTACTTATCATTTTATTAACATTTTTTTATACATATCCTATTCATGTATCTGAATAAATAGAAAGTAAATTAGCTAATAGGAAGTATATATTTATTATTATTATCAGGTGACGATGGAGATAACTTCTACATTATTGATCAAGGAGAAGTGGATGTAAGGAATTTTAATAAGTTTTTTGTCTCTATCTTAAAATTTATGTAAAACTAAAATTAGATTTTTGTTCATGGAGATTACGTTAGTACTATTGGCGAAGGAGGTAGTTTTGGAGAACTAGCACTTATCTATGGTACGCCTAGAGCTGCAACGGTAAAAGCTAAAAACGATGTGAAATTGTGGGGTATTGACAGAGATTCCTACAGGCGTATATTGATGGTAAGGAAAAATAAAGATCGAGTTTCTTTTTCTTCTCAATCTTTATTTATATATTGGTCTCTTTCCCTTTACAGGGATCAACCATTAGGAAAAGAAAAATGTACGATGAATTCTTATCAAAAGTATCTATTCTTGAAAGTCTTGAGAAATGGGAGAGAATGACAATCGCTGATGCGTTAGAACCTGTGCAATTTGAGGATGGCCAAGAGATTGTTAGACAGGTAAATATTTTATATGGTTATTATCGCCGTATAGCTTGATTTTAATACAGCCGGGGTTACTCTTTCTATAAAATTGACAATATAGAGTTAGCAACAGAGACAGAAATTGTATCCATCAAAAAATTTCACTTCGGATATAAAGCTAGCGTATTAAAGTAGATTAGCTTATTCACCATTCATATTTGAGTCACGTCAGTCTAACCAGACTAGGGCGGTTTAAGTAATGCACTCTTATATTCTATGTATTTATTCTATAAAATGAAAAATTTTTAAATGGTTTCTTTTCTTTTTACTTTTGACAATTCATAAAACATTGATAATAGCTTTACTGTAATTTATAATAAGGTATCAAGATACCTAATTTTGTCGCGACATTACAAGTGTAAAAGAAATAAAAATTAACCATTGAAGTTTTATGACATTAGGATAGAAGAAGCTGTTTTCGAAATATTAGTGGACCTGCGAAAAGCTTATAGATTGTATTAAGCTTTTGATGTTGGTGTTTCTTAGTCATATATCAAAAATAGGACGTTTTATCCATTAGTTATACTTGCTGAACATGTAAGCAACGTATTTATAAGATATTTCATCTTTTTTATTCACTATATATGCTGTAAACAAAACATGCACCGTATAAAAGCCTATTTCACATCAATTTGATGACAAGCAGCTTACGTGGACCGTGAAATAAAAGAGAAGTAGAAATAATAAAGAACAGTATACTCGGAAGAGAATTTTTATTAAGCAATCTTAAGCTCAACGATAAATAATTTTCGACGACAAAAAAGAGAATTCAAGCCTTAATCCCCCTTTTTTAAGCGTTCTTCAATAAATTGGCATAGTCAATTAAATAAGTTCTGAAATCGTCCGTGACGACTTAAACTGAAATACTTTGAGTTTATTTGAAGTACATGCATCAAAGATAAATACGCCAGTAGTTAAAAATAGTTAGATGCAGCTAAAGTCAGTGCTAGTAATTTAGTATAAAAACCGGATATGTAATAGGACATATAGGAAGTTGTGTAAATGAATAAAAAACAAGAAAAATGGCAATATCTGATGTCTATTTGCTATTGATACTTCAGGATCTCGTTGTTTTAAATTATCTTCTTTTTTACTAAATCTTTAATTAGCGATATGTCTGAAATAATGTTTTTTACATGTATATTACTTTTACTTTAATTATAGGGTGAACCAGGTGAAGACTTCTATATCATTACTGAAGGCCAAGCTATAGTTCTTCAGCGTAAGTCGGACAACGAAGAGCCCATAGAAGTTGGGAAGTTGGCGCCAAGCGATTATTTTGGTGAAATTGCCCTCCTTTTGGATAGACCCAGAGCTGCAACTGTTGTTTCAAAAGGTCAATTAAAATGCGTAAAATTAGATAGAGCTAGATTTGAAAGAGTTCTGGGACCTTGCTCGGATATTCTAAAGAGAAATATTGGAAAGTATAATAGTTTCGTAAGCTTGTCTTTGTAGATGTACCTCTTTTGGTTGCAATATATTGAAAATAATATTTAATATGTACTTTTTTTAATCATCCCGCTTTCTTATGCCCTATCATTAATTTGTAGCATTTTTTCAACGTTAACTGCCGAAAATATTCTATGTAGTAAGTACTAAAGCAAAAAAAAGACAAAACTAATTATATAAATTAAATTGGTTGTTCAAAAGTGATATTTTCCATATTGTATCACTTAGTGTAAATGTTTAATGTTAAAAAAATATTGTGTGAGAATTTGAACTAATTTAGAATAATTGGTTGTTATAAACCTATTGATTTATATTTTACGTGTTTATGATAAGTTATTCAGAGTACGTATACATTTTATATAATAAAAAATTTTAATATTTTGTTTCTTAACTTACTAAATTTTATGTAATTAGAGTAAAGTATGAAATGCAGTTTCGGTAAACAATCTGACCAATTATCAAGATTTCAACCGAGTGAAAGTGTAATATTGTTTGCTTATCTGTGGGATTATTGATCTTCAGTATGTTATTTATGACATTTCTATGCTCCACAATACGAAAATTAAAAACTATGGTTATAATAATAGATGGCCAGCTTGGCTTAGCTTTTTTTGGTTTTTTTTTCTATACATCAGCTGATAAACATTTAGGTCATTTTACAAATTCTTTTGCCATCCTGCAGTAGTAAGAGATCAAATTGAAAGCTTATATAGTAAGCCATTTTAAAAGTGACTCGCACACTTCAACTGTCTTTCTGAAATCTACAATGCAAGCAAGCTAAAAGGTGTACCTTTGAAATTAAATAGCACTAAGAATGTAGGCCAATATAAACTCAATTTTCTTCATAATTAGCTCACGTATTCAAAGCCAAATGAAGACTAAATTACCCTATTTCCTTTTATATTAAATCAATTGCAAAATTCGGACCACTAAAAATTCAGCTAATTTAAATGAATTTCATCAAATGTTAGAATTATTTTTTTTATCTTATGAATCAACCACCAGATGGCAGTAAATATTTCTATGCACCTATTGCATATAAAGTGACATCTTGAAAGTGTATATTTTTTTGAATAACAGATGTCGCTTCTTCAAAATAAGTTTTCTTGTATAAAAGGCGAAGCCATAATTGAACTTAGCGGTTTGGTTAAAGCCGCTTATATCCTTCTAAAATGGTAGGGGTCATGCCAAATAAGACCTTATAGGGCAAAGATTAGATACCCGCCTGTTCGCGTCCATTCTAATATTACGCAGATCATAAACCATTCCTTTAAACAGTCTCAAATATTTTGAATACTTTTCGTATTGAAATTTCAGCAGGGGTTCAGGCGTTTTTCGAAAAGATAATTGTCATTGACAGGGTTTCTTGAGCCGAAAACATGCGACAAAATACAGATTTTTAACCCATCATCATCCATAGCTGCATTTCTAGTCGCTGTATAACCCAGATTAAGGACACGTAAAATATTTACGCACCTGTGCATCACTAAGCAGTCCTGTGACATGTTTGTGGAGGAATAATTAGGAACATAAGGAAACGTACGTAAAATATAGAAATGATGTGACGCTTAATGATGCGATTTTTCTGTCAACATGCCAATCTCCTTTCAGTGCATAAAAACTACTCTCACTTCAATTTATCAAAACATTTTCGAGAACGAAAGACATCCATCAGAATTTGTATATTAGCAATGAAATTGACGCGTCTCTTATTGTTACGATAAGAACAACCATCGGGCTCTTTCAGTCTATGATGTTAAAAAAAACTCTTAATGAGATTTAAAACTTATTTTTGCTGCATGGATATATTCAATATGTTTACACAGGGGAATGGGTCAAAGGTTGGGGGTGAAATAGCGTCATTAGGCGTAAAATTCTCTTCGTTGGAGTATTAGAGGGGGTTCCTTCAAGTTTTATTTAAGCGAGAATTTAATTAGCAAAGTAGCGTGTAGACAATAAACGCTTTAAATTGATTACGATTGTTTGCTTTTGAAGATTTCTCAGTTGGCTGACGACCAAGCGAGAGCCCACGCAAGTAAATTAATAACGGGCTAGAGAGGATTAACTACAGCTTCTCTATTCACTTCACTTATTCCTATCTTAGCTATCAGGACGACGCACGCAATCCACGCGCTTGATTGGCACGAATAGGCGGGACCTATAGGAATCTGGTTCCATATTCCGCAACGCAATTTGCCCACTGTATTTGTAAATGTGAGCTAGATCACAGGAGATTTCACTTATTCTCGTTTCATAAACCCAGTTGAAGACGTTAAGAGCTGCTGGAACAAAACTTTCTCTATTTTTTCATATTTACTTAAGCTTTTTGCTTTTTGGATTATTCTACTGCGCAATTCCTCTAGAGTAGCCTGGATAATCGATTTTATGGTAGAAGAAAGACAATTGTTTTGGTCGTTGGAGTCAAATTTCTCGGCATTATATTTTCTTGTGATGTAAATGGATTTGTTTACTATATTTTAAGGTCTTTCATACACTGAAATGTTCAATTGCCATAAATTATTGAAGTAAATATTTTGACTAGTATTATTAACAATAATATTTCTCAGACATTGTATTCAATGGAAAAAAGGATATTTTAAGAGCGAAGCTATCAATCTATTCTTAGTATATAGAATATACATGTTTGTTAACCCCGACACAAAATACTCTTTTTTTTCTTAAATGACAGTTTTTTGTACTTTTAGTGAGTAAATCTTTTAAGATTTTTTCCAATCCGCTTGATAACTGCACAAAATTGAATAAATGTTAGAAAATTGATAATTTAAGAGAGTATTTTTTTACCCTCTAATCAATTTATTTTAGAATATAAATAGGATAGGAATATTAGAAAACAGACTTAAGGGATTTTGTTAATCATGAATTTGTATTAGAAGCTGTTGGATATATACTCTAAATTAACAGATAATCAACTCTACAAGGATATTTAAAGTCTGTTGGGAATATGATAAAAAAGGAATGTTTGGAGGGAAAATAATGACTCTACTTAAGAAGATCAATATGCTATTCGTCGTCTGTTTAATGTACGAGGGAAGTGACGGCCACCGTGAAGTGAAGGGCTGTGACATCGAAATTTGGTAAGTAAAAAGATTAGGCATGCTAAAATGCAGAAGTAGAATTTAGCGGCGAGAAAAATGTCAAAAGGCGATGACAATACATCGCAGGTGCGTGTATGTTTCGTCACCAAGGTTTTTAATCATCGCTCCATTTAGCCAGGTGCTAGAAATGTCAGAAATTCTTCTAGAGTTTTATTAGGTATCAGCTGTCGGTTGGTGAAACGTTCCAGTTGATATAACAAAAAGGGGCCCTTTTTAGCAGTTTTATATACAAAATTAAAAAAAAATACTTCCACATCATTAAACTAATTAACTAACAAATATTTTAGGGACCATAAAGAACATGGTGTAATGCCCATTCAGCCACCTTGTATGGCCGGGAAGATCACTTGGAATGTGCCCAAAGGCGCTTTGAGGATTCATTTGGGCCTGTCTCAATTACCAATTGAACTTGAAAATCCTGCAAATACATTTGCAGATATCTGCTTTAAAGCTGGTGTCAAAGCCGCTCATTTACTTCTATCAGTTGAGGATAGCGAACAAAAACGGACTTCCTCATTAAGGCATAAAAATTTACTCAACGAGCGTTCTCACGGTACTGAAAAGAGTTCTCGACAAATTTGTTTACGAACCGCGGATAGCTTGGTTCTATTCGCTCAAATCGTACCAGAGTTTATAACAAGTTTGTACGGCAAAGTACGATTAGATTACGATGTCAGAGAAAGAGAAGATAATGAAGGTAAATAATGTTATTAATCAGTTATCTATTTATAGTATTTAGTAGTTTACTAACTTTCCCTGGGCAATGTTATTTTTGTCTTGTTTTTCTCCTCCATTTGTCTCTCTATCTAACTTAACGATTCTAATCTTTTCGGCTTGCTGTCATGCGATTTCGTTGATTCTTATCTATATAAATTTCAGGTGTTATTTAAACAGTACTTAATTCTTAATTATATGTTAACCAACAATAAAACACCGATGTATTTTCATGTTTTTAAATTTCAGATTGTATACCGTGCAGCAAAAGTCAATTAATGAAAGCAGTTTGTTCTCATGATTTGGGTTTGTATTCAGCTTTTTCTTGTTTCTAGACATCTTAATGATAATAACCAGATCAGTGTATATACCAGGTTAAGGAATTCTTTCGTGTCATAACTATCGGTTTACCACTATATTTAGTGTCAAAACAATAAGAGCGCGACAATGATGATGATATCTTTACAATGTACCAAAGATTGACAAAAATTATTTTTACAATTTGATTATTATGCGCAGATAGTTTTAGAACTAGCGTGGAAAATGAATGGAATTTGAAAGTGAATCACTACATACCTTCTTTTTAAAGCGCTGTCAAAAGGATAGGTGCTATTTTGAAATTGAGAGCAGGGTAAACAACCTGTCCACGTATGTAAAAAAGACACCATATTTAACTCCAATAATATGTGAATAGATATTCGAAAAAACTGGTTAAATTGGACGTTTTGTTCAATTCTTTTAGTCTATGCAATTTGATAGAGAAATATTTGAAATACTTTATAAGATTAGAGTTTTTTTACTTTAAAATGTCTTCTAACAGCTTGTTAGAAATTGTAGTACATTGTGCTAGATTTTTAAAAGATCTTGTCAGCCATAGATCATTTTCAATTCTAAAAAGTCTTTTACACCAAGTAGTTGAAATTTCCACTTGTTATAAGAATAGCGTTTTTTACGGTCATTTAATTTCATAGGTTATTACATCATTCGACTAACCCTTTATTTTTCAAAATGAATATGTTTTGAAGGAAAAGACAAAACGTCTATCACCAATGTGATATGCTTTATTCAGAGCAGCAAATAATATTTGCAACATTATGTTTTCCTCTAATAATATCCTTTTTGATTTACTATTTGTTTAATCGCCACTCCGAATCTGCCGTCTGTAACAATAGATAAGCCAAAAATATTTATCAACTAAACCGGATATGTCAATGAATAGGTTGAATTTGCTATAGAACGCCAGAGAGGAATCGATTAGGTACTACAGATGTAGATAACGGTACTCGATTGTCGATTAGATAAGACAAGATAAGCGAATTTTGGTCAATGGTCTCGTATAAAATTGACTAATGCTGCCCTCTTGACCTTTTCACTGACCGCTTTCAATATTGAAATGACAAGTAAATTGCCTTCCATTCGGTGAATTTGAATGCTAGAGTTGAGTTTTTCCGTGACTTGAGCAATAAAAATTGGCATTTTTAATGCTCAACCGAACTCTGCTTTGTCTAGGGGATATTGTAGGCCGTTTGGGAATTTTTCCGCCTGATTTCTGATAATCAATTCTATCCGCTATATTAATAGGGTAACTAAAACTTTTGTTCGATTGATTTATAGAGTTTTTTATTTAATTTCTATTACTTTCTCGTAAATAACATTCATTCTGCAGAAAATCCATATGATTAAATTTACTATAAAAAACTTAAATAGATTTTGGCAACTTTTCTTTATTTCACACAATAGCTCTGCATGACGCCAAATCATCAAAAGTGTTGCATTCTATTTTAATTCGTATAAAATTAATCACGCGACCTGAAAATTAATAATTACGCCCGAGCTACCATTTTACACTCTTTATCTTTTTATTCAAACAACAATATCTGTTATATATGCTTTATAATATAAATCATTCATCACAGTAATATACAGATTGATAAAAGGTGCTCTATGTGACAAAGGAAATATTTGTTATTCGCATTTATTTCCCCTTTTAGTATAGGCATTTTCTATTTTTTATATCGTTATAAGTTTTTGAGCTCAAACCTACTGGTGAAAATTTTCTCATTAACGATAGGTACTCGATTTTTTTATTCGGGATCTTAGGGGAAAATTTCGATATTTTAAAATGTTAACCATTTGTTCCGTGTAAACATGCAGTAAAAGTTCATGAAAGCATGAAAACGAGGCGCTCAGGGGTAAAAGCATTTCAAGTATAACGGTTCCAAAAAGTTACAATATCTCCTCGAAACAAAATACAACCAATCAGTAAACATAATTTTTTTGACAGTTTTGATAGCGGATATCAACACCGTTACCGACACTATCTCCCTATCTAGGATTAGAGTGGCACCTGTCCGCGTAATCAGGAACAAGGATTCTATCTTACGAATCCGTAGAAACGTTGTTGAAACGCCAAAAAAGTGTCAAATGCAGCCCGGTAAAGACAGGTATATAATGACTGCTGATGTCCGACTGAGTCGAGCGAAATTACGATGTATTACAAAATGGAGTAGATTTGGAGAAATGTGGAAGAATAATTTGGACAATAATCTATGTCATATTCAAGAATTTCTGGAGACACTCTCTAAGAGGTGACAATTCAAGGACAAATTATAATCAAGTGCTTAGTGACTTTCTTATTTTTTAAACAAACTGAAATGAATCTTTGTACAGAGGAAAAGGATTACTTGTATAAAAAACTATTGTATTTTGTTAAGAAATGGTATATCAAAGTACACTGCAGCCGTGGATCTCGTTATATTTCGGTAAAAACGAAACAGAATGAATATAATTGTTTTGCCTCAAATTAGGCAGTAAAATAGTAATATAATACCTTGCTCTTTAATCGACAACACACATTTTTTGAGCCTGTGAAATCTTTTTCCTTGGTTGCTCCTGTTAACCTTTGATTAGTCACTGATAAGAACTCGATAATTCAGTGAAATTAGTCACAGCGTGGCCCCTGTTTGTCTCTTCAGTAAGGTTCCTTATGTAACAGTTACATTGGCAAGATACGAACCGTTTAATCACATATCTCATATTGTTGAATACTCATACATTCGAAGAACAGCAGCTGTTGACTAGCTTTAAAAAATATATTACCCCTTTGATCTTGTCGAATGGTCACCGTGTGTCGGTCACGTGACTTGACAAATCTTATCTAAGAATAGGCTCAGTTTACCTTTTCATTTTACGGCTACTATATTCATTGGGCGACAGGGAAAAATTAAACGATTAGCTTTCGCTTCATTACTTGGTATACTTATCTGTTCAATCCTCTTTCTTCCCATTCGTAAAAACCTCAAGGCACTTATCTGCCTTCTTTTTTCTGCCTTATTATCGTTGTAACATTGAAGAGAGGCGAAAGCCAAGAGTTTTAATGTGGTGGGTGGAGTTGTGAGGGACGTTAGCTTTCCCGTCGAGTCACCCTGTCCCATGGCTTTTCTCTCACTCCAACCCTCGCTATCTTTTCTTTTTTAGAGAACTAAATTGCTTTTTTACGATATGATCCTCTTAGAAATCTCTGATATTATCTTTACTGGCCAATACCGGACCCTCATTCTATTATATCCTTCTCTCTTCCTAATATTTTAATTGTCAAGAGCACCCCTTCCCTACATTGTTTGATTTATATGCCCAGGTATAGCACCAAATGCCTCAGATAGCATGCTTGATACACATGTCAAGAGTTAAAAAATTTTTCACATTTTAGTGATGTATTTACGACTGTACAGCAGATTTTTCTACTATTTATTTATCTCTCTTTGTTTATTTCATTACCTTTTTATTCTCTTCATAAAAAATGAGTAGAAATAAACAATTATCTCATTAACATCGTTAAAACAATGCTGCAAGACTATTTGACTATGAAATGAAGATTAAAAGCATCTAGATATTTGTATAAATTTAGTATGTTAAATATGAAAAACAATAAAGGAAATAATTCAATTTTTGATATTTTTAAGGTTCATAGACTTGTTCAATTTAATATTTCTTTCACAGTACAACTTTGTACACTATGTTTCAATGAAATTTCAAATTAATACTCTCTAACAAAATAAGATATTATTTTAAAACAGCATATGAACATTTAATACTATATACTTATTTTTTGCTTCGGGGTCTATTGAGATAGCAAATTCAAGTGAGACTCATTTTTTAGACTGGAAGACTTTATTATTGAACAAACATAGCCTTCTCAGCAAACGTATTTTTTGTATATTGTGTTAAACCTTACGTAAACTTACACATAAGAGGGATTATACAACCGACATCCGGTCGTCTAAATGGAACAATCTCGTCTCAAGTTGTCCAGCTCTTTTAATGTTCTTTCCATTTTTAAAAGAATTGTTTGTTTATCTATAAGCAACATATTTTTCAATCTTTGATCTCGACCCGAAGTGTTCCGATATTATCTCTTGATTCCATCAAAGAAATCTTTAATCTGGTTCTTCGTCCTCTTATGTTTTGTTGATTTATGAAGTTGGTGAACTATTACAAAGAAGGCATGCGACTCCTGCACATCTTTAGGCCTACAATGAAAGAAATAAACAGACCGGAACAATGTCAACTATCGAATGCTTTTATCTTTATTAATCCTCTGTCATTTATTATTTAAGTGAAAAAATCAAAAATAAAGAAAAACAAAAATAATTAGCAAGGAATAGTTACTTTTATGAACGAGACTTATCTGCGCACATTTTTCTTTTTCAAGTATGTATTTAAAAACATGATAATATAAATTAGATAGGTAGACGATTTGTTTATTTGGATGTTTTTCAACGATATGCAACTATTAGTTGCATTAAAAAAATGATTTTTTATTTCTTGATATTGTCTAAATAAATAATAAAAATATATTTGGATAATATACTAAAATTATTTTTCATCTGTTTGAAACTTAGCATTCAGAAGAGTTAGTTTTGTTATTATCGCAAGTCTTGACGCTGATCAATACATTATTGAATTATGTTCAAAACGTATATTTATTTGAA